GGTTCGACGAGCTCAATTTCTTAGGCCGAGATAACTTTTGGTCCAATGCCTTCTCGTTCTCCTTTTTGGGTTTCGCTTCAGGTTGCTTTAGCTGTTTGCTGGTTTGCTTCTCTGTTGAGTTGCGTTGCCGCTGACTCGGATCTATATTCGATGCAATAGGCTCCTTAGCTCCACGCGAAGGTTCCGCAGGGATGTCGCCTCCTTTCATGATCTTTTCAATGTTCTGGCGAAGAGCTTCCGCGTCGGCGCCCTTTCCGATCAACCCCGTCAATCCATCGGCCAGGTCTTCCATTTCAGAGTCAGACTCCACACCGGCAAGTAATTCGTAGTCTTCCTTCGTACCACCAACAGCGTAAATTTCTTGTTGCAGAACATCATCAACCTGCGCATTTTTGGTATTGGGTGGATGGTTCTGGATGACCTGTCCGCTCCTGTCCCTTTTCTTGCCCTTTTTGTTGTTTGTGGGAGGCTGCACTCCGGAACTCGAGTCACGCTTCTGCTTACTGCTCTTCGCCAGAGAAGAAGCCTTCTTCGGATCGGCTTTCGATTTCTGGTTCTCGTGCAGTTTTAGTTCTATTCTTTCCGTGAGGCTCGCGAGTGATGCGCCTGAGAAATCTGGGAGGGAGTCCGCAGCACCAGTATTGCTGGTGGAGTTGCCTTGTCCGCTTGCAGCCATATCACCAGCCTCGGATGCCCTTTTTCCCTTGCCCTTCGCCATTGTGATTGCTGGCCAAAGAAAGCGAGACTTCGATCTGATATTTGCGATATTTCTTGGCAAAATAAACTTCTCTTTCACCTGAATATCACCGGATCACGTGCATAGGCTTCCGGATCATCCATTCTCCGCCAAAAAAGTTGATGAGAGCTTGACGAGAGCTTGACGACTTTCGCCAGAGTCAATCGTCGAGCTTGACTGGATGGGAGATATCTTCTTCAATTGCTGCTGTCGGGCCGTCCCGATGCTCCAGCGGCATTGCTGATTATGTCTGGTTCTATGTTATTCTATCCCCGGTTCGGGGTAGGCCATTTTCGCAAATGGAACCCATCCCAGACCTGGGATGTCAGGCTAATTCGGCGTCGGCTTCATGTATGGCCACTCCAACCTGCCCTCGTGGGCTTGAGTTCTATGTCTAAACATTAGAGATCTGTAGGACCGGCCGAGAAACTTACGATCCAAAATTTGGGTGCCAATTGCTCCCGTACCCAAAAACCTGGCCGCGCAAGGCATGTTGAGTGCTGGAAGGAGTTCCCGGGAGGTGACTAACAGCGTATTCTATAGATTCTACGGCGCTGTTGGTCCAGGCTGGATTTATCCGTCAGGTACGACTGGGAGCCGATACCTCTTCGCGTTATCCGCGCCCACGTTCTGATAAGCGAAACAGGCCTATGCAGGGATATATCACCTTCTTCCGTTAGGCCTCCGAGTCCAGAAGAAATTAGAAAACTTGATTGATAAGCACATGGAATCTCTAGGTATATAACGCCACTGTATTGCCCCCGATTTTCTATAGAGACTTACATTTTATCTCGGGATAAAGGGGCGTCAAAGTTATTTCTGTCCGCTTTATCCTCGCAGCTCCTATGGAAATTATCCGGGAGACTGCATGATGATTCTGAGGTATTTAGATCATGCTGGGTCCATATAAGGATGGCTACTAAGAACGGTATTTCCTGCCAGGTATTCAGATTTCTTGACCGGAAAAATGCACCTTTCCTTCTTGCACCAACCCATGAGGAAGAGATAACCAAACTCGTGGGTGGCTTGACCAACTCATACAAAGAACTTCCACTGCGAGTATACCAGATTTGTAAGTTTTATTTGCTTTGACTGTAATGGACGTTCTGCTAACATACATTTCAAACTCTAGCTAGAAAATACAGAGACGAACGTCGGCCTCGCCAAGGGCTACTCCGAGCACGTGAATTTCTGATGAAAGATCTCTATACGTTTGATTATAGCACCGAGGAGGCTATGAAATCTTACAATTCTGTTAAGGAAGCCTACGTACGGCTTTTTGATGAACTGAAGCTTCCGTATATAGTTGCTGCAGCAGACTCTGGGAGCATGGGCGGAAGTCTAAACCATGAATTCCACTTGGAAAGCTCAAAGGGCGAGGACATTGTCGTCAGTTGCTCTAAATGTAACTATAAGTTTAATGAGGAGGTAACTGATGGCCATGCATCCAAATTCGCGAGCAGAAGAGAGTCGAGTCCTCCTTATTCTCGACCTGGGCCATTGGCCCAGTCTCCAGCTGCAGCAATCTCTACCGGGCTGTGGACAGCTGTTTCTAAAGATAGGAGGACTCTCGTCCGCGCATACTACCCAAAGTACCTGTTGAACGAAAATGCAGCGGAACCGGTCGAACGAGATGTCAATCCACATGCCGTCCGATCAATTGCACTTGCTCATGGAGTTTTTCTCGACCTTGCCATCAAGAATGCGTCAGGCGTCTGGAGAGCACGGGCTGAGAACGGTATTGACACTGAGGTGCAGGCCAGGGATATGGAAACTGAGGCAAAAGATGACGACGCCGAGGCTCAATTGCAAAGCAAAAGTATGGAAACTGAGCTGCAACATGACAGTATTGAAGCTGAATCTCAGGGTCTTAATGTCTTGGATATATACGACTTCCGCGTACGACCTTATGACAGGCCACCTTTGAATGATTTGTTGGATAGCAAAACCGCCGAAAAGAAGAAAATTAGCTTTTCTTCAATTACTAAGTTTCCAGGAACTGACCATGATCTCGATTTCGTTCGTGTTCAATCTGGGGATCGGTGTTCTAAGTGCGAAGATGGTGTAGTCACAACTCACACTACCATTGAAATGGGCCATACGTTCCTTCTGGGCACGAGGTATAGTTCGCCGCTGCAAGCGACTGTGGCTATTGATCCTGCCAAGTCAGGCAATGCGGATGGAGCGAAGGAGTCCCCTAAATCTGTCGTTCCCCTGCAAATGGGCTGCTATGGAATTGGCGTTTCCCGCATGATTGCAGCTGTGGCTGATATTCTCGCTGATTCAAGGGGCCTCAACTGGCCGCGAGCAATGGCGCCGTTTTCCGCCATAATCGTTCCTGGGCTAGCTTTCCAGGAAGACAGCAAAAAGATATACGACCATATAGCCTCGTATCACAACGGCTCAATAGATACAATTTTGGACGATCGAGAACAGCCTCTTATCCGGAAACTAAAAGACGCCGACCTTACTGGCATTCCGGTGATCTGTGTTGTCGGGAAATCGTGGGAACGCCATCGAAACGTGGAAGTCCAATGTCGACGATTAAATAATCTTCGAACCGATGTCTCCCTCGATGAGCTTCCATCCTTTATTTCCTCACTCCTTGACAAGTTATAGTGAGTATATTGATATCCAGGTGGTATGGTATGCATGTACAATAATAGACCAGCGGTGTTGTTCGGAGTTTAGTGAAAGCTCGGTTAAATGAGCGTTGTATGGGCATAGACTCATTATTCCTTTGGGATATGCTGATATGTATAGGATGTTGTGGCATTTCTGAATTTATCTACCTTACCTAATTCACTTAATTGTGGTCATATCTGCTGTTGTTAAATTCTCAAAAAGTAGGGCTCACAAGGCTCACCAAACCTTCTTTTCTGTATCCCAAATTGTGCAAAGGCCAGCAATCTTTTCTCTCAAGAGCAAACATAAATATTAAAGCATTACCCTAATTTTTGTGTGCAGCAGACCGAAAAGCTGCAACGCAAATGGTCAAGCCTCCGGCTCAAACAATTTGGATGATTAGATATGAACCACTACCAATTTTTCCCCCATTTGGAGACTTTCAGGAGGTTCTTAGGAGATCTCAATACATATGTGAGATACGCTTGCTGCATTGTAGGGGATATTTGATTCTGCAGGCTGACATTCACATACTCATGTCCAAATGGTGTATAGATCGTGATATCTAATGAACCCCTGCAGCCTAAATACTAAGAAGTTGATCCGCGCTTAGCAGTGAATGGCTTGCCTAAGGATTCATCCGGTGGAATCGAATCTTGCTTGCAAAATTTCCTAAATCATAATAATGAAGGGCAACATGTTTTCTTCGCTCACGGTCAACAGGTACGGGAGTTTGCCCAAATAAACGGTCTTTTTAGCAGCGGGGTCGAGTCAGACCAGCCTTGAAAACTCGTGGGCATTTCGGAAAGGGATATTGGATAGCTGTCGGTAGGGGCTTTTCTTGAGTAATGAGAAGCCATCATTTTGAGATGAAATATCCCAAGGGAAATAATATCCAGGATGCACAGGGCAGACAACACACCTGTCTAGAACACCGACTCGCTGAGCCAAAAAAATGAACACTCTCTGGCTGGCACCTTGGGCTCACCAGTGAGTTGAATTCCTGACACCAGTTTGGACGGGAGGAAATTCCGGTTGGCCAGTAGACACGCCGCACGGGCAATCACTTGCCCATAGTCATTCGGGCCATGAGAATTGCAGCCCTTACCGCGCAATTTCATTCCGAGTGATCAGGCATGCCTTCGATGCGACTTTTCCATTTGTTGCTGGACCTTTTTCTTATGGCTCCTAGAGGGAGCTCGTGCGCCTCATTGGGTCTTCTCATCTCGAGGCGAAACTATTGAATCTCCAAATCCTAGAAATTATAGAACGCCATTAAAAAGGTAAATAGCCATTTTCGTGCATCCATTCAATGGGTTATACCCAGCTAACAGTGTATGGATGACGTCGCGGTGTATCGGTCTACCACGCAGAGGGGTTAACAATTCAATACGTAGCTGATGTATCCGACGTTGTCACAAGCCGAACACGAAGGGAGGGAATCGCATTGTTCAATCCAGATGCGACACCATTGTCAAAATAGCATTTCCATGGACTGCGTGTAACCAGATTATATTGAAGGGGAAGATTGAATGTACTCCGTGCCCCGTACCAGATCTGGTCTTTGGAGAGGTTCAAGCGCCCCAATCGGCGCCAACCAAGCTTCTCTCCCCCACCAGAACAAGGTTGGCCTTCGTATGTAAATATTTAGACTGAAAGCGCAAAGGGTATACAAACAATCTGCTTTTTGACGCAGAACTTTCCGCAGCAGCTCCTGTAGGCCAGGGTCGTCACTCCACTGCAAGTCCATGCTGCTCTCCCATTAGCCTGCATCCAGACACAATGTCCAAACCGTCAGGCTCTTCAGAACCCGCCGGAGCAGGTAAATATCTTTCTCCAAACCACCTCCTACACACATCCCACGGTGAATTATGAATTCTAACCCCGTTACCTTCTCTCCCTTATAGTGGACGTCACTACCCTCTCTGTTCCCCAACTTCGCGCCCTCCAAACCCGCCTCAGCACCGAACTCGAACATCTCACCACCTCACACGCCAAGCTACGCACAGCGCAGTCCAAATTTCGGGAATGCATTCGCTCAATAGACGCTGGCGTGGTCAAGAGTGCAACCGAAAAGGCCGAGGGGAAGAGCGAGATACTAGTCCCGCTGACCAATTCGTTATACGTCAAGGGCCAGCTCGCGGATAGGGAGAAAGTTATCGTCGATGTTGGAACGGGGTTTTACGTTGAGAAAGTACGATATAAATCAATTTAGTCGTTTGCCCCCTCACAAAGCCGACTTATCATACGTTGATCTGGTTCACTTTTACTGTTAAACTGATTTGCAAGAAGGCTATGACTTTTGCTGACGGGATTTGCTCAAATCTAGTCGACCTCCAAAGCTATTGAATTCTACAACGGAAAGGTAGAGGAGTTGCAGACAAACTTACGTGATCTGGAGAAAGTACTGCAAGCAAAAACTACCAATCATAGAGTCATTGAAGATGGTATGTATATTCTTCTTCGCCACAGAGTCAGATGTGCCCGCCACATTGGATATGGACAATTCCCCGAACGTATACTGACATACTCGTAGTCTTGCGGCAGAAGCTTCTTGCTGGCGAAGGGGCTGCTGTGCCGAGTTCTTCGGGAGGTGGAGGGGGTGCGTAATGTATCAGTCACGCTCATATGTACCGAGAGATGCCACCATTTCCCCAAAATACCTTAATTTCTGAATTATCTTGAAACCAATGGCCCTGGGAGACGGGCAATGATATTGTAATAAGGAGTTTACTCTGGCTATTGAATATGCTGATGCCACGGCTGTGACGTGAAACTGATAACATAGAGCAATAAGTCCAGAAAGTATAAATGAAAAATACGTGACATCTTTGCTTTATGGTATTTCTGTGGTTTGGTATCCCACTACTGCTGCTAGAAATTGACCACAATAACAGTTGGAATCTCTGCTTCGCACTTTTTCTTCGTTTTGATTCGATCGCTATTTAGCAATGTGAGCCCAAGACTTACCCTTTGATGAATTTCCAGGCCTTGCCGTAGTCCCAATAGCGAGGGTTGATGAACTCGCCGTACGTTGGTTGGAAGCGAGATTCATCGGCACTACGGTACCACTCTTGGGCCCGGGGCAAAGCACCACCGAAACACGTTTGAGGAGTTCCATGAACTGATCAAAACCTGTACATGCACCAGATGGATCCGGAGTATTAATATCAGGGAAAAAAGTGCTTAAAGATGGGACCCAATCCGCCGTATGGCCGAGTCGAAAATTTGCATGCTGTCCAAGCACATTATCCCACTGTAGGTCGAAAATCGAGGCGCCCCAAGAGACCACTGGGTGTTCTGTTAATTCATTGGTGCCCGGCATCGCGCGAAAATACTCATCGTAGCGCGCAACCTCCAAAATATAGCTGGTGCCCTTCAGTCGGTAGCGTAATGCAGTCTTTTCAACAAGTCTGCTGACTGGAACAGCGTTTGAAAATGTGACTTTCCGTGTAGTATTTTCACGTAGGTCCAGATCAGCACCAGGTTTAAACTGGATTGAATGCGAAAATGCTCTTAGCGCCTGTGCAATACTTGAGGGTGCTTGGAAGTCTACAGCGCAAATCTCGAGCTGCCAATCAGAGCTTGGAGAAAGTCAGAGAACTGTCGTCGCACACCATGTATCCCACAATTCATACCTTTCAAAATCAATGACACCTATGTGTAGTGGTGGGCGACGATCCCCAAATCTACCTTCTTCTTGTGGCCGTATCCAACGCCTCTGGAAAACTTCGAATAAACCCGACGCCGGAGACTTTGCAAATTCGGCTTCAAGTCGCAATATAGAGCCGTCCTCTCCCGCAAATTCAAAATTCACCGCGTATAAAGGCTTCGCATCTTCAAGAGACAACGATGTAACTTCATAGGGCGAAAGGAGATTAGTTGCAGCGGCAATCCTAGTCAAAATATCCTGGTCGCCGTGTTTAAAGTCAAGCCTAGAGCAACAACACTTGGTTAATCAGGTAACATCTAAATCGTAGGAGAGTACCTTACCCAGGAATCAAATGGCCTTTTGTCCTCGAGTGGAAAAGCATAGACCTAAATTCTTCATACGAGTATCGAGGCTTCCCTTGCGGGATGCGATAGTCGTCGAGCACAAAAAGTCCGAAATTTACACGCATTCGAACATGGCCTCTGAGAAATCGAAGTCCTCTTAATGAATGCTCAACGGCATCTCGCAATCGGCTTTCATTTTTCATACGAATCAACTCCCTCTTATCGCCTTGGCTCTGAACTGCATTCGGACCTAGGGGGGTGCCGTAAAGAACAGGGGTAGAGAGGACAGCACCGTTAGCAGAGCGTGGCATTTTAACTTGAACTTCACAGTCCGTAAAGTCCTTGGGAGGTTGAACAAGGTAGAGCTTAATTTTGACATGGATCGTAGCCAATAATTTTATCCACTCAGCGCGGAGCCGGCTTACAATCTTAAGAATAGTATCATGATCATAAGCATCGACACGGATATAACTCGGCAGCTCATCATCAACATAGATTGGACAACCAAATTCCACTCGGAGCGGATCAAGGGCCTCTAACCGTGGTCCAAGAGACGACTCGATCGGAAGCTCATCGGCTGGCCAGAGGAAAGCTAGCTGCAGCAATGTAAGTGTCCATGATCCCCATTAAAAGGACAACCTGTAGAGCGTACCGTCTCTGGAAATCTAGCCGATGGGTCCGGTTTCTGCCTGAGGAGCTGCAGAACAGATTCGTGCTTTTCAACTTTATTGATCATCTCCTCCTTCTGTTCAGAATAAGACTGAATTTTTACGAATTGGGCCGACTTCTTTTTGGCCTGTGCTTCCGGCGGCTTGAACACAGCCAGGGCTCGTGAAATCAGGAGACGAGCCTTTCTAACCTGGTCTGACGTGCCCCACACTCTTATGTGCTGTAAACAGTGTATCAGCGATAATATACCTTATTGATTGGGTAACATAATAACCTGATCAGAGTTCGGCGGAGGCGGAATGAAGGCACCGGTCTCTGCCATTACTTGTTCGAAAAGGACCTTTTCCACTTCTTCGGGGACTCGAAGTTTATTATGGCTCATGATCCTAGACATTGAGTAAGCTTCAACGCGTTTTTCAAGTCTTTTTTTTTTCCAGGATCGTACTTTTGTCTTAACTGCCTGTACTGAAAAGGGAGATCGATACGACCTAAAGCACTAAGCAAAGGCTACCTAAGAGTCATATGAACAGTAAGCATACCAGTGTGAGGAAGGCCCGCCCTCCAAGCTGCTTGAGCCGGTGTATCTTCGGGTTGCGCCGTACTCCTATTTCGCTGGCTAGGTGTTCCAGGGGCACCTTTTTGTTTGACCCAAACAGCACGTGTCCGATTTGCCAATGATGGCGGTGCAATTCCGCCTGCTGGCGCTGGTTCATTCTGGGCATGTATATTCCTATTGACGATGGGAGCTTTAATTCCAGTTTGAACTGGAGATGGTCTATTCAGAGAGGCAGCGGATATAGAATTTTTTGGGAATTGAAAGCCGCTTTGGACACGAGGACGAGAAATTTGTTGGCCACCAGCTGGGTCTTTAAGATCAGCTAAGGTGACACCTTCAGGAGGGTCATTTCGGCGAGAGCTGATTCTTGAAAGCTTTGGTGAAGGCTCATCTCCATCCAATAACCATTCTATTGTTTGTTAGTCGGTTCTTGAACGCACATGGAGTGGTGGAAAAGAAGTCTAGAGGCAGTGTCAGAATATGCATTACTTACCTTGCGCGCCAACAAGCTCATATCTGTGGGCTGTTAGCAATTAAAAGCAGGTGAGAAAATGGACACAAAGGGAGGCATCCTCTTACTCCTCCATTTTGTGTGTTCTGCTATATCTGCAGTCTCAAAGGGAGATAGTTGCAGTATCTAGTATGAAACCACTGCGATCAAGAGCAAGCAAAGAAAGACACATTGAGAGAAGGAAGTCTGAAGCTCCAGAGGGGGGGTTGTCGGCGGGTTGGCCAGACGGTTGGTGAGCAGTCTTGCTTGTGACTTCCTCTGGATCAAGTGTTTGGCGAGTGGAACGACGGCAAGGTCCTGCAGCGGCATCTTCCCAGCAGACCTCAAGTCACCCAAAATCATGTGCCTGGTTAATAATCAAGCAATGCTGTTGCAGCTCTCAAAGAAGATCTTGCAGTGAATTCATTTACATCCAGCTGCAGAACCGGCTGTCGGCATGCTGGATAGTTTTCTGTTTGTATGTATATCAGAACCCTATCGTCAAAAATGTGGTGGATGAGCACAAATTATGTACTAATCCATCTACATGCATGGTATCAGTGAGGTTCAAGAAGGGAAGAAATAGCCCAACCAATCTCGAAATTGGCAAAAGCGAAACCGCTCTCCCGTCCGCATCGTAAAAGTGAGCCTGTCTGAAGGTCGATGCGAGCTGTTCTCTTGTCCGTCCGCGCTTCAGCTCCTCGTCCGCCGGAATGCCGTGGACTGATTATGTCAGCACAGTGGTGAGCTTCTTCCAGCCAATCAGCGAACAGCAGAACACTGGCCGCCGACATTCAACCTCCAGATCTGACCGGATCGATCTTATCTCCCAATTGCAAAGAGAGTGACTGTCTAACCGCCAAAATGTCCGGCAACCGGCAGGCTAGGTAAATGCGATCAATTCTTGTCATTTCATTCTTTCTGTGGTCGCTAACTGCTGCGCTCGTAGATTCAATCAACATGTCCTCATCGACACCACGCCCATGCCCGATGAGGTTCCGAAGGTGGAAGAAATTGGAGCGAGCTCCGCGCCTTTGATGAGTGCCTCGTATTTTATTGGCGATCGATGCAAAGCATTCAATGACGACTACATGAAATGCAAGGAGGAGGCAAATGGGAAAGGAGAATTGGAATGTTTGAAAGAAGGCCGCAAGGTCACTCGCTGTGCCGCGAGCGTGTACGTCCATTGCTCGTCCATGGCATGACTGGCGGGGAATAATTGCTTATTGAATTTGATGTCACAGGCTAAAAGATATCAACACACACTGTCTTAAGGAATTCCGGGGCCATTGGGAGTGTCTTGAAAACAACAACCAGCAGCTCTGGCACTGCCGGGGCCCCGAACAGAAGCTCAACGCTTGCGTCTTTGACAAGCTCGTATGTATTCCTTTCAAGGCCGACCCGCACCTATGCTCCTATCCTTTAGGTTAATCCTGTGCTAACGGGTGTTTTCCTCCCTACAGGGACTAAAAAAGGTCATCCCTGATACTCCAGAAGGTCAAACTCCAGTGCACCTCAGGAGAAAGCAGATATTCGCCAATTCCCAAGCCCCGCAATGGTAGATTTCATTTACAATTGATTCCGTGATGTATATATCGAAATGATCGCGTCGTTATCCTTTTCTTTTTTTTTCCCGTCTGTTCCTATAGAATCTTATCCCCGCTTTTCTCGGGCCCGTCTTGCACTTGACCAGGCATCGCGATGCCTTCCTCTCCGTGTGGATTCGCAGCATTATGCTGTTCCCACGCGCGTTGTGTCGCGAAATCTATTCCTGTCGTTTGAAATCATCAAGTTCTATTTTTCCGGCCCACGGGGTTCCAGTCATAAACCTCCATCTCCAAAATCTGACGTTCATGAAATGGAGAAACGGTTCGTGCGGATAATTTCCAATTATAGTGACCAAAAGGTACAAGTCTTTTCTCTAAGGTCACAGCTCATGCCGTGGGTATGTGTCTATATATATGTTCTTGAAGAGCACTGATCGCAATCATAACTTCCCACTCGGCTCGTTCTGCATTTGTGCTCGGTAATTCCTTAACCGGTTTGCGTGCTGAGGTTTTGCGTCTACTGCGACTTTATGATGCTCTGCTGTGGCATAAATTGTCTTGCCATCAACAGATTCCATGACACCTCGAAGCAGCGTCATTGTTTTTCCATGTTGAAGCACATTTGCACGAATTCGTACCGTTGTCCCTGCAATAATCATTAGGTTGTGTATTCGAGGCGCTGTGCTTCTGCATTTCTTGAAGCCAATACGCGAACATACCGATAGGTATAGCTCTGAGATAAGAAATGTTCAGGGAACGGGTGACGCCAGCGAGAAACCTAGAAGACTCTAATGAGCCACCACGGTCTTCAACATTCGCACACTACAATGCGAAAGGGGATAGATTACTCCCAATACCCATCTCTCGCTATTGGATTCATGGCTATCGCTGTGCACATATCTTTTCAACTCTATTAGTATCGGTCCGAGCAAGGGTCACCCATTTTTGCCCTCACACTCACCAAATATCACCGCATATGCTCCTCCATGCATGACTCCTACTCATATCCAGTGTTGCTTAGCATCCTCTCCTCCGTACGGGCATGGTTGGTTTGTGTATACCATTCATATTCACCCAGTGCTCGGTGACATCCATTTCCCATAACGCGCCGCCCGTGGGTTCAGCATCGATCAGTCGCAAATCATGCATCAACTGGCGGTCGTATCCCTAGCATCGCATGAATTTTTGAGTTGCCTCGATTCTCACTTCAAGCAGATTGAATTACCTGTAGAGCTTTAAACGTACTTTGAAATCATTCTCCTTCATTAACCCTCGGTAGCTGTACGGGTTGTATGGATGAGCAAATCATTCTTCTCCATGGTGACGGGTAACCTCACACATCGAGAAATGTCTGCACCGCTTGCATGGCCTTCTTCCTTGCTTCAGAGTCCGCCATTCTGGTAACGTATTGTGGACCTTAATGTGTCCTTCGTGCGAATGTCGCTAAGCAGTAAAATATGCCCACTTACAATAACAAAGGGATAAGGATAAGATCAGCCTTGTTTTAAATCATAGACAGAAATCAAAACCATACATTGAAGTTGGGTTACTCAAAACTGGTGACAATAAGTTCTCCGCAGGCTTGAGAACCGGCCCCGTTTTATGTACGCGTTTTGCGGCTCATTGCTATGGACCTCGGTTCGGCCCCTGGGGCTCGAACTTGGTTATGTAGGCGCCTCGTCTTGCTAATAATGAACTTAGAAGAATTGCTCCTCTTAATAGTTAGTGATCTGGATAGCTGGTTGGATTTCAAGTCTTCTCTGGGTTGAATGCCCGAAGTCGCATTATTCCTCTTCGTATCTCAAACGGTTCACGGCGATTCTAACATGAAAGCCTTCACTATATATGTACATACATAATTCATACAGCGAATCGCTATCTAATATTGTAGGTAATGAAAAGATTGTAGAAAAGTATTTACAAGACACCCATCTCACAGAGTGAGCTCTGCTAGGGTTAAGTATCTGCGAAACCGGACTTTGGACAGCCGCTTCTTGAACTCCGCCCATATGTATTTTATTCTCTCTTCAACTCGTCGGTCACCCCGAAGCCTCAGCCAAACACATATCACGCCGAGGAGCACAATATCCCAGCATATTTGCTTTATCGCAAGCCAAACCAGCCATTTCACCCATACCCATATAGTTCTTCTGCGTCCGTTATGCTGTGCACGTGTTTCCATGAGTTCCCTCATAGCGGCAATTTCGGCGGTCATTTTAGTCAAGGCCTGCTCGACTCGTCTTCGCCATCGCCGGCTTCGCTTCTCCCGGTCTATATCTAAATCTATATGTGGTCTCTGTTGACGTACGTCATCCTCGTCTTGGTCCTCGTCCCCGTAGAAGCTGTCTCGTGCTTCTTGGAACTCTTCTTCATCTTCGTCATCATCCTCATCCTCGTCACCCTGCTCCTCCCCTGGCATACGATCATAGTTTCGTCTTCTCATCATTTGTTCTTCAGGCTGGCTGACTGGGCTCAGGACTCTCAATCGTGAATCCCTCCCTGAATGTCTCCCCATTTGATTATCATCGGCTCGCGCCATTCGGCCTCCGATTGAATCATAATTTCCGTGTGAGTGTAGATGATGTGGCCTCACCATTTGAACTGGGCTTGAGGAAGATGAAGATGCGGTGTTTGATTTTATCTGGTCCCAAACAAACTCCAGCTCCGATATCAGCTCTCGTGCCTCGGGCGTTGGAGCGGCGTATCGATGCATCGTCTCTATCAACGTAGTAATATAACGTCGTTTTGCTTCCGTCCGCGATAAATTCTTCTGTGCGTACCACGCATCCCTATACATGGGTATATCCAGTCAGTCCCGTATCTCAGCACTTTGGATTTCGGAAAAGTAGAGAACCCTGTCCCAAAACACCACATACCATTTCTCCTTCTCGGCCTGAACATCCGCCCCATCCCCACTTGGCCGGTCCATAACCCCTTCTACATTCCCCTCTAACCGGTTTTGCCAAAGGCTCTTATCAGCTTCGTGTCTCCGTGCCCAAAAAAACAACTGACAATAACACAAAAGGAAGCCCCAAGGAGGGAGGCAGGAAAAGGTGCGAAATACCCATGCTCTGCTTGTATAGTCCATATAGCTTCAAACGGTCCGCCGGGGGTGGGCGCGCCGACCCCGTCCGTGGAATCTTTTTAACGGTATTAAGTGCATGGACAAAGACCCGATCTAGATAAACAAACGAGGAGCATATGTCAGTCACGAAACGGCGAAATTCAACCGTATCTCCCACGGATAAACCGAGATTCTCGAAACGTGGTTAGATGAACTCTTACCAACGGAGTCCGACATGGTTAGGGGAGACTCAAGAGGCGATGCTTCCTCCGTTGACTACAGGTATGCAACCCGGATATCGCGGCGGGCTGTGGAGGCGGTAGATGCGAATTGGTCACGGAAAGATGAAGACAAGGTGCGAAACCGCCTTGCAAAAAAATAAACATTAATCAATTTTGGAATTTCTCTGAAGATAAGAGATTATCTCCCATAATATATTAGGCCGGTAGCAACAGAGGAAACAGTGCGAACAGCATGCTTCCCAGGTGGTAAACTAGGGATGCTTGAGCCGCGGTTGTGGCGACCAGCCAATCGTTGGATGAGGATCTCCTGGGGCGACCGGACAAGTCACGCTGTTCACGTGAAACTGACTTCTCCTGAATAGAGTCAGATTCACGAGCTTGCGACAAGCTTGGAGAAACTAGCTAAGTGGATGATGGACAGGCTCTGCTTTCTATGTATACTACAAGCACTGGAGCTGTTTGGTTTTGGACGCTACCCCATGATCCACTGCTTCAGGCCCAGAAGTTACAGATCACTGCGAGAACTAAGCTGGAGTTCGGGAGTACGTACTCTTTTCAAAACGAAGCAACAGCTTTTGTTTTAATTGCACATCTGTTGTGATTAATATGTTACAGGTTCTAGCGCCCACCTGATGCCCGTCCCCATAATACAATTTCTTCACATTATGGCCTTTGGCAAATGCATAAAACAAGAAATCAACAAGACCCTAAGAATCAAAGGGATGGGAATGAGGGAAAAGCAACCTTAACAATCTGCAATGCCACAAAAGAGGGAAAAAAAAAAAAAAGAAAGAAAGAAAGAAAGAGGAAAAGGGGGTGTGGGTTTGTAGGTAATAGCGGACCAGTAAAAACAGATGGGGGCTATGGAGAGTAGGAAACAGAAGACCCTCAACACAGACCGTTGGCTCAGCGAGGAGGCATAGAAAGAGTTAATTTGGGTGATAACATAACAACATTAGTGCATTTTCAATGTCATTGCTCATCATTCCAGCAAGTCCAGAACCGGCCGCCTAACACCTCGGGCAAAAGTGAGAACAAAATAAAACATTTAACAGCATTTAGCTGGCAAGGAAGTCAAAAGATGGATGCCACCAAAATACCTGACCCGATAAATATGGACGTGGTTTTGGGCAATTCGGGTTTCGCTTGAAGGTTTATTTGATCCATTGAACCTGCTTTGGCTCTCGATCTATGTCACTTCAAACCGATACCATCAAAGCAGTCGCTATAGCAGGCTCACGATGTCGAGAATGTTATTAAGAGCATCCGACGGAAGACATAAGTGGAAACGACGGATAATAGGGGGTGAGAATTCGGTTACGATGTTTGCGCCGCGACACCGGTGACATTAGAGGCATCGCGTCCACCTCGAAAATTTCCCCTTCCACGTCCACCACCATACCCGCGACCATACGAACCTCGACCGCGGCCATATCCCCTTCCTCTTCCGCGTCCTCTGAATCCGCCACGATAACCTCCATCAACGCTTCCTTGTCCGAAAGTCTCCATGTTTTTCTTTTCCTCTTCACCACGGCGCCCACGACGAACACCTTCTACCCGGTCACGAGCTTCGCTGGAGAGGTTATCAAAAAAGGAAGACGATTTGTCGTAGGCGGCGACAGTTCCACTTGATGTAGCGGCTCCATTCGTACCATTTGTCGCAGCTGTTCCGTTGGTCGCCTTGTCCTCGGATTCCGCGAGCGGAGAACCCGATGCAATGGCTTCTTTGGCAACATCTTGTTTGTTGAACTTCGCGTTTGCAGATTCGAAATCAAAATCGGTACTCGGAACCTCAACTTTCTTAACATGTGGCTGGTGGTATCCACCACGATGGCCTCGTCCTCCGCGAACATTTTGATGTCCTCCACGAGCCGGGCGTTCACCCTCGAAGGGCTTCATTTCACCAACTTTCTTGGTTACTGATTCAACGGCTGCTTCACTACCCTGCGGCTTTCCCTGAGCAGATGGCGGCTGGGGTAACTTGGCCATAGCCGCAGCAACAGCTGCTGTGGCAGCTTTTGTTGCCTCTTGCATCGCTACAGGGGTACGGGCATTTTGCGTAGCTGTTTGTGAGGCCCCAGTGCCGTTAAGGGAAATATTGGTTGTCGCAGGAACAGGAGGTTTTGCTGCAGGGATAGATATGGGGATTGCTGGTACAACCCGTTCTGGTTTCTGTGCGTTACTGGAGGGAGCCTGGATGGGTTTTGTAGTAGTTGCAGTGCCATTCATTGCGGGGGCCGATGGAGCGGTGGCAGAAGCGCTGCCGGGCACACTTGGTTGCGGTTGGGCTTGCTTTGCATCAGGCTTCTCAGGGGCACCGCTCAATGGCGCGACTGCACCTCCAGGTCCAGGCGCCGGAGCTGGCGTCGCCGGTTTACTCGAAGGTTTGGTAGCAGGTTTCTCACCGACCGGGAGTTCAGAAGTTGCCTTGGGCATGGCTGGACCAGGTTGGGTATTTGGACGCTGTTGCTGGCCTTGCTGAACCTGAGAGGGTCCAATAGGCATTTGTGGCGGAGGGAAGTTTCCAGGCTGTTGTTGGAAACCTTGACCAGGAGGAGGATACCACCCTGGGGGGTTGTTGTATGGCATGTTAGGGAAACCAGGGCCTGGCGGAAACCCGGGTGGACCATATCGCTGACCGTATGGGCCATAGTAGCCTGGGAAGGGTGGTTGTTGAGGAAATCCGGGAGGTGCTGGACGGGGTGGTTGGGGGAAATGGTTTGCCTGGCCTCGGCCTGCCCCCTGCGGAGGACCAGGACGGGAAGAACTCTGTACGAACAACTTCATCAGCCCAGCGGAACGATATTAAACGATATAAAAAAGAAGTTATGTTCATGAAACGTTAGGTCAGAAGGAAGGCAACGGAAAATATCCACATCGTATTGCGCTTCGGAACAGGTCTGTGATTTACATCCGTAATATTTCATCATGCGATGGGGATGATAACTGAGGGAGGATTGAAGAAAATGCACGGAGATGACATCGGATAAATCTTAGAACTTACTCCAAGGATAGCAGGGTCATTTGGCATTTGTGGTGGCTCGGCTTGCTGATTCTCTTTCTGCTCATCCGCGAAGCTTATGTCCTTCACGTCACTTCCGCGAAAAACAATGTACTCGTAAACACTAGCGGAAGGGGCTATTTCTTCAGACGGATTACCGCGTCGACCTTCCGTGCCGTGCGAGATGACATTTTCGAGGGCGATGGTAGACGCTTCGGGATTTATCTCATGGAGCGTTCCCACGTAGCTGGGATGCGGGTTAGGTGTCTGAAATCAAGTCACTTAGGTTGTGGAATATTGATCATACCGAATATCACTCTTCGAAATCAAGTTGAAGCGACGCCTGTAAGCTACATATTAGCAAAAGAAAACCAGCTTATACCAAATTTGGAGCAATTTCACATACCCGATGAAATGGTTCATATCCATGGATGCGGAATCTCTGCGCGCAGAAGCGCAAGATTAAGAGAGAGCAAGATTTGCACGATAATAAACAATAAGTGACTAAAAGGTAAAGGTAAAGAAGGAGAGGAGAGCAAGTTGGCGGATGCGGGATGCTGGAGATGGGGGCGAGCGAGGTCTGAAAGTGAGACTGAGAGTGAGGATTGTAAGGTGGAAGAAGGGCTGGGAAGAATCCAGCTAAGCCGTTTCTGGTAAAACGGGGCTAGTTAACTAACTCAAAAGCTAACCACGGCCGGCAGCATGCACCTGCTGTGCAAATCTCCGCCACCAACTGAAGCCTGAAGTGAATTGAGGAGCTGTTGAGGCCGGAGGGGTGTTTATCACGATTGAGAGCGAATCTGTGGAAAACTCCGAAGGTCATCCACAATGCAGTCGGCGCACCGCGATGATTTCTTTCAGACAACGTTTGTTTACGCTTCTCTCACTCAGCGCATCCTCCTACTGACACTGGTATGTCTAGGACCTCGTTGGAGGAGAGTCGACGGAAAGCTGAGAAAGCGGGAAATAAAAATGGAAATCCAATTCAGCTTCCAGGCAAGATTCTAGCAATTGCTCCCGATCCTTTTAACTTGAACTCTATCTTTATCGCGGAAAGTTCTGGTGTTTTGAGAACTATCGCCCTCGAAGTGGGTGAGCGAATGATACCCCGCGCCCAACGACCCCACGAAGCCGTCTAACAGAAAGGAAATATCCAAGACAGGTGAAACCACTGCGGTTTATAGAGGGCCTACGGCACCATTGACGAGCCTTTCCTTCTCTCCCGATGGGAAGACTGTATTTTCCGGATGCTGGGACAAAAGCATTTGGAGTTGGGATGTGAAGACCCGCAAGCCTGGGCGCAGGTACCTCGGACACACAGATTTTGTAAAAACAGTGCTCTGTCCCCGGGTTTCCGGCTTCAATATCCTCATTTCCGGTGGAGCAGACGCAGAGGTTATCATTTGGGATGTATCTAAAGGCACGAGGCTCCATGTCCTCAAAGACCATTCACGCGGGGTTCAGGACTTGATTCTAGATCCTGTTGCGACAGAGGCGAGCGGCGTCATTACAGTTTTCAGTGCCTGCAGCGACCGTACGATACTACCTTTTAGCATACCGTCAAGTCCAGGAGCTTTGGCGGTCTCGGAACCTATCCTAGAACATGAAACCAGTGTTTATAGGTTATTTTTTGACGAAGATGGAGATTTATGGACTGCCTCTGCTGATAAAACCGTTAAATGCCTTACACGAGAAAGTGGGTGGAAATCAGATCTTATCTTAGAGCACCCAGATTTTGTGAGAGATGTGGTAGTACACGAAGCAGGTGGGTGGGTGATTACTGCTTGCAGGGATGAAGATGTTAGGATATGGAATCGAGCTGTGAGTCTACCTTTTGTTTTTATGAGCCCTAAAATTGATGTTGACCAACCAAGACTGGCGAACTCCACCACACATACCACGGTCATTTTGAAGAAGTTACTGGTCTGCTATTACTTGGATCTAAAGTTGTCAGCGTAAGCATTGATGGTACCATTCGACAATGGTCTCTCCACCCAGAGGATCTTCATCAAGCAAAACTAGAAGCCAGGGGGGTTCCCAAGGACGAAGAGACCGCTCAGGGTGGAGGAATGCTGACGGAAGAGGAAGAACGCGAGCTCGATGAATTACTGAATGAATATTAGATGAAATCTTCCAGCAAAGGTCAGGAGTAATAATTAAACAAAGTAGTATAAATCATAAGTAAGCCACTTGATGAAAATTTTTAAGGTCTCAATCATCTGGGCAATGTTCTGCACTGGGACAGCGCTCGTGACACTTGACAGAGCAATGGATAGGATATTTCCTGCTGGACAGAATTCCCAGTATTTTGTTTCACAAGCATCCTTCAATAAGGCTAGCAAAGATGTAATTCCCATATTGTTCTGCATACACGCAGTGCACCTCTCTGTGAAATGGCCCAAACCTCAAGGATCTGCCGCTGAGAACTAAATCACGTGCAGTGATGATGTCAACGCCTCTTCGTTGGATCGTTGCATCTTTGCCTCTCCATTGTATGTACCCTTGCCAGGTAGTTAGTGGCCTCCGTGCATGACAGCTGTTTGCTCAAATGCATAGTAGCATAACAAAAGGAAACCAAGAACTCTCTACTCTTTGACCTTTCCATCCTTCAACATTTCATATCTCAATCAGATTTTGCGACTCGCCTGCGACAAAGGCCCCGCCGAATGGCGCATCAAGGGCACCCGGTGGCTTCCAAGAGTTAAAACGCATTTTCACTTAAAGTCGCAGGCCCATTGCAATTGTATCATATCTTCCAGAATGGCAAGTCTCTCGCATAGACGGTCTGCCGAGGCGGCCACTGAGACCGCTGGTCCGTCGCGACTCGTAAATCGGCTCTCCGAAAGCCGGTCTCCATACGTATGTCGCCCCCTAATTGGATGAGGAGCTGAAGTCCTAATTCAGATGCTAAATATTACCCTTTAGGTTCGTGGACACATGAACAACCCGGTGGCCTGGCAATTGTGGGATTCAGCGGCCATTAACCTCGCGAAGAGACTTAACCGCCTGATCTTCCTAAGCATCGGCTACTCAGCCTGCCATTGTCTGTACTACTAGGTGTATTCCCAATATAAGCCGCCTTCGCTAACATCTGCACAGGGTGTCATGTAATGGAAAAAGAGTCATTTATGTCACCGGAAGTTGCTGCCATTCTGAACAAGTCCTTCGTTCCCATCAAGCTTGACCGAGAAGAGCGACCGGACATCGATGAGGTGTATATGAACTATGTCCAGGCCATCACAGGCTCCGGCGGATGGCCTTTAAATGTTTTTCTAACTCCAGATCTTGAACCTGTCTTCGGCGGAACATACTGGCCAGGGCCATACAGCAGTTCAATGCCTAGAGTCGGCGGCGAGGAACCCATAACCTTCATTGATATCTTGGAGAAGCTCAGAGACGTCTGGAACAGCCAGCAACTCAGATGTATGGAAAGTGCGAAAGAAATCACAAGGCAGCTTCGAGAATTTGCGGAAGAGGGTACCCACCTACGCCGACCAGAAACTGAAAGTGAGGAGGATCTCGAGTTGGAGCTTTTGGAAGAAGCCCACCAGCACTTCGTCTCTCGTTATGACCCAATCAACGGTGGCTTTTCGAGAGCGCCGAAGTTCCCGACCCCTGCAAATTTGAGCTTCTTGCTGCGTCTGGGAAGATACCCTGATGTTGTCATGGATATCGTCGGCCGAGAAGAATGTGCCCGCGCTACTGAAATGGTATCTAAAACTCTTTTGCAAATGGCCCGAGGAGGTATACACGATCAAATTGGCCATGGATTCGCTCGATACAGCGTTACTCCTGATTGGAGCCTACCGCATTTCGAGAAGATGCTCTATGACCAGGCCCAACTGCTGGATGTCTATGTTGACTGTTTCGAAATCACGCAAGAACCTAAGCTACTGGAAGCAGTCTATGATATTATTGCATATATAACCAGCCCGCCGATTCTATCCCCTGAAGGTGCTTTCCACTCCTCCGAGGATGCGGATAGTTTTCCAAACTCGAACGATACCGAAAAGCGTGAAGGGGCATTTTATGTGTGGACACTCAAAGAAATGCAACAGATATTAGGCCAACGAGATGCAGAGGTTTGTGCACACCATTGGGGCGTACTTCCAGATGGAAATGTTGCGCGGGGCAATGATCCTCACGATGAATTCATAAATCAGAATGTGCTGTGTATCCGAGCGTCTCCTCGCAAAATTGCAAAAGATTTTGGTTTGAGTGAAGATGAAGTCGTCCGTGTAATCAAGTCGTCTAGGAAGAAGCTTCAGGAATTCAGAGATGAACACAGGGTCAGACCGGATCTAGATGATAAAATCATTGTTTCCTGGAACGGCCTCGCTATTGGTGCCCTTGCTAAATGCAGTCTCCTTCTCGATAAAATCGATGCCGAAAGGGCGACGCATTGTCGGCGAGTCGCTGAAAAGGCAGCCAAGTTCATCAGGGAAAATCTATTTGACGCGGAAACTGGCCAGCTTTGGCGCGTTTACCGTGACGGGAGAAGAGGAGAAACCCCTGGTTTTGGCGATGATTATGCATATCTCGCTTCTGGGTTGATAAGTCTATACGAAGCCACTTTCGACGATAGCTATTTGCAGTTCGCCGAAAACCTCCAACGTAGGTAGCCCAGTGCCTTCCAGTTATTATGACTCGTGACTATTGCATATACTTACCGCTGCTACAGAATACCTGAATAGGTATTTCCTTGCTACGGCTTCTGACGGAACCACACCAGCGGGTTACTATATGACCCCGCAGAATATGCCTGGAGACGTCCCAGGTCCGTTGTTCCGACTCAAAACGGGTACAGATGCAGCGACGCCATCGACAAACGGAGTGATTGCACAGAATCTCCTTCGTCTTGCCTCATTGCTGGAAGACGACTCATACAAAGCCCTTGCAAGGCACACGTGTAGCGCCTTCGCCGCTGAAATGTTACAACACCCTTTCCTTTTCGTGGGTCTCTTGGATGTAGTTGTGGGCCTGGAAGTGGGCGTGAAAAGCGTGATCGGCGTTCTTGGGCACGACACCACAGCGGTTAGATCTAGCGAGGGTCCCCGCATGGCGGTGGAGGGTCAAGAAAGTGCCAGAGAAGTATTTGATAGCCCAACTGCGGCCTCCGTGATTCGGAAAATGCGCGACGAGGCCGGTTCTGCGATCTCCACTAGCACGGCTGTACTTGCACTTGTTGACGTACGCACGGGCGACGCTGACCAACACGGGGCCGTGGGTTTGTCTGCGTGGCTGGGAAAGCGGAACACTTTGCTCAAAGATCTCCGGCCTGGGAAGAATTTCTTGTTGGTGTGTGAGACGGGTGCGTGTCGCACGATTGATTTGCCTGCGGCGCTATGAGAAAGCTACATACAAGTGGCCCTGGGAGTAGATATCGGTTCCTTGAGAAGAGCTTGTATTCCCGGAATGCAGTGGAGAGAGTGATAAAGTACAGCGCCTCGTACATACGATTGCTTGACACCTCTAGTTTAATGGTGTAGATATTGTGTACGCTGGAATTGAGCGGAAGTAAAATGACTTTTAGTGCGCTTCCTTCCTTTGCCGTAGCATGATCTCTAGTTGTCTCACACACTTTGAAGATGGCTAAATGTTACTACATTTATGGGTAGTCTCCTCGTTAGGAGCCTCGTAGCCGTATGGAACAGCATCGACATGACGGAGTGTTGTGTGGATAGCACTAAGGTGCGTCTACATTCGGAACACAGGTGCTTTTGTTCCGAATATTAACCAACCACCCCTAACACCCCCAAGCAATGATATGGGGAAAGCGATTAATCCGCCCAACTGATGAGGGTATGCACTCGGGATGAGTGCACGAAAGGAACTTCCTCTGTACGGGGCAACCGACATGGCAGATTCGGCGGGAGGGCTAGACAAGGTACCGAGTTAGCGCCGGCCCTGGCTAGCAATCAAACATTCTGTTCGATCCAAAGCGACCCCACCCGGACACCGAAAGATGTTTCAATCGCGCACGCACACAAGCCAAGCATGACATGCAAGCTTGAAGCAAGACGGCCGATCGAAGATCAGCAGCAAGAACCAGAGGATCGGAACATATTCCAGCACACGGACAGTCCGGGTTAATTAGATAAGTTGAAGATAATTACCCGAGGGAGCTGCGGCGGGCCACGTTGGTGGTGATTCACTATTCTTTGAGAAAAACGATGGTGATAGTGATAGTGATAGCGATGGCGATGGTGAAGTTGTTCAAGCGGCGTTGAGCGAAAAGCTGATGGCCCTACAGTAGTTAGGTGAGCAGTGGTCACAAACATGGCACAGGACACTTGCAATCTCACGGAAACAACGGCTCCAAGGGTCCTATGCCGGAGATGGCTGTTTTTCAGATCGACGTGAGCCATTCACATCCGGGCTTTTCAATGGCCGATTCCCGAAGCCATTGTTAGTTGAATTGAATTTGAAGATTTTATGGTATACTTGGGACATGGCAAATTTCTTTTTTTTTTTTTTTTTTTTTTTTTTTTTTTTTTTTGGAAGGCTGGTCCCTTCAGGCGCCTTCATGATGGGTCTGCTGGTGCCGTCAGTGGACAAGCGGTTCTCAAATTTGCTGAGGTCAGGAATCAGGGTCTTTCAATCTTAGGCACCTAGAATGTGACATCCCGGATGCTTATCCAACGCTACCCGGTTCGACGTGTCTGTGGAAAATCTTTGTGATGCGGCCTACTTGCCGACCCATGCTTTCCTCCTCGGAGACCCAATCCGTCCGGGAGAAACTATTGGGCCAACGGATGTGTGCGCAGGTTAAATTGAGTGACACGAATGTTTGACATGGAAAAGGTTATTCCTGGGCCATCTTATTGACCTGAACAAACGGAGCAGGGACCTGACCATTGTCTGGTCAATTGCGGGAGATTCATTCCGAGAAGAGAGACAATTAATTCATAGCCCTGCACAGAGCTCGGATAGTCTAATTCGACCAGGGACCGGGATGGAGACATGATATCACCTGGACGAATAGCGGGAGTGGAAGGGGGAAGAATCCGCGGCCAAAGCTCTTGAGCTCGCAGCAGATGTTCAAAGTTCCATGGCAAAGAAGCAACAAGGACAATTTTGGAAATTATGAGAAAGGTTGAACAAGTCAGCGCTAAGTCCGAAGGATTGAGCAGGCCCAGGGATACCACCAAGCACAATACCGCGGTCAGCAAGAGGTGGAATAAAGCCAAGTGCCGGAATCGGCAATCCTTGAGTCCAAAGGCAGACCCGGCAGTTGCTAGAGCGGACCAAGGCCAGTGGCCTAGAAATGTACGCGTAATTGTTGGATCCTTTTGGTGGTGAAGCTCTCGAGATCTCGGTTAAAGACAGTCGTGACAGGCGGTTCATGCTGGTGAAGATGGGCCGCCGACGACGACTCTCCACAGGTCTGTATGGTCACAAAGGAGAGCGATTTTTATGGATGGATATCAACCACTTATTTTCAGTCCCTCCCATGACAAGGAACCAGGGTTTACCGTATGCCAAGTCAAGACAGTTCTCCCTGGGTTGTCATCTCTCGACGGCCCGAGGACAGACTCAGCATGCTCGAGGTGGTAAAGTTTCCACTGACAACGCTGGTTCATAAATTGTGACTCCCTTTGTCAAGAGAGCTGATTTCGCCAGCAGCGACAGTGATAGCGCTCAACCACTCTGTACTCCAGAGGAATGATGCTTGCTCCCAGGAGTTCTTGGCTGTAATTATTTGTAGCCCAAGGGACGGTCGGAGGACGTGCAGAGCATAGTTGAAGATTTCTCCGTCCCCAAGGTCCTGATCGGCTCCATAGAGAAAAATTTTGTTACAATGGACCGGTTCGCTCGACCCGCCATCGTAGTCCAGAACCACTTGGAACGATCTGATACTCCCAGGGCATTATTTGGTCCCTTCATTAATTGTCGTCGCGATGGGTCCGTTTAAAGTTCACCAGACAGGCTCGATTGCTCGCAGCAAGCCGGGTCCAGCCAGCCAATTAGGCGTTGCTTCCCGCCCGCTCAGACGAACCCGCCGAGCCCGCGATGCAGAGTCCGTCCCTGAAATCCGAGAAATCCTCCGTGCTACGACATGGCGGAACGAGGAAGAAACATTAGGCCCGAATCTGACCCTGAACCCAAGCGCCGCCCTCCGACGACCGCCAGGAGACGGTAGAGCATGATAGCTTCTCCCGGAGCTGTTAGCCTCCGTGTGACAAGTTACCGCAGGAAGAACCGGCTGGTGCCTTCGAACAGAAAGCGTGTGGAGAGACGGAGGATCTGTTTCCCTGGTTTCGTTTCTTCTCGCGTGTGGTTCGGGGTGTTTTATCGAAGACCCAAACCGTTCCGTTCCGTCAGAGGGCCACGTTGTGACGTTCCCGAGCCAGCTCGCCAAAGTCCCTTGTTTCATGCAACAGATGGAAAATTCCTCTGGTTCGAGGACAGCTGCACAATCCGGGCATTTTTCTCCGGCCATGGCACCGAATCTACAATCCATCAGGGGGGTCAGCAGCGCCTAAGCTGCCGAAGCCTACTCATGTTTTTAAATCCCATCGAGCGTTTCCCTCGTCAGATCGGGGGCGAGCCTAGCGTGTTTCATGTCAAATTATGAGATGGGGCACATTTCCCACGCTGACCTGACTCCACCCACCAGGGGCCAGATACCGCTCAGATGCGAATCCATCTTGATGCCCCATCCGCTCTTCTTTTCTTCTGCTCCCCTTTAATTACACTCTCTCGGCTTTAAAATATACCCAGTCTCTCATTTCTGTCTACCTCTCTCACCTTCCCTTCTCCTTCCTTTCTTCTTTCTCTTCATCGTTGCACAGTTTCTGCTCCTTGTGGCCACTTTTCACTCTTTTAAAGTGACCAAGCAGCAAGTCACTCTTTTGCACATCTTCGCCCTCACTCTGCCTTGGACAGAAGTGTTATATCTTGCTCTCCAACCGGCTTGGGTTTCACCGTCCTTTTTGCTTTTGGATCATATTTCTTGGTCGACCAGCTCTTCCTTTGTGTGAAAGTCTGGTTGAAAACACAGTTGAACTGTGACTTGCAATATCATATCCAAGCCTGTTTCTCAACATAACCTAAAAGCATCAACCATGCGTTATTCCTCCTTTGTCGCAGCACTCTGTGTTGGTGGGGCCCTGGCGTCCCCAATCGAGCAGCGCGCCTATGTCACCGACGTTGCCGTTGTCACCAGAACCGTTTATGTGACTATTGGCGGAGCTCCCACCCCTGTTGCTGCTGCCAACCGCCGTCCATGGTGGCATTGGCCGGGAAGGCCAAGTATCATCTACCCTCCGCCTCACAAGCCATCTCCACGCCCAAGTCCGACTTCACAGGCTCCTCCACCTCCACCACCACCGCCGCCTACTTCTACTCAAGCTCCCCCTCCACCTCCACCTCCACCAGCCGAGACTACGACCCAAGCTCCTCCGCCACCTCCTCCAGCAGAGACCACTACCCAGGCTCCGCCGCCGCCTCCGGAGACCACCAAACCTGCCGAAGTACCACCACCCAGCGATGACTACAAGGGCGTCGTTCTCTATCACCACAACGTCCATCGCTCCAACCACTCTGCCGAGGCGTTGACCTGGGATGACAACTTGGAGAGCAGTGCTAAACAGCTCGCCGACACTTGTGTCTATGAGCACAATACGTAAGAACAAACTCGTGTCCCAGGTGTATAATGCTCGTTTAATATTGACAGCATCCTATAGCAAGTACAATGGCGGTGGATATGGACAGAACATCGGTTACCAAGGTGGATTCAGCAACATCGGTGCTATGCTCAGCAATGCCATGTATAACGGCGAGGCTCCCAAATTTGATGGCCTGTACGGCCAAGCCAACCCTGGAGGTAATTTCCATGAATGGGGCCATTTCACCCAGATTGTTTGGAAGGGTACCAAGAAGGTTGCTTGTTACACTAAGCGCTGCCCAACTTTGAGAGTTGGAGCCACTGGTTCCACTGTGAACAACGCCGATTTCATTGTCTGCAACTATGGTCCTCCAGGTATGTCCTCGCGTTTCTCGGGTCATTAAGGGGCCATACTAAATATGTGGATAGGTAATTATGCTGGTGAATATGACAAGAATGTTGGCAAACCCCTGGGCCATCCCACAGTCACTGCTTAAAGGTAAAACCGATGTACTTGCTGAATGCATGAACCCATTTGGCAAACGCATTTACGTTGTCGCGGTCTATGTCATGGGTAGTCTGTCAACTTCTTCTTGCTCCCTCCCTTCTTGAACGTATATTGCAGGGATGTCCTAGCTTTTGTCCCAGAATCATCTTCGACCCAGAGATGATTGCTTTCCGTTTCTCTCAAGCCATCTTGTGGGATTTCTTGGGATCTTTTAAATATGATTTTTGACCGCTTCCCGATACGCGTCCTTGTCCTTTTTCTTTTATAGACCTTCAACTTGTACGCAATTTGTTCAGCTCTTTTGCTATGACGTCTCCCCAACTGCCAGTCAATGCATCAACGCATATCGATTTTAAGGCAGTGACAGGCCTGTAGGGGGAGGGTCTGCGAAGAGTGTCATTCGGATTTGTGAAAATTTTTTTCTTCATTTCTTTCCGATACTGGCTTGGTTCTTCTGGATCTTGCAAAGCTTCGGCCCTTTTCTTTCGGACTTCAGAGAAAATATTTAGTGACTTTCCATTCCAATTCTAAGGTATTTGCTATCCAGGAAGGTTTGTTTCACAATGATCATGATGGTAAATGGGTGACGGCAGAAGTATATATTTAAAACGATAAAAGCAGTTACCGCCCCTTTTGACACATTTTGGGTCACCGCTAACGGTATTCTTCCGGATTGCCCAACCATATTCCCCAACGTTAGTGGCCGTCGTAGTACACGTCGAAGCCATGTTTGGACAAGACAGCCAGGTGCACAGACTGGGGTACAAAGTCCGGCTGTACGGAGTACATGCATACATATTGTCCACCTCCCGAAGACATGGTCTTGTGTATTTTGGCCCAAGCGGCTGACGGGTGATCAGCCATCGGGCCGGAACGTGCACAGGGAGGCACTAACTAACCAACCGCTAGTGAATTTGAACTAGTTCTACATAGTCGCCTGGGGCTGTCTCCACTGGCCGGATAGAGGCAGCGCGGATTCTGCTTGCACGCGGGGAATAGTTACGCTAAGCGCGCTCTCTCTCGAGGAGTCGGTGACGGTGGTGGAGAAAAGTACACTACATACCGGTCGGCTTAAAGGAGCGATGTTCCGTATTCCCACTGCCGAAAGACTTGCAGCCGGCACCGCACCTATGGTTATGGATCCCCGAGGTCTCGGAATCAGACCGTTGGAGTGGACGTCATCGGGGATTTTATAGGGAATACGATGAAGGTTTGACTTTGCGGAGAAGGAATCTTAAAACTTATTTAATGCTTGGTGATCGCGCACGGATTCCTGTTAGGGCCAACGGCCATCTTGAAAAGGATACTCAAAAAGTCAGCTATTTTCATAACAAATGAGCACAGACATACGAGTAGTTAAAAAAAAAAAAGATTTAGCCAAGTGGTAGATGGAGCGATGCTGGTCATTTAATCCGACGCAAATTAGCTCGTGGGCGCGCGGACGGCATGATGCAGTTACCTGGTTGCTGTCGGTGGCGAGCACGGAGGATTTCCACGATGGCCATCTTTCCCCCCGCATGACACATTCCCAGACGTGGAGAAGTGGAAGTTCGGCCACACTGTCCGAACCTGCATATTAATCAAGGGAGACTTGCAGAAACGGGTATTGTCCCTGCTTCCAACGACAGGGTCTATCAGCTTTAAACGGATGCCACGGTATTTTCTTTTTCTTTTTCTTCTTTTTTTCCTCTTTGCGATGCCGACATCATCCCGTAGAAGAAAATAAAGCCGAAGTAGCGCTCGTTCCGTCGCAGTAGCTCCTCAGGCCCTTTGCCCACCCCTTGAAACGACACTCCGTTGCGCCGAAGCAGTCCTATGGGAATCCTAAGGTTAAAAAAAGTAGGACATATCTCCCATCACTCCCAACTATCAACACCTGACGGAGATCATCTATCACCTTGAACGCATAGCACAATGTGAGTCGGAATCCTTTGTTCCTCTTCATTTTTATTGTTATTTTTTTTTTGTCCCCCCTTAGTGTACGGAGTGTAAGTATCTTTTTCCCGTTTGTATCTGCGGCTAGAGGCATTCACATGCCGCCATGAGGTCATCTGTCAGCCCTGCCTAAGCCAGGCTTATATACTCCGTACAACGCCCCTCTCAACATACTTTAAATGCCTCCCCTTTGATCAAGTTTTCATAATAAGAGTAAAAGGCCTGTCAAATGGTTGACGTTCCCATTTACTAACCCCCCAAAATACTTGCAAATGCCATCATACTGCTTGCAGGATTGTCACTACTTCTATCGCAGTGCGCTGCGACTTCTTTCATTACCTACCTTCATCGCTGCCCAGTACACTTGATGATTATTTTTGCATTTTTGAATCTACATATTTTGGTATAGCAATGTCTCACCCGCCTTCTCCAGTTCGTTTCTTTACCATGCCAAAACCGCTCGGTGATGCCCTAGAAGGGCCCAGTCGTCCTCAGGTATCTTCCTCGACTGGTGCAATCCCGCCTTCACCTAAACCTTCCGGGGAAGGGAATGATGGCTCAGTGACGAACCAGACAAGGGTCACCTTTTCAAAACAAGATTCGCTACCAAGGCTTCCGATCCCAGATCTTGAGTCCACCTGCCGACGATATCTGGAGAGCCTGGCTCCCTTGCAAAGTCCGAGCGAACATGAAGAAACGAAAGCCTCGGTTCAAGATTTTCTCAAGTCTGACGGCCCTGACCTGCAAGAAAAATTGAAACTCTATGCATCGTCGAAGACGAGCTATATCGAGGAGTTTTGTACGCCTTCCGCTACCTCTAGCCTGGCTTTTTGAATGCGATGCTGACTGATAACTATGTTTGGCTAAGGGTATGACTCGTACTTGAATTATGATAATCGTGAGTATAAATGACCCTATTTTCCTTTGTTCAGAAAGCTAATTCTGATTGTATATCAGCTGTTGTCCTCAATTTAAACCCGTTTTTCCTCCTGGAAGACGACCCCACCCCTGCGCGGAACCATCAGGTGACGAGAGCGGCTTCATTGGTTGTATCGGCTTTGTCCTTTGTGCGAGCAGTTAGAAGGGAGGAGCTGACTCCAGATACGGTTCGCGGAAAGCCACTGTGCATGTTCCAATATTCCAGACTGTTTGGCACAGCAAGGGTGCCCACAAGCAACGGGTGTGTTATAGGCCAAGACTCTGCTTCGAAACATCTCGTCATCATGTGCAGGGGACAGTTTTACTGGTTTGACGTTCTTGATGAAAATGATGATCTTATAATGTCTGAAAAGGACATCTCTCTCAACCTGAGCGCGATCATCGAAGACGCCGAGCAGACGCCAATACAAGAGGCTGCGAAAGGGGCGATTGGCGTGTTAAGCACAGAAAATAGAAAGGTTTGGTCCGGGTTAAGGGATATACTGAACCGGCAGTCGGGATCCAACAACGCCGATTGTTTGAATATTGTCGATACAGCACTCTTTGTCTTATGTCTAGACGATGCGGAACCTTCGAATATTGCTGAAATCTGTGGTAATATGCTTTGCGGAACGAGCGAGGTGGTCAAAGGGGTTCAGATCGGTACATGCACAAATCGATGGTACGATAAGCTTCAAATAATTGTCTGCCAAAATGGTAGCGCAGGCATCAATTTTGAACATACCGGTGTCGACGGACATACGGTTCTTCGTTTCGCGAGTGACGTCTTTACTGACACCATCCTCCGTTTTGCAAAGACCATCAACGGCCAGGCACCAAGTATATGGGCATCCACTGGCCCAACTCCCGCCAAGCGCAAGCCAAACGGTTACCGACATGCGAGCACCACACCACGCAAACTTGAATGGGACATGGGCCCGGAGTTGAGCACGGCGGTAAGGTTCGCCGAGTCCCATATTGCCGACCTGCTTCATCAGCACGAATTTGAAGCTTTGGATTTCCGCGCTTACGGAAAAAATTTCATAACGTCGATGGGTTTCTCTCCGGACGCATTTGTGCAAATGGCATTCCAAGCGGCGTACTATGGGCTCTATGGACGTATTGAAAATACATATGAGCCTGCCATGACCAAGACATATTTGCATGGTCGCACTGAAGCCATCCGTACGGTCTCATCGGAATCAGTTGACTTCGTGCAAACGTTCTGGGGTGACAACCCCATCGCAGAGAAGGTGAATGCCCTCAGGAAAGCCACGCAGAAACATACTGCGATCACAAGAGAGTGCTCGCAGGGCCAAGGACATGATCGCCACCTTTATGCACTCTACTCTCTCTGGCAACGATCCTTGGACGAGAGGCAGCCCAGCATCTGCAGTGGGGGGTCCAGTCCTGACGGCTACTCCAGCCCTATTGAAGGTGGTAACTCGGACGATAGTCACTCCTCAGTCAGCTCTCGGAGTGGCCGTAGCAAAATGAATCATTTACCAGAGATATTCAAAGATCCCGGGTGGGAAAAGATCAACAACACTATCCTGTCCACGTCGAACTGTGGGAACCCATCGCTCCGACATTTTGGATTTGGGCCGACATCCGGCGATGGTTTCGGCATCGGTTATATCATCAAGGATGATTCGATCTCGATATGTGCATCCTCGAAGCACAGGCAAACCAGTCGATTCATGCAGACACTGGAGTCATACCTGCTGGAGATCCGGAAGCTACTGCGGGCCGCCTCTCGCCCAAGCGAGGAGCCTCGCGCTGCTGCGCCGCCAAATGCGGCACAGGAACGGCTTGGCACGGGCACTCGGACTCCTCGTCGAGGACGGCTCATTCATACCGATGCGGCGGCACGGGAGGTCGATACGCCTATGACTGAGAGTGGGTGTTTTGATGACGATGGGATGGGCGGCTGTATGTTTCCCCTGGCCCCCCTGGAATCTCGTTCTACCGCTATTAGTGAAAAGCTAACCTTTTAATTTAACACAGATGGGTTCTTCGATGCCGGAATGCTCCTGCAGGCGTTGCAGGAGCTCCAGGAAGTTCGGGAGAGGGGTAGAGATAAGAAGTCAAGGCGGAGATTAGTTGGAAAGACACTGAAATTGAATGATTATTAGATGAGCATTGTTTTCTTTTCCTTTCCTTTTTCTTTTTCTTTTCCCTTTCTTTTTTTTTTTTTTTTTGCTTTTTAAATGATTGATGATCCTTCGACGATATGATGTGTCGGGAAGCCGAGAAACTACGCGTTGGCGCGGTGAAATTTGTACAGTTATGTATTCCGTACTCCGTACTGCGGATGGCTCCAGGCGGGAGAATTCTTGCTTTGTGTTCTGCATTCGGGTATTTTTTAGGCTGAGACGCCAGCGACCCGATGATGTCATCTCACAGCGGTCATAACAACGATGGGTTTTTTTCGCAATCGGATTGTACGGAACAGCAAGGAGGAGCAAGAAAATTACGACGAGAGATAATTTACTGTAGACTGTAAGAGTTCGACCAATCCTGCTGTCCAGGAAGTACGGCGGCTGTGCACGGCATGTCGATATGGGAGATTGTTGAGCATTCAAGAACGCACTAATGAGTGGCTATGACCGGAATTGCTTTTTGTTGACCTTCAATCCGGGGTCGGAACACATCTGTAGGTCATTCAATACAGAGAGTTAGTTGCGTACCCCATCAGCTATCGTTGTTATTGTTCGAGGCAACGTGATAGTACGGAACCCTCCCTTGTTTCAGGAGAATTTTAATTTTTTTTTGCCCTCGACGTGTCCGTCCTGAAAAATCAGGTCACCTTTTTTTTTTTTTTTTCCCTGCCAATTCATCGGAAAAAGCGAAAACGGGACTGCAGCGCTAGTGACGCCCCACGTGATCCCTGCCCGGCCAGTGAAGTACCTCAAGCCGGCGCTGCCCATACAAAATTCCCTCTTCCTCAAGCAAAAACAAAAGTGAAGTTTTCAGACGCAGCCGCACCGCCTGTCGTGAACCCCATCCTCGCTCTCCCCGTCGCCAGCACCCTCTTCTGCTGTGTGCATCCGAGGGAGCAGAGCCAATTGCTCTCCCCCAGCGTGTCCATTCATGCCTGATCCTCTTCCATCCCTGTGAATATCTGATCCTGCAGCCTTTCGTCTCGAGCAACCCGGCTTACCACATCGGGTTTAGCGCTGAGCTCGATCCGCTTCTGGTACCTCACCCTCGCCCAGTCAGGACCTGCGGTTAGGAGCGAACGGCATTATCCACTCCATCCCCCTCCAGCGACCTCCCCTTCGCTCTCGTTCGACGGGAGATCTCATCGACAGAGACGAGAATCCGTTGTCATCGAATCCTCAGGTCCAAAACGGCGGCCCAGAAGGGGCACGATCTCTCTGCGACTCTTCCGTGCTCCCTTCGTCGACCTATCCGCGTTTAACCTCTCTCACAACCCCCCGTCCCTCTCTCTCTCCCTCCACCTCCCTCCCGCCCCCCCTCTTATCCCACGGCCGCTGGGACCCGCAAATTCGCCGTTGGTCAGCGGTCGCCTGGGAGCCGACGGCAGCAAAGCAGTCCTGGTTTTGAAAGATGGATATCGATACACAACATCCCGTCATCGTCGGCGACATGGCGTCCATGACTCCTCCTGCCAGCGCCGACGGAGAGAAGCCGTCGCCTCGTGCTGACTCGCCTCGAGGATCCGACATGGACGTCGATTCCGGCGCTTCAGTCGACGACGACGAGATCCGGCCCGACCACTACTACGGCGGCGGCAGGATCCCAATCTTCAAGCCGGTGAGTGATTTTCACAGTATAATTCATTCTCTCGCCAGGGAGTGTTTTCTTCCCAATGCCGACAATTTCGATGTTGTCGATTCCTTGCGGCGCTTACTCCTTTGACAAGCTGTGGAAACTAATGGATTGTCGCCCTTGCTCGGGGAGTGTTTTTTTTTTGAACAGACTATGGACCAATTCCGCGATTTTCAGTCGTTCATCCACAAGATCGACAAATATGGCATGGAATCTGGTGTGGTCAAGGTTATTCCGCCACAGGAATGGTGAGTAGCGCCCATATCATGACCCAACATTGAAGCCGAGCCCTTCCATGTCGTTCTTTGTTGCCGACCCCCCCCCCCTGCTCTACCGTTGAGCCGAATACTTCCCTCAAATCTCCCCAATGCGTGGATCCTACGATTCACCTACTTTAACTCCTTTGGGCATTAAAAGCTGAAAAGCTTTCTGCCCACTGGCCATTCTGGACTACCAAGATTCTGGCCCGTGCTTTTTATATTGTTCCAGCGATGTCTCCCTATAGGCCAAAAATACTCCCCGTATCATCAGACTTGATATTGCCCACCTGGCATCGTGCTGTGCACTGCAATTCTTACTTATCAATGCATGTCCAATGACTTTTCGCTAATGTTTATACAGGTTGGATGCCCTTCCATCACTGGAAGAATCTGTTAAGTCCATTCGGGTGAAAAATCCTATCATGCAAGAATTCCATGGTTCCCACGGAACTTATACTCAGGCGAATATTGAAAAGCAACGATCTTATAATTTGCCCCAATGGAAGGCACTGTGCGAGGAGACGAGTCACCAGCCTCCCGCTCGTCGTGGAGAGAGACGGCGCGCCCAGGAGAAGCCCGCACGTAACAATGCAAGAGGCCAGACGAACAGGTCTGACTCGCAAAAGCGGAAACCTGGTCCTCCTAACTCCAAATCTAATGAGCCGGAAAAAACAGCTGACGGCCCTGGGGAAAAGAAACTGGAAGGGCCACCGACTCCCGTCTCCCCACAATCCAACCCAGTTGAGCCAAAGTCCGAGGAACTGAGTGAGGGAGAATCTTTACCAGCACCAAAGCCCAAAGGAAGACAGCCCAAATCTGTTACCGCGCGACGTAAGTATAATCGCGGAGATGCAGCAGATTATATTGATGAGGAAGCTTTCAAGGACTTTGACTACCATCTCTCTGGAAGTGAGGAATACACCCCGGAGCGTTGTGAAGAACTTGAGACCGCTTACTGGAAGTCCCTCATGTACAATAACCCCATGTACGGTGCAGATATGCCGGGTTCCCTTTTTGATGACTCCGTCACATCCTGGAATGTTGCTAAGTTACCCAATTTGCTGGACATCCTTGGTCAGAAAGTCCCTGGAGTGAACACCGCATATCTATACCTGGGAATGTGGAAAGCTACATTTGCCTGGCATCTAGAGGATGTGGACCTCTACAGCATTAACTATATTCACTTTGGAGCCCCAAAGCAGTGGTATAGCATCTCTCAACAGGATCTTCCTAAATTCGAGGCCGCCATGAAAAGTGAGTGCCTTTTTTTTGAAGAACGACACAATAGCTACTGACAATTATAGGCATCTGGCCAACTGATTCAAAAAACTGTGACCAGTTCCTGCGTCATAAAACCTATTTGATTTCTCCTTCCTTCCTCAAATCCCAATATGGGATCACTGTCAATAAGATGGTACACTATGAACGCGAGTTTGTTATTACTTATCCTTATGGATACCATTCTGGATTCAATCTAGGTTATAATTGTGCCGAGTCTGTGAATTTCGCGACGGAGAAGTGGCTCGACTATGCGCGGGTTGCGAAGAAATGCAACTGCGAAGCCGATAGCGTCTGGATTGATATCCGAGAAATTGAAAGGAAATTATGTGGAGAAGCAACTCCGGAGTACTATGACGAGATGGAAGATCAGTTTGAAGGCGCATCCGACCTACTCACCCCCCCTCGCAGCGTTCCTGAGAAATCTGGCCCCCGCAAAAAGCGAAAGCACGATAGCGGCGAGTCCAAAACGAAGCGAGTCAAGTTGCATCTAGATGGCCCAAGAAAGGTTCCGTGCATCTTGTGTCCTAATAATTTGGATTATGAGGAACTGCTGCCTACTGAAGACGGCCTGTATCATGCCCATAGGCGATGTGCTCTTTACATCGACGAGACTTCCATTCTCAAAGACGAGTCCGGCAAGGAAGTCGTATGTGATGTCGATAAGATACCAAAGGCGAGAATGGGTCTGAAGTGTTTATTTTGCCGAGAAGTGAAAGGGGCTTGCTTCCAGTGCATGTATGGTAAATGCGCTAGGGCGTATCATCCAACATGTGCACTTCTCGCTGGTGTGCAGGTTGAATTTGGCAAAATTTCTGTTACTGCGGACGACGGATGCGAATACACTGTACCGGGAGTTGACCTCAAGTGTAAATATCATCGACCAAAACGACTTGGGTCCCAGTCGCCGGAAAGTATGGATATGGATTTCAAGATCACAGAAACGGCCAAGAAGTTACGCCCTGGGGATTTAATACAATTCCAGGCTGATAAAGAGATCAATGGTGCGGTTGTGCTTGAAAACCGACCGGAGGAGCGCGCGTTGTTGCTGAAAGTGCTTCCGCGAGGGTAAGTTGTTGCTCATTTATGCGCTGGAGGAAAAAAAAAAAAAAGGGAACAAAAGGTAGCAGTGATACTAATATTTTTGGTAGTGACGTGATCGAATTACCATATCGTTGGATATTAATCGTGAAGAAGTCCAATTTCCTCCCGCTTCCTTCTGGCATTAAACCACTCCCGGCGCACTTGGCTCGAAAGCCGGAGGCTCGGAAAGACCTAGCTTCAACTATTCCTTCACACGGTACACCGTTCGGGGACCCGTGGCTTCCATACCAATGGGCCGAGTTCTCCTGCGTCAAACCTCCCTTTAACTCAGACACCAGCAGAGTCGACGTTTTCAAACCTGAGCAAATCTGGTATTATCTTGGAAGAACATCCACGGAGTGCCGTGCGCAATACACCGAAAACCCAGCACGTTCCGTCCATAACCCTCGTTCCAACTTCCTCGAGAGCGTAAAGTCGTTAAGAGCGCCCGCTATGGCTACATCTCACCCCAACACTTATTCATCGAACCAACAAAAATTCTCCTCCGGGGCACGCATTGCCGCACCTGCTCCTCCCGTCCCTACACGCCCTATCATGACTCAGAAACTCCAACTGCCAGCTACTTCCGATATGCCAGGCCCAGTTTTCAGAGAAAACAAAGGGATGCAGCTTCTAACGGCTCGTCGTCTTCTTGCTTCGATCACGGAACATGCCAATGCTGGCGCGGGCTACATCATCGTCGACCCTGATTTTGTGGCTCAGATTCTGTTGGGCGATGGTTTGACGGTGCCAAAAAACGGAATGGAGAAGTTGAAGAAGGCTATGTCAGAGTCGATGATTAGGCCTAAATCCAATAACGGGTTGCTTCCCTTGCAGCCATTGAATATGGAAGCAGACGAAGTCGACCATCTTTTAAGGATGCTTCGCTTTGCGATTGTCGACCTTGCCCAAAAGGTTTATGGAAATGATACAAAATCTGGAAAGCAGCCTGAGCGAGCATCGGTGAAAGAACCTCGTGTTTCCTCGTCCAGCGTTGCGATGTGGGGAAATTTCGACGGCTCGCGACGCCAGTCCGTTTCCGTTTACAACTCGCCGTACGCCCCTGGATTTGGGTTTTCACAGTATGCGATTAAGGAATATGGCCTGGGGCCCCCACGGTTGGCACAAAAGGAGCACTCGGCGGCCGATTTCTTTGCCAAGTTATCCCAAGAAGACAAAGAAAAGGTCATCCAGGCCTGCGGCAGTGTTAACGCCTCGAGGAAGGCAGCCGCAAGCACATCCATTGCTCCAGGATTAGAAATGAGCCAAGTATCAGGCCTGGACATCCCGGTCACTACGACATCTATGGATCCCATGAACCTTGATCCTCATCACCTATCGGCCTTTGACATGACACTACATGCCGATTCTCCGGCATCGAGCTTCAGCAGAACAGCAATACATTACCAGTCTCCTCAAGATTTTTCCGCGCAGGTAGAACATGAATCGTCGTTACTCCCCAGACATTTGCAAGATCATCATGACCTGTTCGGTGACCAGCAGACAAACCAACGCTTTTGGCAACGAAGTGTTCCTTGGAATGACGGCGACACCCAGTCCCATAATGATGAGCCTCGCCCTTTTTTCGGACCACATCTGCCACCTGCCGGGCATGACTACCTTTCATCAGACATGGACTTCGAGCGGGGCCCCGGTTCTCTGCATTCCATGGACATGGCCGGCTTTGGTTTTGATGGTCCCGATGATTTGTATCCCGATCCCAGCCCGTAATTCGCTTTCTACCGATACTTCACCCCGGTATCCTATCACCTGGGCAAGGTGATTCCCAGATGTGTTCAACCACAGTTAACGGAATCGCCCCGCTTGAAATTTATACGCCCCTCGAATCCTTCTATACTCTAATAGCACGACAATTTTTGCTTACTTTGTTTCCTGACTGCCTTGCGACCATACCAGTACATGGTATGATAGAAATTCCGGCGTCCTATGGGCTTCCTAGCGGCTGGCTTGATCGGATACATTAATATCCCGCGTGACGACACTGTTAATGACCTCAAAAAACCTTCACGATGATTCGATGACAAAATTCTTAAAAAGCGTTCTCGTTTTCTTTTCTACGAAGACTTGTGGCTTGTTTCGCTGTTTATTTGACTGGCCATCCAACCATTCGCTTGATGGATAATTGTTGCGACTTCAACGATATTCGCGGCTCACGACATCAAGCATGTTACTCTCCGTGCATAGGCGACAGTTCTCGGGAAACGTGCACCGATAGCTGGACAGATGCCAAGTAAACATCACTTTTGCATCTGGAGGAATACAATCATGAATAATACAAGCCTCCGTTCCACTTCGGGTCCTAGTACGTACCCCAGTTGGAACGGTCTCTCAGAACCCTGAAATAACGGTGTGCTTCGTATGTATATGGCCTTTGTTTCCTTTTTTTTCCCCTGTATCAATTGTTTTTACACATATTGGGTGGTGTTTTGTTGTCTCCTTTCTATCCCCTATCTCCTTTGTTCATCTTCTTCTGTTCTCTCACTGCACCCTACCTATAGGTTGTTGTGCGATGATACACGATGATATCACCCTCGATATAAAAAAAAAGCCCCTCTTCTTCATGTCCTGTCTGTACCCTCGCCCCTTTCCCAATTTAAATAAGAATCTTTTGTCCTATCTGTATTGGGACCCGTTGGTTGTTTTTACTTTTATTGCTTTTTCCCTTCACTTCTCTTCTCTCGTTATCGCCTTGCCCTGAGTCTACATCTCACAGAGGAAAGGCGAGAAGGAAAGGAGATGGGTGGGAAAATAAGCGCCTGTTTCTTAAGGCAAGGTGGAGGGAATTTGTAACACCTCCCGACACTTGATATTTCCCTTTGTTTTCTCTCCGCCCGTTCTATAGTAGCTTTGAGATATTGAATGGACAAAAATATAAATCAAGAGGAGCTCTCAAATAAATAGCTTTTTATAATCATTAATAAAATATTATTTCTCTTAGGCTAACGTGCCCCAAAACTCCTCCTAGCTTTGCATCAGTATCATGACTAGTGTAGCATCAGATAAGAATAGTAGTCCAATGCTGCCCATGTTAGTGAATTGAGGGAAATTACCCTATGGTGAAGGTATTCTTACATGAAATTTTGATCACACGAACAAATTTCTAGTATAGCACATACATAGGAAAACCACAAGCCTCAATATTCAGTGTGAATAACAATGGTATTCACACTTAAAAAATGGCGTGTGCCAAACAAAAAGCGCAGAATCTCGAAGATTTAAGGTGCCAGGTGCGGCTTCTTTTCATGGTCTTGCTCTATATGCCATACACAACAAAGCATTCGCTCCATCAAAAAGTAAGAGATCCGCTATCGAACCTCAATCAACATTGTTTCTCCTGAGGATCTTACACCGGCGCTATACGTTCTTTCTCCGTCATGTCCCTCTACCGGAGGAAAAGTCGAGGTCAATATGACCAGGGCGGGCGAGCCAGCCGCGCTAGTGCCCAGTCTCAGTATTATATGCAAATACCACGAAGTGCCAATGCTTCTCAGCTTACAGGATATCCTCCAGACATCCAGCAAAGCCTCGACACCGTTCAGGCATTCGCCGCAGCACGAATGGCAAAAAAATGCCATAAGTGCGGCTCAGGTCTGACGGACGGGTTTTCAGCAAAGAATTGGATCCGCAACTGGTCTCAGAGAGCAAATAATCGCCCCGAAAACGCCGCTACTTTTTGCTCTGCGACTTGCCCCGAGTGTGGAGTCCTCACCTGCCTTGGTTGCGGCCACAGGCCACGCAGAAACAAGCAGCCTCATCAAATTAACGGGTATTATGTCGATTGGTGTTGCCGCGAAGGAAGGATGTTTGGAATGTGGGCCTTATTGGCTAGGTATGACCAAGTTGAGTTGGAATTCCAAGCATCCAGCTCGAATTCCGATGGCCCAGGCCTGAGAAGGCGCTTGCCCAGGAGAGGGGCGAGCGACACTCAAGATTCAAGGGGCATCGGATACGCTGACCGTGGTAACTATAATCCCTGGGCGAATTTGTTCCATGGTGGGCCTGGCGGACCTCCGTCAGCTTTATCACGCCCCATCGAGTTCCATGGCTCGGATTCAAAGTCTGATAGGTTTTTAACTGTAACATTTCACGTGGTGAAAGAACTGACACCAAGCACTGCGAATAAAGATTTGTCGCCAGAACTTCGAGGGATGCTCCAGCTCAGCTTTCTAATTGACAAGTTGGCGGAACTGTTACGCAACGACTCGTTGGAGGATATCACATCACGCGCAGAAGTTTACACGGCTGCATTTCAGTTTGTCAAGAAGCTGGGTGCTCATCCTGAGTTAGTTTCACTTGTCCAAACACTCCGCCACCACAAGCGTCAAACCTCTGGGTTGGAGTCTCTCATTTTGAGATCAACTGCACACGACCATGGAGGCGATCGGGTCTTGATCCTGGGTGAGACCATACCTTCAGTGGCTGAAAGACTGCGAAAGCTGGCCAGACAGAGCGATATAATATTAGGTATGAGGGAGAGTGAGGATTTGACGTCGAGGGCAGGGAAAAATATGCTTGATATATGCGAAGAGATAACTGATGTCTATGCAATCATTGCCCCGAGGAGAAACCAGACTGTCAACAATCCTCAGAAAGTAGATAAATATGCGGAATATCATCAACAGTATTGCCTTATGCGAGATGAGAGCATTTTGGATCAGGGCCATACGTTCAACACCCTCGCATCACGCATGATGTACTCGCCGCAAGGACGGATAAAACGATTGATGGTGGAACTTGCCAATATGGCAACGTCACTTCCAGTGGGAATATATGTTAAAGCAAGCGAGAGTCGCCCAGATTTGATGCGGTGTCTTATCATGGGACCACCGGACAGCCCGTATGGGTATGGTCTCTTTGAGTGAGTAGCCCTATCTAACTGCTTCACCAGATTACTTTTTTAACTTATTCTTGTCTCTGAGTTCCAGTTTCGATTTGCTGTGCAAAGAAACTTATCCACAAGAGCCGCCTATCATGGCATGCCGCACCGCTCAGGAGTGCAGAGGTCAGCTTAATCCAAATCTCCACCCAGACGGGAAAGGTATGTTGTAAAGCTAAGGAATGATCCCGTTCGTATACCTGATTCAAAGCTGACATGTAAACCCAGTTTGCCTCTCGCTACTCGGTACATGGAAGGAAGGTGACGCCGCAGCGCAATGGCAGCCTGGAAAGTCCACCATTCTCTCCGTGCTTATTAGCATCCAGGCAATGATATTCACAGAAGATCCATTCAGGAATGAACCAGCAAACACTAACAGGGTTGGAAGGAGAGCTGACAGGGAAGCACAGATGACTATCCAGAAGATCCAACCTTTGACTATTGAATACGGCATGCTGGCATGGTTGGAAAAACAGCAAAGGCTTAACGGAGTATGGGGTGATATCGTCAAGGCGCATTTCAAGCTCAATAAAGAAAAAATTCTAACCAATATTAACAAATGGGCGCAGAGCAATCCGGCCGTTGGTCGAGGATATGAATGGTACAGGAGTGGCGTGTCACCAGTCGAGCGGCTTAGAAGACACCTTGACAGTCTCAGTGGGTTTTCATAATTGTGCAGGTCGAATGCTAACTAACTATGGGCGGCTTGTGTCTATTAACTAACTAAGCTGGTGGACTGATCGGATCAGCAACTTAGACTTGTCCGTTCTTTTTCTTTGATGTCTCTTGTCAGTTTCGACTGACCTGATCGGACCGAAAGCGGGTCAAATTAAGATGTTCAAACTAGCCCGTTTTGGTTAGACTTGCAGCTGGGGCCTTCCAATGATCCAGTACCAGCCGTATCAGTGAGTTAGTTACATACAAGCGGCGTGACGGAGTGAGTACTGTAGTGACTTTTGCCCAATAATTAATTACCAGCGGGATAATGCCCTGTGCTACTGAAAGGCGGGGTTTGCGCCAGCCCCTCGCATAAATCCAACTGCCACACAGTCCAGCAGCACAGTGTGTTTTAACGAACCTGTAAAATAGCTAGCTCAACTTTCCGATTACCATTCAATGTGATATTTGCTTTCAAGAGTTTTGCTCACTCGCAGGTTTCATACATATAGTCCTCTCCAGGAAGGTCCAGTGCATCTATATATCATGCCCGAGTTCACCCCCACGGAAATCGGCGACCTTATCCGCCATCATGAGGTAGATTTTGCGCCCTATGAAGAGCTCTACAAGCACCTCCACGCCTATCCGGAGTTATCCCACCAAGAGTATAAAACCGCGGCGACTATTGCAGCTAGACTCCGCTGTGTTCCTGGCCTTGAAGTATTTGAGAACATCGGCGGCACCGGTATTGCCGCTGTCCTCCGCAACGGTGATGGCAAGACCGTTCTTCTACGGTCTGAGCTAGATGGCCTGCCGATTAAAGAACAAACGAATCTTCCTTACGCGAGTAAGAATGTCGTGAGGGACGAAACTGATGGAGTAGAAAAGCCCACAATGCACGCTTGTGGGCATGATATGCATATGGCATGTCTGATTGCTGCAATAGATGTCTTAGTGTCAGCGAAGTCAGAATGGTCCGGAACTTTGGTCATTATCTATCAGCCCGCTGAAGAATTGGGAAACGGTGCTATACGCATGGTCAACGATGGTTTATACGACAAGGTTCCCAAGCCCGACGTTTTACTCGGGCAGCACATCTTGCCACAGCGAGCTGGTCGGTTTGGGATGAGGTCAGGAACGGTGATGGCTGCTTCGGATTGTCTCAAAATAACGTTCACCGGTAGAGGAGGGCACGCTTCTATGCCACATCGAACAATTGACCCGATAGTGATGGCTGCAAGCACAGTTGTCCGGCTGCAGACCATAGTCAGTCGAGAAATCAATGTCTCTCAGGAATTCGCTGTCGTGACGGTTGGTAGTTTTAACGCTGGAAGCGCCCCAAACATCATTCCCGAACAGGCTGAAATTCAACTGAACGTGAGGACCACCGACGAAAATACGAGGAAAAGAGTCCTCTCGTCCATCGATCGAATTATCAAGGCAGAAGGAGAGGCTAGCGGTGCAATCCAGGCCCCTCAAATAGAAACGACTCTTCAGTTCCCTCTGACGATCAACGATCCAACCGTGACGCAGAAGGTGCAGCAGACGTTCGGTTCGCTCTTTTCACCCGACTTTACGGCAGAGTGGCCTAGGTCCAATGCAAGCGAGGATTTCACAGTTTTGGGTACTTCGATTGGAAGACCTTGTTGCTTTTGGTTTGTTGGGTGCACTGCAGCGGAGATTTGGGAAGAAGCGGAGGAGAATGGAACGCTATCAGACATCCCGGGTAATCATTCCGCTTTCTTTGCTCCAGACGTGCTGCGCACAATGCAAATTGGCGTGTGTTCTTTGGTTGCAGGTGCATTAAGCTTCCTCTCCAAAGCTCAATAAAAGGCGTTGAGCTTTTATTGAGGCCTATACCTTGGGAGTTGGCGACGACCAACTCGATTGATCTAGAAGCTGCTCGTGGAGCCAACTGCAATTACTTGAAGGGTATCATCGTCCTTAGAGAAGTAAATAACATTTAAGGGCTTGTACTCCGTAAACAAAAAATATTTCGTGGTCAAATAATCTCGCGAGAGAGTGACTAAGGCTTAGACACAACCCAAAAATAGCCTGCCCTTTCATTAAATAACTAGTTAGTCAGTCGATTGTACCCGAGGATGTAACTAACTGCGCAACGCGAGAAGGACAAAAGGATCAAATTCCTTGTCCTGCAGTCAAGAACGCGTTAGAAGAGACCGATGTCTCCAAAACTGCTGATGCGATAATACCTGACCTTGACGCTTGGCGAACTGACGAATTAGGCCTGGTTAGGTTTAATTTTCCGGGCCTCCTCCGTAGTTGGATGGCTTAGTTCGCTGGAGCAGCTTGGGAGAGTTCACGACACGAACCAGCTGGATGGCAACAAGCTTGGAGTCCGTCCTCATCCAATGAGGTGTCAAGCCGCCCTTATCTTACTTTCCTTGAGTCCATGCACGCGACCGAACTGCATCTGAGCGGACCTTCAAGCATCCCCAGATCTCCAAAGCCGACGGAAAGGCCCCCTCCCTTTCCTTAAGCTTAATTACCTTAACAGGGTTGGAATGCTTGACGATGCACTCCGTACTCCGTAGCTCATCCATACAAGACATACATTCCCTCCTCCCCTCCTTCATGTGAAAAAAGCCAGTGAGGTAGCTTAGCTTCCCGCGGCTTCCGCTGAGGCAAGTCGTTTCGGTAGCTTGGGGCTCGCTGTGGTCCGTAGTATTTGGGCTTTGAGTCGCGCGGACTCGAAATGTTATTGGATTTAGCGCGTGGCTCGGACAAGAGCAACGTTTTGGGTTGACGGAATGATCCCGAGTTTGTCGCCCGGGATGCCACTCAACTCCCGAAATAAATCGACCCAGGTAACTACGGAGTAGGTTAGTTAGTGAACTATGTCGGTACTTGGAAGGTTTCCAGAAAACCGGCGGACAATACCTTCAAGAGCATTGGATGAAAATGGCAGCAAGTTTGCTGCTGCAACATCCAAGCAGTGATCAGCTACCCCGGTTCCACCCCGATATTTGCTCGCACTCCTCCGAACGAACCAAGGGTCCCTCCGGGGTCGGTCTAATGGCAAAACCTGGCCGTGCGCAGCTTCCAGGCCCAAGAACAGCCCCGAACCTTCAACGTGGGGATGTTGATACGAGATGGAATTTGCCGCTTCTCCGCATTTTTACCACACTCTTCCCTGTGCGCTTTCTGTCAGGTTTCCCGCGTAAAGCAACTCTGAACCCCTGGCCGGATAATAAATCACTACTTAATAGGGCGATCTAGCCCTACCGCCGGGTTCAGAGAGATTATCAACAGTGTTCTGATCCCGGTGCACGCAGAAACAAGGTTCAGGGAGCTAGAACTGCCACCCACGTTCCCGACCGTGCCATTACACTTCCTCCACACGAGCAACTGCGTGCGCGCAGGTACCAAAACCAAAAATATACCATAACATCCTCGGGCATCGTTAAAAGTGCGATTCAATCCTTGCCTTGGTAAAGAACATGCGGGGAGACACTGCGACGAAGGATGGAACGAAGATGGAGGGGGCGTCGGCAAACGCAAATGCCGATGAGGCCCTCGCGAGGATGGGCTACAAAAGTGAACTGCCTCGAAATCTAAGCATGTTGAGTGTTCTAGGATTGTATGCACATTCGTTCCTTTGGTTATCCGCGCAGGGTTTGTGACCATTCGCTAATTTGCTGTTCCTCGTACGATCATTAGGTCCTTTGCGATTATCGCTGCTCCTTACGGGTTAAGCACAACCCTATACATCACCCTGACTGACGGACAATCTGTGACAATCATTTGGGGATGGATCCTCGTTACGCTGATTTCGATTGCGATTGCTTCATCCTTAGCCGAAATCTGTTCCGTATATCCCACGGCAGGCGGTGTATATTACTGGAGCGCAATGCTGTCGACAAGAGAGTGGGCGCCAATGATGTCCTTTATAGACGGCTGGCTGACCCTGGTTGGAAACTGGACTGTAACGTTGAGTATAAACTTTGGCGGTGCTCAGTTGATCCTAAGTGCCATATCACTATGGAATGAGGAATATGTGCCGAACGAATGGCAGACGATTCTCACCTTTTGGGCCCTGATGCTCATATGCGCGTTGATCAACGTGTTTGGTTCCCGGTACCTAGACCTGATTAACAAGATCTGCATATATTGGACATCCACAAGCGTCATTATCCTCATGGCAACGCTACTCTCGATGGCGAAAACACGAAGAAGCGCAGAATTTGTGTTCACCCACTACGATGCTTCAGCTAGTGGCTGGTATGGATCATCCCTGGCGGGCTCTTATAATTAAAGCAAGCCTTGACTCCTTTAAGCTTTAGGAACCGGCTGACGCTCCTCACAGGCCTTCGGGATGGGCTTTTTTTGTTGGCTTACTTCAACCGGCTTACACTCTGACTGGTTACGGAATGGTAGCCGCGATGTGCGAAGAGACCCAAAATCCTCACCGCGAAGTGCCCAAGGCAATTGTCCTGTCCGTTGTTGCCGCGGGGATAACAGGTCTGGCGTATTTAATTACAATTCTTTTTGTCCTTCCGCCTGTGAAAATGCTCCTGGAGGTGGCAAACGGCCAGCCAATCGGTCTTTTGTTCAAGACTGTGACCGGATCTGCTGCTGGAGGCTTCGGCATGCTTTTCCTGATCCTTGGCATCCAGATCTTTGCCGGCATTGGCGCATTGACGGCAGCTAGTCGATGCACGTATGCATTCGCTCGTGACGGTGCCATTCCCGCATCAAGAATTTGGCGGAAAGTGAATCACAAACTGGACGTTCCACTGATGGGGATAGTCCTATCGACACTTGTGGACTGCCTCCTGGGATTGATCTATTTCGGATCCTCTGCAGCTTTCAACTCCTTCACCGGTGTGGCAACCATCTGCCTGTCTACCTCCTATGGCCTACCAATTCTGATCTCGGTCGTTCGACGACGAAAGATGTTAAGGGACGCCCCATTTTCGCTGGGTAGATTCGGATATGCTATTAATATTGCAACTATCCTTTGGATATGCCTAGCCGTTGCTCTCTTTTGTATGCCAGTCTCACTGCCCGTTACGGCATCGTCAATGAATTATGCGAGCGTTGTGTTTGCGGGCTTTGCAACAATCAGCGTGGTGTGGTATTTCGTGCGCGCGCGCAAAGTGTTCAAGGGACCGCCAGTGATGGTCGACGATGCTGCGCCGGGTGATCTTGGCGTCTACTCGGTGAAGGGCTCAGGCCACCTCGAAGAAGGTCAATATGTTGTTAATACGAAGACAGAATAACTAGTTAACGCATTTTAGCATGGAGCATAGACATTAATAGAGCTAACGTCTACATGCAATATCAGCATTCCTAGACTACGAGCGAGGCAATTATCTTACTTTAGCTGCCTTGTACGTATGTATCTGCACACGGCATGTTATAAAAAAAGTCTTTCGAGATATCTGCCAGCGGCTGTTTGTTTCGAAATTAACCATCTATGGGCCTCTGTCGGTTGGGAGTGAAACCACGTTCGATGTTCCTGGAACTTGTCAGCGGCCTTGACTGCCTGTAAAAAGTAACTAACTTAGTAAATGGGCCATTCGTGCGGTGAAGAGAGCTTGTCCCTGCCAATGCTTCTTGTTATATATATATATATATTTTTTTTTTTTTTTTTTTTTTTTTTTTGCTACTCGAGTCATGCCGAGGTTAACAAGCACGCTTGCCTGAGCTCGCTGGTTTAACTTTACAGTTCTCCCTAGAAGCGGGGAAAACTAGCCTTGAATGTAAGCAGTTTTATTCATCGTTCTTAAAACATCGACCCATAAGCAGATATGTTCTCCAGCTTCCGACATAAAGCTTCTCTCAAATAAACGTCCTCCCAATTGCTTCTCTCGTTGCCATGGGCATATTATGCTGTTGAGCTGCAGCTATGCAGGTGTAACTCATGAAGAAACGTGGCATGCTTGCAAACTGGCCAACAATCCCATCCACCGGGACTGCAGTTCTCGATATTACTCATTTGTCCGGAAGAGAAGCGCCTGACCGTTCGTATACCCGTCGCCACTCTACACTGGTGGCGCCCTAAAAGCCCGTCCCCATAATAATCTTCGGCGTCTCTCAACGAGATGACGAAGGCGTTGACATTTCTGGGAACCTACACAACTATCCCATACCTCGGGTAACACAAACACCATCCTTCGATTATCCCCAATTGGATATTCAGGGCATTTGGCCATCTTCAAACGGATGGTTCGGACTTCTTGAGTAATGGTGGGCGTGCACCGCTTCACATATCAGTTGCTATACCAAAGGAGGCGCTCGTCGGCGTCTCATTTCACTGTTCGGTGGAGCGGCTCTCTGCAGCCAGATCTCCGGGTTTCTAAGACCATGGTACATGACGTCGACTCCGCTTCGGTATGCACTCGAACTATTAACCGAGCTGTTTCAACTTTTGAGAGGTCAATGAAATTCAGCCCGCAAGAAATGCGGGGGTCGTCAAGCTTGAACCTCTTAGGCGAGCTCTAATTGAGTGCATCAACCAGCTTGCCGGGATGGTATATCTATCGGTGGTTTCCAATTCACTTTCTCTTGACCTCGTCCTCATTCTATCTTCTTTGCATCATCACCTTTTCTAGAGCCCCGTCCCCTTTAGTTGCTAGTGTCTAATATCAAAGTCCAATGTCTTCTGTCAAAGAGAGACTAGCTCAAACAACAGGCCTCTTGGGTGTCTCAAAGTCCGCCGACGAGCTCCCCTGGCATCCCGAGTACACCAAGCTGCCTACGCGTAAGAATTTACCATCTATTCCAGGAGCCCCAGAAGGTGCTGCTTGGGTTTGGGGAAAAGATGACTATGTGAGTTGTGGTGCCTTTATTGGTCAGTGATAGAGCTTTATCTGCATATACTGACTGATATTTTTCCAGCTTGGAAGACTTAATCTCCTGACCCCAGCACGCGTCAAGGATGCCGCTGCTGAAATCAAGACCGGAGAACTAGTGCCTTTGAAGTAAAGCCGTGCAAGTAATGGCCGTGCTCACCCACACTTGCTAACCTCTGATCAGCCTACCCCTTAACGTGCCAGAGACTCCGGCTTTTGGCCGAGAAAAATTCGTTCATACCATCAAGACTCTCACCGAGAATATTGCGTATGACGATAAATACGAACTCAACACTCAGAGTGGCACACAATGGGATGGATTTAGACATGTATGTCGGTTGGGCACGTCCATCAAGCACGTCGATTTTAACCACGTCCTATATAGTTTGCACACCTGCCCACACAAACATTCTATAATGGAGTAAGTCTTCCCAGTTTGATCCCTGCCTAACCTATAAAAATCTTGTTAATGTATTTGCAGACGAAAGGAAAGGATATCCTAGGACCAGAGGCAAACCATAATTGCAGTATCCATCATTGGGCTGACCATGGCATTGCTGGACGCGGTGTTCTTCTCGATTATTGGTCGTATGCTAATGCCAATGGTATCAAATATGATCCTTACGCTTCCCACGGCATCACGTTCGATGATCTATACAAGTGCGGTAAAGCCCAAGGTATTGATATCCGGCCCGAAGCTCAAGGCGGTGACATCAAAGTTGGCGACATCTTGATGATTCGATCTGGCTTCGTCGATGCTTACTATCAACGTTCCCCTGAAGAACGCACCCAATTAGCCCTTCGACATCATGTCATTGGCGATGCGGACGAACAGAGGTATGCCGGTGTGGCTCAAGAAGATGCCGTTCTTGACTGGCTGCATGACTCCTACTTTTCGGCTGTTGTCGGTGATGCTCCTGCGTTTGAAAGATGGCCTACATCAAAAGAATACTATCTCCACGAATATATTTTAGCTCTCTGGGGAATGCCATTGGGCGAAATGTGGGATCTTGAAAGACTTGCTGCTAAATGCCGCGAGACAAAGCGCTGGGTCTTTTTTATGACCAGTGCTCCTGCAAACGTTCCTTGTAAGTCGTGATGTCCATCGAATGTCCCCCTCACTGTTGCATCAGACTGCTAACTATTGCTTGCCCCAGCTGGTGTGAGCTCCCATGCCAACGCGACCGCAATCTTCTAAGTCAAAGAAAATAGTGCATGAACAGATATCATCGGGTGGCTTTAAGAATGGTTGACGTGGTGATCTCTCGCTGGGCATATTTCTTCTGACCATATTCTGTATTATGATTTTATGCAATCCTGGAGCCAAGTGGTTACCAATGAAACAGATTTAATATAGAATTTCATCCTGTGGGGTTGGCTTTGTTTTTAACTAGGGCATCATTGCAAAATATAAACACTCACTAGTTCGGAGCTGCTACTTCGCCTGCGCCGATGAACCTACTGACTTTTTATATGTAGACATGTAACTATCCTGCTAATAACTGAGTGACAGTCTGTTTATATGCCATCATCGCAATATCATGCAACTCTTTGCCCAAACTAATCCGGGCCACGCCCATCTTCGTCAATTCGGGAATTGTCAAATATCCCGGTCCAGTCTTTAACCTGGCATTCAATCGTCCATCCAACGCTTCGACCAGCTTCAGAATTTCAGGTCCAGACACACCTCTACCTCCCAAACCGCCCCAAACAAATACACAGGTCGCTCCGGCGTCGAGATAAGCTTTCCCTCTGCAAATCGCTTCATCAATAGTCCCACCATGACCTAGAACATCCGTTCTTGCATTAATCGCAAAGTCCGGAACCCCAAGCCTTTCCGCCTCTTTCACAACCCTTCGAACACGTGCAGTTGCCTCGTCGCAACTCATTAGTTTGCCCGTCTCGGCATCTTCATCTTCGAGATTACACCCCACAACGCCCGCATCGATCAGTCCTCTCACCACATATTCTAGCCGGTCGCCCCAGCCGTCACGCATGTCAATGGTAAGCGGGATCATGCCAGCGTTGCCATCACCGGATTTTAGTGAAGCTTCGTGTTCGTTGATTACGTTAACGATATCACGGGCCGCAGAAATGAGCATGTCGGGGTCAAGGTCTTCGTCCCGCTTGCCTCTCACAGCAGCTACAGCGTAGCTACTCGTCGCAAGGGCTTTGGCGCCGCCGTGTTTGAGCACAATGCGTGTGGTGGCACCGTCATAGACGTTGCAAAGCACCAGAGGGTCTCCAGGTTTATGAAGTGAGCGAAGGTGGATGGCACGCGCATTGAGCGGGTTTGGGTTGACCATTTTTTTATCGATATTCTAGAGATTTGATTTTTCTTTTAATAAAATGAGAGTTTGAATTGATTATAACCTGTGTCCTTGGTACAAGTGTTCTTGCTGCAGCCCTGAAGAGGGATTTCGAAGTCCTTTTAAGCATGGCCTTGCCCGGGCCACCGAATCGAGATATGAACGGCTGGATGCTCAACTGACAAATTAAATACGACTGCATGAGTCACGATTGCTTCGATCTGTGGCACTCCCGGCCGCTTTCTCGCAATCGCATCCTTCAAAGTTAAAAGACTCGTGTTCGGGGACGCGTTAGTCGTCCGAGAAAAACCATCGCCAAATCAACGCGGTTTCACGTGATTGTTTCTGCAGCTTTCTCCTCCAACAAGCACGGCTGGACATTCTCGCTACAACTGGTTTGGCTTTTTCTTGGGAGGTACGGAGTAGAGGGTAAATTTATTTAATTCCCTTTTGATCTTGTCTAGCGGAATACATTACACCTATCTACCCTTCCGTCCCCAACCTCCATCGCAGAACTACATTTCAAGCCTAAAGTTTCGATTGCTCCTGAGCTTTCTCAAACTCAGCCCTCTTCGGTCCTGAGTACCCGAAGATGTACGCGGCGACTTTGCGCATTTGGATTTCTTCAGACCCTTCAGTGATGCGATAACGGCGGAAATGTCGATAGATATGCTCAAAAGGCTGGTGGCGAGAATACCCGTTACCGCCGTGGATCTACTAGTATCAGTACTATTCTAGACGAGTGCAACGAAGCTTTCGCTAGAAAGCTGTACCCAATTGCGGAGTAAAAAAAATGGAGAAACGTTGCATACCTGTATGGCCCGATCAGCTGCCTGACAACACAGCCGGTTTGCCCAGTAGTTGCACATTGCAACCTTGTCGCTGAGCCTCTTCTCGATCTCAACCCACGGCTTCTTACTTCCCGTGGGAACAGGGCCGTCTGCATGGCCCCCACATTCTGCAACAATTTTGTCCATTTCCCATCCCGTTCGAAGAATGAGAAGCCGTAACATCTCCACTTGAGTCATCAACTCGACTACTTGGAATTGGATGGCTTGATTTTCTGCCAGCGCCTTTCCAAAAACGTTTCTAGATCGAGCATATTCGATTGACCGATCAAGGCAAAATTTGGCTGCACCACATGAGGACGCTGCTTGGCGGATTCTGTTCTCGTGAACGAATGTTTGTGCAATGGCAAGGCCTGAGTCTACTTCCCCAAGGACCGCAGAACGTGGGACAAATACCGAGTCAATTGCAATTGTGGCATGATCTGTAGGCATGTTAAACGTCCATTCATAGCTAACGATTTCAACTCCAGGAGTGTTTCTCGGAACTAGAAATGCAGTGATTCCGCGCGAGGAGCCCGGCTTGCCTGATGTCCGTGCAAAGATCAGCATATGAGTGCAATGATGCGCACCGCTCTGCCACTTCTTGGCTCCGTCGAGGACAAATCCGTCCACCATATGCCCAGATTGCGGTGGATATTCCCCACGAGCCGGGCGGGCCCTCGTTTCCATATATGTAGCATCGCTTCCATGTTTTGGCTCTGTTAAGCCGAAGGTCGTGCGGAAGTGACCTTGAAGCCTTGCGGGAATGAGTGTACGGCGTTGTTCCTCATTCCCAAAGTGGTGAATCATGAGCACATCTGGGAAATTGCCCACCACGCTGTGCTCGTTTTGCAGGTCGTTCGCCAGCGATACACCACCACCATATATGGGGTGGGAAGCCAAATGATACCGAATTGCGCACATCCAGAGGTTTGAGCTCGGATTGGCTTGTCCACCGTATACTTTTGGCAGAGCAAAGCGGTAGAAGCCCGCCTTATCGGCCAGAGCTCGAGCTTTCGCTGCCTCGTAATGCATGTTAAACATTGTAGCATGAAGGTGAGTCTAGGGTTGTGGGCACATACCAAGAAGCTCGTCCCATTCTTTTCGTGGTACGCCCCCATTATCCCAGTCCGTCCGTGAATATTCTCGACGATGATCAAAGAAACGATTGTTATCGTCGGATTGCTGCAAAGGCAGTATTGTGTCTTGGATAAACTTATCGAGAGAACCAATGTACTTGGTTAAATCTTGTGGGATATCGAAATTCATGTTTTGGGCCATCTTCTCCCGAATTGGCAAGTTGGGGTAAAATACTAGATGCAGTGCGGGAGTACGGGTACTCCGGATGCGAAAGCGTTATTCAGTTGTCCTGTACGTGAGTATATACCTATGGTATGTTCTACAGAACGGATAGAGTCCGTATTGGGTATTAATGTTGCGTCATGGAATTGTCGGTAAGGTCCTGTTCTTCGATTCTCTGATGTCCGTGACCCAGCGACCGTTTGAACCAAGGCAGGGGCTCGGGTTCCCCGCAGGTTTAACCGCATCCTCGGTGCGGTCTATTTGAGTGCGGGGAAGGGCCGCCAAGAACAAACGCGAAATCCCAAACGGTGGCGATTCTACAATATTTTTTCTGCCTCTCACCATATTTTCAGACGTGGAGCCAGGATCATTCCAGGATTGGAGTACGGAGTATACGGCTATCAATCCGTACCTATCCCGAATGTAGATTGGGCGGCGTCAACAAAGGGCCGGTAACACTGCTGTCTCCAATATGCGAACAATTGTCCGCCCGCCGGGACTAAAAGAATGCTGACAATTGCATCTGATTCCACTTTACCTCTCGAGAGCTGTGCTCAGTCGCACCATGGTTGCCGTAGACCCTGAACATTTGTATGAAGGCCTATTCTTCGAAAATACCTCGAAACATGATCGCCTACATCGAATATCGATGTTTACATATGCCCCTGAAAATCAAATAAATCTATATCACCAGCCATAGTCGCGTATTAAAGGTTCCTAAACAACGATTGCTGATATTCGATCTGGCATGCGTTATTAACTGATGGATCGCTGTGAAGGCTGATCAGTTGCAACATGGCAACGTTTCCACTTTGAAAGCAAGGTATTAAGCAACGGTACTGGTCCACTTGACGCTTTCAGAAAGCAAAGTCGCGAGCTCATCGCCTCCTGTCCAATAGCTACCCTCATGGTTAGTTGCAGTTCTCTGGCTCTAGGCCCTGGAAAGCCTCACTTCTTTGGTAGATTCTGGGCTGCGTTGTCACAAACTGCATTATCCTTGCCTGGAAATGGAATAGCGGCGTGGCTAAAGCGATTCATGTAGCTTTCAGTATCCTTTTGTTAGGTGATTATTTTCGAGAGAGTCCGTTAGGGCCTTTCTTCTTCTTTTTGCTAAGACCAAGTCCTGCTTGGCTTGAATTAGACGATTGATCATAGTTGGCTAGGAGCTCAAGGCATTTGAATGCAAAGCAGGTTGTAATATCATTGGGCAAAAGCTGGACACTGCAAGTGAGAAAGCTTCTTTTAAAAAGTTGAGAACAGAAAGGACATCCCGCTGGCAAGGCTCAGAACAAACATCTGTCTTGATTTTGATAGCAATGGTATGACAGGAAACGTATAGACAGAGAATTAAGACATGGTACTGTGTTTTCTCATGCCAGCTTTGAGAGAATTTTGTTTTTGAATAGTTGGGAACCGACAATAAGACAGCAATGGTTTTTGGCCATGATAGAGGACTTTGCCTATAGGCATCCTTAGGAAAGGAGGAAATCATCAATAACTCACGATGAATATTCTGAGGTACCCTGGCCATTAACCATCATCTTTAAACTATACTGTTTAGCTCACCATCCTCTCCAACTCAACCACACGTCAATAACCTTATCCTTTTCTACTCCCTCGCGAGTAGAATCGACAACGAGGAAATAGCTAAATCCTGCCGCACAAATGCAACAGTGATTTGGCCAAATCCTCACCTTCTCGCCAACTCGGAGCTCTCGCATCTTCTCCACGGGACCTTGCCATCTTAAGATGCCGTGTTCCTGGCTCAGGCGATCGATTATCCAACCCGTTCGGTCTCCTTCAGGATCGTACCATCCCACTCCGCCTTGCATCTCGGCATCGCCCTGGTTCTGAAGCCAAGGGGTTATGACGCCCCATCCTGAATAACTCCTGCATGGTTCACGGCCCATACAGAGTGAACCACAAGCAATCAAAGCCTCTGGCCTCTCTCGGTGGAGATATAGGCTAGCAACTTCTGCAAGAACCGTCAAGGCTAAATTGTCGAAAGAGAGATTGTTGGTCGCAGGGCGTGCGTGCGCAGCAAGCTGTTGCAAATCCAGAGTAACATATGCACCTGCGTGAAGCTCAACGTCGAATGATTGCCGGACTCTTTTTATCAGCTCCTTGACTCTTTTCTCTGTTGGGGAAGCAGTTTCAAGGCCGGTCAAGTTCTGCGCAGATGTAGTCGTGGGGGTGGCTCCTACGGTGATGATAAAGCGCCTTTTAGAATCTTTCCACAGGTTTGATGCCTGCAGGGCAGCAATTTCGCACCGCTCAATTTCCAACGCTAGGTAATCCAACGCTTCTGAAGTGGTATCTGAGCCATAGCTCCGACCCATATGGCTATAAAATCCGCGGAAATAAATAGTTTCGGGCATTTCTGTCTCCACTTTGTGTATGGCACCCAGTAACTCTTTAAACTGTGGAGAGTCCGGAGTAAGGCCAGCCCGGTTGTAGCCTGTATCCAACTTGAAAAATACCCCTAGTGAATTCCCCGTGAGTTCTCGATAACGAGAGAGAAACGGGAGAATATGCAAAGAGTCCACCAGTACTGTAATGCTTAGTTCCCCCAGATCCCTGCCGAGGGTAGCGAGGCGCACGAAATTTGAAGGTTGAACAGGTAGACCGTAGATGACCTACAACGAATTTTAGCATCCTGCTTGCTCGCCTATTAAGAGATCGTTCTGACATCGATGGATCTTCCATTGCCTTTGCAATCTTCTAAATATGGTCGCAATTGTTCTGCCTCCGCCAGCGTGGAAACCACTAGTCGAACGGTATCAGCTTTCTCACCAACTTGAAAGCGAGTGAGCTCAGTAGTCTGATCCCAGGAATCAGCATATGTTCACTATCTCTCATCTCAGAAAACAAAAAAAGAGAAATATATATATTTGCGGCTCATGCTACAAGCTGCACAAGGGAACGGCTCTTGAAGCATAATACAACACGGACAGACCTTATGTGTCTTCACATGGGAACGAAAGATTACACCCAGCTCCTCAGCTGCGTCAAGCATAACTTGGCAGTTCTGGCGAGCAGCAGCAATGTCTATGATGGCGGCCGGCCCATCGATATCCTGGAGCCGACGGCCAACATACTGGGCCTTGAGGCTTTCCGTGGAGGCATTGGGGTAATTTTGGACCCCAGACATGATTATCTTGTGTTGTTTAATTTTCCTTTTTTTGCTTTTTCAGAACTTCGGTGGGAAAGTCCTCAATCATGGGGCGACATTGGCGGCTGGACAAAAAGACGTGGGCGGACGTTTGACCCCTCCATGCGGAGTACGACCCCCCCCAATACTCCGGACTGCTGCTGGCTTGGCATTATTTCAAACCCCCACGCTGAATATTAGTAATAGGCTTCTGTTCCTGTACTGTATGTAAGTTCGGTAACTTCGCGTGCGGGGGAGGGGGGAACCGTCGGCATCATCATATTTCTTCTGGCGTTCGTCAATTGCTCATGAACTGGCAATCTCGAAAGAAGCAAATATTGAGGCGTTACTGTATTCCCACTGCAAGCTAGCAATCGCCCGGCCGTATCCCAGCTTAAACCCAAAGATTCACTTACAATGTCGGCTAAACAGGTGGTCTTGACCGACAAAGCCCCGGCGCCCCTCCCAGTCCTTTCACAAGGGATTATCCACAATGGGATCGTTTACTGCTCGGGTCAAGTTGGCATTGATCCTGCTTCCAACCAGATGGTTGAAGGTACTGTGCAGGACCGCACCGTAAGTCCAGAACACGGGCTCCGCTTCATCACCAAAATACGCGGGCACTGACACCGACTACAATCCCCAGGCCCAAATCTTCCGAAACCTTTCTGCAGTGCTTGAGAAAGCGGGTTCGAGTCTCGAGAAGGTTATCAAGGTCAACGTCTTCCTGGCGAACATGGACGATTTTAGCGCCATGAATGAGATCTATAGTCAATTCCTGAACCAGGAACCAAAGCCGGTACGTTATCTCGCCACATGGTCCGTATTAAAAGCAATTCTGAAGCTAACAATGCCCCATGAAGGTCCGAACTTGCGTGGCGGTCAAGTCACTCCCTTTAGGAACAGACGTGGAGATTGAATGTTCAGCGTATATTTAAGCCACCAACACCGAGGAACGCCACTCCCTGGAGATTGGATATCGTGGTCGAATAAAAGCAATCACCAGGCTCTTAGCACTAGAATGAGTTGTTAGACGAGAGGTGATTCATGCGTGATCTAGACCTGACCAAATTCGTCTCCTTTCCTCGATAACAACAGACCAAGATACTAGACAATATATTTTACGCGAAGATGTCTCTTGGCCTGACATTTCCAAGCTTTGGTGTCTAAGACAATGCTACTCCGTATTTCACAGAGAAAGCTGCACGCATCTAATGAATGCGGGCTGTGGGAATAAGAGTGTGGTGAGGACCAGCCGGACGGATAAGGCTGAGAGTCTCCTGGTAATTGAATTACAGATGACATAATCGATTGTGACGGCTGGTCCGAGCGCTCCACTGCCAAGCCGCTAGACCGTCACTGGCAGCGGCTCCACCGCACTATCAACCTGGTTGCTGGTGGGACAAAGTTCCAAGAACCGCTGGACGTACGTGCGATTCCAGAGGGAGCGTCCGTACCTGAGGTGGTTATCCAAGGCGAGAGGGCAGGAGGCACGCGGAACACTCCCCTCTCACGTCAATGCTGCCTGCATCTCTCCCCCGAAAGGTCAACGTCCTTTGTGGCCGCGGATAATACATAACCTCCGGCCTTGGACCGGAGCTATTTTTAATGTCACTGCGTCCGTTCTCGTACTCGCTGAACGACACCCGTCTTTCACTCCACAGCGATCATTTGTTTTTCTGGACACAATCACAACGAGGCCCTTTAGTAGAGACTGTCTGCTATATAACCTGGCCTGATCTTTTACTATTCTTGACATTTTTTTCAACTTCTCAAGCTGTATTCTTCATCCTGCGCAATCTCACTATTTTTCTTTACACATACTACTTTATCCACATATCATTATCATGACTTCAAAGTACATGGAGAGTATTGGCGCTTCTGGCGACTGCCAGCTCCATCCCATTGTTCCGGGTATATATGTACCCACCCTCTGCTTTTTCAATCCGGAGACTGAGGATCTTGACCTTTTAACCATCGGTAAACACGCCGTGAGACTTGCGCAAGCTGGAGTAACCGGACTCACAATCCACGGCTCCAACGGGGAAGCTGTCCATTTGTCCAACGATGAACGGAGCGAGATTATTCGTACGACAAGAAAGGCCCTTAACGACGCCGGGTTTCAATCCATGCCCCTGATGGCGGGCTGCAGCGCAAACTCCACCAGAGAAACCATCAAGCAATGTCAAGATGCCTACAAAGCTGGCGCCGACTGCGCTCTAGTCCTGACGGCGTCTTACTATCGTACCTTGTTTACACCAGACTCGGTGATTCAATATTTCCACGACGTTGCAGACGCCTCCCCGATTCCTATTATCATTTACAATTATCCACCGGTCGTTGGCGGGCTTGATCTAGACTCTGACACCCTGATCACCCTGAGCAAACATCCAAATATCATCGGTTGCAAATTTACCTGTGGAAATACAGGGAAGCTAAACCGCGTCGTCGCTGCGCAGCGTCGAGACGCCTCAGGCTCCTCAGGGAAACCAACGGCTCCAGGTTTCTTATGTTTCGGCGGCTCGGGAGATTTTACCCTCCAGACCCTGATCGGTGGTGGTGTCGGGATTATTGGTGGTATTGGCAATCTAGCTCCAAAAACCTGCGTTCAAGTTGAGCAGCTGTTCCGCCAGGGCAAGTTGGCGGAGGCACAGAAAGTCCAAGAGGTTCTGGCTAGGGGCGACTGGGCTGCAATTCAAGGTGGCGTGGTTGGTATTAAGTCCGCAATGATGTCCCATTGCGGATACGGAGGCTATGGGAGGAAGCCACTTCCCCGACCAACAGAGGAGGAGCAGAAGGTTTATGCGCAGCAGTTCCGGGAGCTTGTTGAGTTTGAGAATTCCTTGTAAGACTGGATGGGGCTTCCAGCTAAGGCCTGCCTGTATTTGTGGATTTAATGTATCTCCTTGGGTCCCATGGGTTAGCTACGAACTTGTTGTACTGCATTCACATGGAACGTTGGAGAGTTTATTTCTGTCGGTGGAGTCCTCTGTGTCTGTATCTAAATGACGATAATTAGTTCACACCAAGCCAAGATTCTTGTGGGGGGTAAATAGCAAATTGCCAGGTATGAAAACCTGTGAACAGAGTAAGGCCATCTGACGCCATGTTCCTTCTACCTGAGGTATCAAAATCCATGATAGATCTGGTCAAACGCCTCGTTCAGCCATGTACGGAGTAACTGTGTCCGGGCCAATCACAATGACAGCATATGTCATTCCTCAGGGGGTCAAAACGGGATGACTATCGACACTCCGTGCTTCGTACAGAGGACCAAGAATAACAAATCCGGGCACCAAGGCTGGTATACATATTTGCTTCTGCCGGCTAAATTAATTCTCCGGTGAGGTCAAAGCTCCTGAACAAGGGGCAACCCACACGGTGGGATCCACGCGAGCCCCACTCGTTTGTCGAGCTCTGGAACAGGCTGTTATAGGCGGTGAGCTCCTCAATTTACAGGCCACCATGTCGCAGCTCCTGGGGTGATTGCCCCAGTACACCGCTGTGGAGCATTAAGCGAGGAGATTCGGGGTCCAAACTTTGAGGATACTCGTATAAGCTCGGCTTTGTCGTGTAACTCGATGGAGAAATCGGTGTTGGATGACCAGCCGGCCCGGACAACTGCCGGAGCCTGGAATCATCGGAGGAGCTGTGTCACGGAAAACCTGCATCCGGATGTTAACAAATGCCGCTGGCCAGGTCTGGATGTACGTGCTGTGTGGGGGTGGCTTCAAGAATTGATTTGGTGGCGGTGCTGGCCTACCCCCACCCTCGCCAACCGGCCACAGTCTCACGCCCGTGCTCTGTGGCGTCATTTTGGCCCGAGCTCTTGTGTTACAGTGGCTTGACTCCGAAGTTATCGCCGTACCTAGAAAGTTTTCCATCGTCACGGCGCGGCCGAATAATAATACGGCGGGGAAAACAGGTCCTGCACTGGGCGGGGAATCATTGCATGAGGTTGCAGCTTGTCACCCCCGACAAGCGAGAGAAACGGAGAGGGGGGGTTTGCCGTTAAGTCCTATCATCTGACCATGTCAATACCATAGTATCGCTGAACAATAGGCGGAGTGCCTGAGGTCCGAGATATTCCAATATTTTGCAAGTATTTTTTCCTAGGCTGTCCACCTAGGCGTCCTGTGAAGCTGGTCATGAGGATGCCTGAACCCCCATACCCCCTTCACGAATCTGTTCGTGACCTCATCGACCCTGAATATGCCGCTTTTTACAATGAACACATCATCGATAAGCAACAGGTCCATTACCAGCCCATTGCCGTATCACGAGCGTCTGGCATTCTCATTCCCGGTGCGGGGCCCATGATCCCCGTTGGTAAGACTCAGGACCTCGCAATCAAGCGGCAGGAGTCAAAAGGCCCAGCCTTAAGGGTACGGTGTTTTACCCCTGCTGCGGAGAAAGAGCCTGATGGTGGATGGCCCGTCCTGCTGTATTATCACGGCGGAGGGTGGGTGCTGGGAAACCTTGACACCGAGAATGTAGTGTGTACAAATATATGTGCAAGGGCTAATTGTGTCGTTGTTACGACGGATTATAGGTGCGTCTCTATAGCCCTTAGACGAGTGCTCTTACTGATGAATTTTTTTTTTTTTTTTTTCCTTTTTTTGCTTTTTAGGCTGGCGCCCGAAAACCCATTTCCGGCCGCTGTCGACGACTCATGGGAAACCGTCTTGTGGATCCACGGGGAAGGCCGCGAGCTTCTGAATGTCGATACTAGCCGCATTGGTGTGGGTGGCTCCTCCGCGGGTGGAAACCTTGCAGCCATCATGGCTCACCGTAGTGTCGCACGAAATTTACCACCCCTGAGAGTCCAGCTTCTCAATGTTCCGGTCATGGATAATACCGCCGACGTATCAAATAACCGATCATACAAGGACTATGAACACACTCCTGCTCTCCCTGCATCTAAAATGATATGGTACCGCCACCATTATCTGCCGAATGAATCAGTCAGATCGAACCCTGAAGCTAGTCCACTCATGTATCCCGACGATGCTCCCACCTGGGATGGGTTGCCACATGCGATAGTAGTGGTGGGTGAACTGGATGTGTTGCGAGAAGAAGGGGAGCAGTATGCTGCAAAGTTGAAACGTCACGGAGTTAGTACTGATTTGCACGTGATGCAAAGGCAGCCTCATCCGTTTCTAGCAATGGATGGTGTGTTGGAGGCCGGGAGGCAAGCAATCACATACATGGTTGAAGGGTGTAAGGTGGGATTCTCATAGTGATATGCCAAATAGTTTCGGGCATTTCTTTCTTTCTATACCTCCACAACCATGTGAGCTGTTTCAATCGTCCAAGGACAGAGATGTCACGAAGTTGTGTGTTGATGAACCAAAACTCAGTGCACAGAGGGTTTCACTATTGATAGTATATCCACCACAGTTCTAGTGAACCAGTCGTGGCCGAGTTTTCGAAATTGTAGATTCACAGAACTGAAAGTCAGCGCTCTTGCCTTCAGTACGATGCTGCTCTTCATTCTTGATAATCAAACCGTGTTGGGTATATAGTTCATTTTGCAGGCTGGGCCAGGGACGAAGCACCACATATTTTAAGAATTATATAATTCATCACCGAATCGAGGTCGTCCAAGTTAGCTGATTTGTCTGTCGAGGGCTGATTGGAAACATGCACATCTTGGATCATTCTGCGCGGAATGATGTATGTACTGCCTCGACACGGAGCAGTATTGATCACATCAGCTTACGCTTGGTCCGTAGTACCGAAGGCTCTATCGGAAGTAAAATACTACTCCTCCGGACTCCGTACTCGGTAACATATAAGCCATAAGGAGGAGCTTTTTAAAGGCTTGTCGTGCTTAGTTACACTAGTCGCTTTATAGTTAGTAGTTAGTTACCTACCTACCTATGTAGTTGGAAGCTCATCCGGAAAGGATCAATTCTTGATCCGTCGAACTCTTCTTTCGCCAAGCACGAACGCAGTTTGGTTTCATGGGTGCTTTTGTTTTGATTTATTGGGGCAGTGGTGAAGACGGTTTGATCGTCTTACGCGACTTGTTGAGGGAAGTCTGTGCGGCGGCTTGGACTTAAAATCCCTTGGGTTTAATGTCAAAAATTAAGAGTCACCATACGTGGATGAGTTGAGTAACCAAGCGCATTGGCATCAGCATTCACTGCCATGCTAGGGATGGCCAAACGCTAAAAGCGCTTCGTCAACACCCAGTTTCATAACTACCCGTTGGATGATACATATGCTTACCATGGATTATCGAAGCCGAATCAAGACACAAAAGCCGAATTCTTTGCCGATCGAGATGTGCTCGCTGATCATGTTGGGATGCCATTACGGAATACATAACATCTTGTTCCATCTTATATTCTCATCACTATCCAAGAGTTCGGAAAAGACATCGATAAGGATCTTAAAGCCAGGATCGCTGGGAACATTCTGAAAGATATCAAAAACAATTATGCGCTCCATTTTGGTAGCCTAAGGAGCAAATTATATTAGCCTCCCATCGACGTATAGAAGACTGCTTCCTACCTTTCGTGATAAGCAGTAAGACAACTAGCCAAGCTGTGATACTTTGGGGGTAGCCTCACTGGACCATGAAAATCAGACTGAATGCTGCATGTATGTTTCCCAATTAAGCCCTCTTGAGTCTTAAAAGGACGGCTCTGTTCAACAGCTTGACCAAGTTTGTTGAAACTGGCGCAAGGCGCCTTGGCACTATTGCAGACCATTAATCAGGACCTTGTGGGCCATAAGAGCCGGCCCTTTATCTGAGCGGTGGTTATTTATTATTTATTGAACTTTGGTGAATTCACTCCCGGGTTTTTTCTCGAACATGGAAACTAGTGAAACCGTGGATTCGGGTTTCGCGAGTCGAGATGCGCTTCAAGCTCTCGCCGTTCGTTTGTGTTGAGCCTATTCATAAGAAAAAGCCAGGTTCCCACACTTCCTTACAACAGGACGTACAGATTCATGTGGACATGATTCCATGTTGAGATGCCCTTCCATTCTGTTCCCAGGTATGACATGCGATGCTATTAATCGCACCGTGGGATGCTGCAATGCCGATGTTTCAGTGTTCTCCAACATTTCACCGAGATATATGGTCGAGTAATAATGCATCAACAGGAAGAGCATGATTATGCTTCGTTCTTACCTATGGAGGGTATCGTGGACGTCTCGGGCCGTGGGAAGCTCCCTTTAAGTGCGGTTTGGGACATTGCACAGTGTAACCACAGCCAAATGTAATAGTTACACAAGGTGGTTTTACTTCAGCGAGACCGATACAGGACAGTCGCTTCGGTGACCATCATGTCCATGCAAAGGCATACGCTGAATGCGGGGTATGTTAGAAGCCGGTAGAATCTGGGTGTCTGCATACAACAGATATTTTACATTACCAGAAACTGTTTGAGATGAATTAATCAGTGGAATTAACGTATTTTGCAGAATCATGTATGCGGAGACTGATATTCTTCAGCTGGTTCTTTGCTTCATGAAGTCGGAGGAAAGGATGGAACTATTATTTATGTTTCAGCTACTCAGTAGTGTGGCTTGCGAATCGTGCTCATCAATTCCAGCTCGGTGTCCCAAAGTCGTTGATACGTGAAGCCGGTTTTCAAGGCTCTAAGGACTTTGTTTGCCAGCCATGGCGGACACGCGGGATGGTAATTATATACACAATGTGGATGATATTTCAGGGCTTGAACACCAGCGCGATGAACTCAACTGTCACAAGAAGCATTCCATGGTTGAAAATGAAGAGTTGAAAGAGGACACCGTACGAGTCTCAGATCAAAAGGCTGAATGTGCTCTCTGTCTCAAATTTGATATCAGAATACTTCCTGTCCTCGCGATTATGTGTATGTTGACCACTACGGTTTACTTCCTGGCTCTCTTTAATGCTAACTACCCTTGCCTCCATTCCAGACCTCTTCAATGCCCTGGACAAAGGAAACATTGGCAACGCTCAAACGGCGGGGTTAAGCAAGGGTCTGTACTCGACAGTTATCTCCCATTTCATGCAGTCGAATAATTCTCATGAAAAAGTTCCAGACTTCAATTTCAAACCTGGCCAATATAACCTGCTTTTGGGCATTTTCTTCGTCCCGTATGTCATCTTCGCACCACCAATCGCCATGATTGGCAAGCATTTTGGCCCTGCGCGAATGCTACCCATCCTGATGCTCATATTTGGTTCTTTAACTCTCCTTTCGGCGGCGACCCACAATTTCGGAGGCATATTTGCCTTTCGGTGGTTTCTAGGAATGGCCGAAGCGGCCTTTTTTCCTCTGGTCATCTACTATCTAACCACGTTTTATCGTCGCGGTGAACTGGCTCGTCGCTTGGCCATCTTCTATGCCGCTTCCAACATTGCTAATGCTTTCTCAGGCCTGCTTTCTTTTGGCGTCTTTCAAGTCAAAAGCGGAAAGTTAAAAGAATGGAGATATCTGTTCTTGATTGAGGGTGCTTGCACCGTCATTTTTGCCATTTTTGCGTACTGGTATCTTCCCCAAGCTCCTGCTGAAGCTAGGTTCCTAGATCCGAAGGAAAAAGCACTTGCTTTCCATCGCATTCAAGTTGACTCCAGCTCAATCGTCAATGAAAAGTTCAATTTCCGCGAGGCTCTCACGGTCTTCAAGCAGCCTACTTCATATATCTTTTTGGCCATTGAGGTTTGCATTGGTGTTCCCATCCAGTCCGTTGCTCTCTTCTTGCCTCAGATTATCCAGCGTCTCGAGCGTGACACCGTTACAACTAATCTTTACACCGTGGCTCCAAATTGCACTGGAGCTGTTATGCTTTTAATTCTTGCCTTCTCTTCTGATGCCTGTCGTCTACGATCCCCTTTTATTGCCTTTGGCTTTCTTCTCAGTTTCACCGGTTTCATGATCTATGCTGCCATCGACGATGTCAAGGCTCAATTCGAGCTGGCCTACTATGCCTGCTTTATGATGACCTGGGGAACCTCGGCACCCTCAGTTCTCCTCAGCACTTGGTATAACAACAACATTGCTCATGAAAACCGGCGCATGCTCCTGACATCCGTGGGTGTTCCAATCGCAAACCTCATGGGCCTTGTCAGCAGCAACATCTTCCGCGAGGAGGACAAACCCAAATACAAGCCGGCGTTAATCACCACCGGCACATTCGGGGCTGCCGGTGCGTTGCTTGCGGGTAGCCTTGGTGTCTATATGGCCTGGGACAACCGCCAACGGAACAAGAAGCAAGGAGTGAAAATTGATACTCGTGACATACCCACGAAACATTTACGAGATGGGCCGGATACTCCGGAGTTTAGATGGTTTTTATAAACTCCTCCCTCCCTTACCTCAGAATACCTTCTCCTTTTTTGCCATGGGCGACCATGGATTGGCTATTAGAAGGCTGCGGCCAAAGTGTATGTAGTGGCATTCGAGTTGATTAACTGGCCTGTTGGCCGACTTTGTTAAATTACCGGATCAATGCTGGGACGTTTCTATGTCTAAAGGCGTAGTAAAATTTCAAACTTCCCATCGTCTGACAGCCACAGCCCTCCCACTCTATTTTTCTTTTCTTTTCCTTTTCCTTTTCCTTTTTTTTTTTCCAGTTAGGGGGAAAGAAAAGAGTGCCTGCGCAGATTGCTCCGTCCATGTTACTTCCCACCCCCATGGGACCTTCTGATGTCTCACAAAAGGAAAAATGCAACATTTTTAGGCCTCAGTTTCATCTCACTGCTCTTCATGGCTGACATATTGACAAGATTCCAGCGTATTGCCCGAAGAAACCATGAGTTGCAGCCTTTTAATATTTTCCACTTGCTTTCTTCCTGTATCTACCCCATTGAACCAAGCAGGTACTAAGTTAACAAGACAGAGATAAAGATGATTGAATTGCAGAATACTAGAACATTTGATTTTCAAGATTTCACTCAACACACTGCTGCTCTGGTTTAAATCATGTCATCACTCATTATCAAACGCATAAGGTCAGTCATAGCAATCATTTTGGGGAGTTCCCAGACCGAAAGACACAGCCTATTAAAAAAAAAAGAAAGAGGCCATTGCACTTGACTATAGCGAATCCTGTTCATTTGAATCCTCCAAGCAGATGGTACACAACAAAATTGAAAGACAAAGGAAAATGAACATAGGAAAATAACAAAAAAGGAAATAGTATCATCATCATAGTTATTTGTCTTCAGAAACAATCCTCAGGCCACTCAAACTCACCTCTTTTGGGGCTATTAGCGAGCTTGCCTGGTAGTGGAGGCACAGGAGGAACACCATTTTCCCCCGGTGTCGCAGTAAATGCTTTATCCTGAGATGTTTTTGATCTGAGACGTGAAGAGTATCCATGGTCCCTGGGTTTTGAGGCAGGAAGACAAACATGGGACATATTCTGGGTATGAACATATCCCGGCTTGGGGCCCATCTTACGGGTTTTTGCCTCTCTCGGCGGCTGATGGCGCGTGGGCGGACTGTCGCTTTCCTCTGGCTTTTTACTCCCAGTTAAGATAGTCACGTTTTCCTTATCTTCTTCAATTTCCTGTGAGCATCGATATTCGGAGAAGCTTGAAGTGGACGAGTGCCGCTTTTTACCGTTTTCTTCTTTCCCAGCAATCGTTGCAACGCTCCTTCGCAGATTTTGACGCGGAGTCGAACCCGCCGAAGCCACGCGACGGCTGGATTTGCTCACATCTACCATGATAACGGGCTTGGCTTTATTATTTTCTTTCATTGGGCTTTTCTGGTTGTTGAGTAGCCGCTCGGAGGGCAAAGAGGGAAGCTTCGTCGGCTGGAGGACCCTTCTGGCTCGAGCCGAAGAAACGGGGGCAGGAGGGAAGCTGGGTTCACTTTCCGACGACAGGGCACGAAGTTCTCTTTGAGCTTTATCCCATTCTTCTTCTAACTTGCTCACCCTACGCGTCAGCCGCTCCTTCAGCTTTTCTTTCCGCAATAAATCCTTTACCGAAGGTCGTTTGGGCAGACCTCGCGAGTCGGATTCGGCCGAGGCCTTCTTTCTGCTTGGTGCAATGGACATACACGACCTTGAAGGTCGAATGGTTGGAGCTGCAAGGCATCCGAAGTCCACAGGGGGTGGAGGAAGGTCCTTGTCCGTGGCCGGGATGTTGTCTTTATTCTCAGATTTGACCGGACTCGTCGTTCTTGCCCGCTCGTAAGTGTGTGTGTAAACCATTTTGTTAGTTCCAGGGTATCCAGACGCTTTAAGTTCTGCATACGCTCTCTCTGCTCGGATTTTTCTGTCCATCGCGATGTCGCGAGACGAGGGTTTATTTCCATCGTTTGTTCCCTTCCAGATTTCAGAAACATTCTGCAATACGCTAGGAATGCCGAAAGCAGAAGCAAATCTCTTTCCAAAGCGAACTATTCCGGGCTCCTTTGCATTGAGATTCTCTGTGGGCAAAGGGGGAGAGTTTAGATGAGCCGAGGTTCTTGCACGCATCTGATAGAACGACTTGTGCGGCGAATATTCGTGATTTGTCTCCTCGTCTGCCAAACAAGACGCTGAAACCTCATCGATCTCACCGGTAAATTCTGGAGGTGGCTTTACGCTAGCACGATCTCGCATGCTACCTTCTAGGAATCGTGATCGACGTCCCGGAGAAATGGCAGACGGCCAGCGCGTATCATGCAGGTATTGGCCTCTTTTTGATCTCAGTACAGGTCGGGTACTGTTCCCGACGGCCCGATTTTCCGCCAGCACCGAGTTCTTGTTTGGGAGCGGCCAATCGTTGGGTCTAAGTCGTTTCGGCGGAGTCTCCGTGTCGGGAATCGGCGTGTAATCCGTATCTTCAAAGTACGAGTCCGCAAGCGAGAGCCCGGAGTGGGAAATAGATGACTCATTATCGTCATCCGCGGTCGACAGTTTACGCTTGGATGAGCTCCTCGGAAGGCCAATATCATCTTCACCAATAGATTGGCGAAGGGAAGTTTTCAGTTGCTTGGCAGCGCATACGCTGTCCCACGCGGCATCATATAGATGGGCATCCTGGGAAGAAAATTAGAATTTGAAGGGGCAAATCTCCATAATGAAATAGCGATATGGTGGGTCAAATATAAAACGATGGTGAGAACGTGCCAAAAAAAAAAAAAGGAAAAGAAAAGAAAAGAAAACCACGGAAAACGTGGTCGCATAAACGCATTAACTGGTATGTGACAGCAGCTCCAAGTCTAGCGACCCGAGGAGCCGAGACGCGTGTGTTGGAAGAGAAAGGATCGGTGGATTTCTACTTCGTCCGGATAGGAGAAACTTACATTGGATTCCCGCGCCGTCGACATTGTTTCCTGAAGGCTTGAAGAGCCAACGTGGTTAGAATAAAAGCTGCTTGGTGTCGTTAATACCTGGGGCAGTTTCGAAACTCGATCCAGGCACGAAGCCTTGAGAGCTTGGGTGTGAATAACAAAAGCAGGTCGTAGATATCAACAAAAGGGACAAAAGCGACAAAAGCAACAATAACGCCTGTTAGAAACAAGGAAAGGCATAAAGATGCATCACAAGGAGGAAAGAGAACTAAGTCATGAAGAACACAGAGCTTCAAAAGGCGCAAATTGTTCTGTCGGCGGTGGAAAAAGGGCGTGTTTTGCTTTGTTTTGCTTATCCACCAACCGCCTGGATCGCAGATGGAGCTTCAGCAAGCAGCTCGAAGCGCTTTTGACTTCTTGTCAAATCTGAAACATATCAGTATCAAGGCGGCCACCAGGCTGGACGTGTCAGCAAGCGCACAAAGCCCAGCAACAAGCGTAAAGAACGCGACTCTGCAGAGGCGTCCTGCGGGTGCAAATAAAGTGAAGTCAGATTGGGGTCGGGTGGTTACCCGGTTGCCAGGCGATCGCCGGGTGCGCTAGTGCGTCTGGTCGCCCCGCGCTGATTGGCCTGCAACCTTAAGAAATCGCAAACTCGCGACCAGACCTGCTGGCTCTTCACCACAGCTTGCTGTTGGAGACGATCATCGATCTCGGGCAATTGAATCACGAGAAAAACATGGCTAATATTATCTATCAAATCAGAAGAGGGAACAAATGAGGACACAACAGATAAATACATACACAGATGGCCAATTTAGTCAGGTATATATCATAAAAAAGAAAAAAAAAGAAAAGGTCAAGAAAAATGCCAGACACCAGCTTCAAGGATGAAAGAAATAAATGGATGACCAAAATCAATGCCCAGCAGATTGCACCCTCCCCCCGACATAGAAACGATGAGAGGAAAGGGAAGGAGCAAAGAAAAAGAAAATAGAATAAAAACCACACATGGAGCTGATGATCATTGCCCAACAATTGAAATTTCGCCGCCCATCCTATCCCTCCCGTCCCCTGTGGCCATGGAGTGTCAACAAGATATCTCGTTCGCCGCCCTTCGCGTTCAAATCACCCACCCCCTTTTATTTTTCCCCCTTTCACGAACATACCTCCAAAATATATACTTTCTCGCGCTGAAGATTCCCGTCAAGTCCGACAGTGCAGGCAAAGAAACGTGCTTTGCAGCAACAACTAGAGTTGACAGGTTAAAAAGCTTCACACTCGTAAGCCCTGGCCTATCGAACCTTTTTCTGATAGACAGCCATTGCCCGACACTCGATATTTACTTCTCGGCAGGGGTGCAAACTGGCGTACAACCGGACCATCTTAGATCTCGGAATTGCGAGGCTTTTTTTTGAGGGGAAAAAAAAAGGACAAGAATAATAATAGACAGAATTGAAGACAAGATAAAAGAAAACTGGAAAACGAGTACAGCAAACGACAAGGGAAAGAAGTCAGTAAAGCACAGAAAACAACAATGAGATATACATCTTTAAAGATCGGCGACGACGGCTGCATAGCTGTCAAAACTAGGTATTTTTGTGGAAGTGATAGGTAATCCCACACCATATGCAGTCAAGAAATATTAACTCAAAAAAAAAAAAAAAAAAAAAAAAAAAAAAGAAAGGAAAAGAGAATGAGTTTACGCGCTTGGGGGCTTTTTTTTCTTTTTCTTTTGCTTTTTTTTGTTGGTGGTCCAGGGTATAAGTTCAAAGGACCAGAAAGCGGAAACCAGACGCTGACTAGGACGGCGGGTATGCGCATTTAGGCATTCATGCCGGCCATTCTCTCGACCAATCTTCCATCTGCTCGTGGATACGTCACTTTATGGCCAGAGAAAGCGTCAGCATCTGAGCTATCCGCTTCTGTTAGTGGATCAGGCCGTGCACCATCGTTCAGGCGGCGATCAAGATGAGCCGATCCGAACGTCTCGCCATGCGATCGTTTGCCCGACAACACCTGCTTATCGAATGCCCACATCTTGCGTGCAGAGTCGAAGGTTCGGGGTGGATTCGATGGTGGAGCGGGTGTGGTATCTGCGGCAATGATGGTTGGTGGCACAAGGTTATACTGGGGTTTACTGGAAGATGCCTTGTGTAGAGGAGACGGAGGAGGCATCTGAGATAGTTGGCTGTATCCCTTAGGCTCAGACACCGGAGAGTCTTGGACACGAGAACTGTAAGCCGACGTGATCGTTGGCAAGAGGGGTGGCAGATAAGGTCTGGTTGAGTCAGGCTTTAGAGGTAGGGTGGGGGGATATTTCTGTGCCTGTGCATCGAGTCCTGATCCGCTGGAGGCCTGTCTGTTATGCGCATATGCAGGACGAGGAGAATAGAGGGCGGGAGGGGGTTGGGTGACGACCGGTGGAATGCTAGCCGGAGGAGCACTGTATTGAACTTGGGGAGCACCAAATGTCAGATGCGACTGGGCCATTGGCGCAGGGCTTGGGCCTGGAGGAGGAGGAGGAGGAATGGCCACCGGCTGTTGATACGGTGCTGGGGGATAGGAAAAGCCTTGGGCGGATGGAACCCGGCGAGGTGTAGATGTCGGGCAGTAGGCATAAGGGTTATCGACGGAGGCATTGCTTGCCGATCGTGGCCGTTCAATTGGCGTGCCCGGGTAATTGTCAGGAGTCATATGTCGCTCGTCGTAGCCACCATTAAAGTCCTTGTTGCCCTTGTGCTCACGGCGTCTCATACGGACATCACGGCGAATCCGGACGCGACAGCCCTGTTCGGCCACCGTGCGGCTTAGCATCGTGCTCTCGGCCAGCCCAGGGAACTTCTTGGCACTGTAAACAGTGAACGGCGTGGTCTTGACATCGAGGCGGAAGTAAATGTACTCGTTTGGCTCCCGAGGTTCACAGGTCTTGGGCAAAGCGGGCAAAACCGGTCGTGGGACGCCACGGTCCTTGTCTTCATCCTTTGGATCTTTGACCTCTTCATACAAACTGAAGTTCAACCGATAATAACCCTCATGCCGAACCGAGAGATCTGGGAAAATGAAATAGCCTGCCTGAACTGGCCGATCGAGATATGCGACACCTGCAACCGGCACGCCGGTCAAAACGGGTGGTGTTGCGGCACTTTGGCTTTGGCCTCTTGGATGGGCGATAGGACGAGCCCATTCCAGTGTGGTAAACAAGAAGAAATTCGCATTGTACGCGAATGTGATGTCTGTCTTGTTCATATCATTCTGGTCTGACTCGTAGACACGCAGTTCAACCACAGGAGGCGGGTCGACCGGGCGGCGGTCAGCAGACGCTGCAGTGACCAATGTCAGTTTACTCGTCAACATATACCACTAGAGACGACCTTACCTTTGGCACCAGCACCACATGCCCTTGCCCGTTCAGGCTGCTGGATGACCTTCAACGTATAGGTGAGCTTCTTCCCCTCCCGTGTGGTTCTGACGAATGAGCTCTCCGTCTCATTCTCGGGGTTTAGAATCGATTCTTTCGAAGACATGTTGATGGATATATTGATCCTTGGGTAAATATGAGAGAATTATCGGACCTGCCGATCATATATCAGTCGAGCCGTTCCGAGTGATGACTTTTGTCCAGGAGACAAGAAACCGGGAATGGTGTTTTGCATCAGCATACCATAGGCTGTTGAGGGACCTAGGAGACCAGTTGAATCTCGCACGGATACAATCGTACAACAACAGAAAGCACTCTTTTTTTCTGATTTCCAACGCCTCACAACGTGGTGAATGCTTTGTGTGTATGACGACGGTGGATTAAAACGGCGTCACTAATCTCGCTGGGTGTATGTATTCGAACCGAGAGTATATCGAAAAAGTCTGTTCAAATCGACTCTGATTTCGCTATCGGAAATCAAGCATCAGCACCCCCTACTGCGTCCTCTTGTCGTGTGCAGATGAGGCCCAGGGGGGCAATGTTCGAGGTTTGAAGGAGTTGCAATCAGAGAAAGCGCATCAAGCGTGGAGTTCGCTTATGTTGAAAGTTCTCGATTGTCAAGAGCCGGACGGGAAGGACTGGGGATATGGAGACGGGGGATATCCCAAGGGCCAAACCCCATTGACCACTCGATAGAGTTGGGCCACCTAGGCTAAGGGAATAGCTCAACTCAATTATTCAGGCTGTGATTGTTTCCTACTGGGTGTGCATGGTGGCTGGAGACTCAAAAATTGGGAAATTTTGATCAGGGAATGACCCCGTATCGACAGCCCACACGGAGACCACACCCCCAATACAGCGCCAAAACGGTGATCGCCCAAGCCTAGCGGTAACGGTGGGCAGCCCACTGGCGACAATGGACAGCAGCGATAGGCCAGTCCCGCATGGAACTCGATACAAGCGGGTTTAGGACGAAAAGCCAGGACAGGTTTATCATACGCTGGTTGCAAGCGAAGCACCAGCTGTATTTCCTGTATTTTCGCCTGGTTACCGCCCACGTTGGCAAGGCTTCAGAATGTGCAACGCAGCTTCCGGCAACCTGGTTCTTCGACAACATTTGACACTTATGCGTCTGCCCACCGCTCGGGAACGAATCACCTGCCATTCCCACCAACCCGGGCAGACATCCTACATACCGCCACTTCTCGCAACTTTGCGGGTTGTTTCGAACAACCACATTCAGGATCGAAGCTTTTTTTCGTGCATGACAGATTCTCAGTCGACCAACTTTTTGTGTTTTCTGTTTTTTTTTTCTTGTTGGTACTCTGGACACAGAGGGTCCAAAGTTTCCGTTACCTTTCCTTACCGTATCGGACCAGTACGGAGCACACGGAGTTGAAATTTACCCTGCTGGCCGTGACGATATTGCCCTTATTATTCCGCAAGCGCCGAGGTGGTGGAGGATGTTTCAGAGTGGAGCTGCTGTGTCGCCCGCAGTCGCCGGCTGGAAAAAGAGCGAAAGAAAACCGGTCCAACCTCACCCCACACCAGGAGGGCGGGATGCTGCAGCCGGCTGGTTTAAAATACCGCTGTGGTAACGGACGACAAGGGAGCCCTGCGACTTTGTGCCATGATTCCCTGCGCTCTCGACGCCGGCAGCGTCTCTAGTCAGCTTGGCGGTTCCATAAGTGTGTTTGCCAGGCCGCGCCAAGAGCGGCGAGAAACAGCAATGCTGAGTCCCCATTTGCTGGAACCGCGGTGCTAAACCCTATTGCTGGAATGAGTTTGGCCCCAGCGACCTTTTTGTCAGGAGTCCTGCCAGCCTGGTCAGCGGGCACGAAGGTTTTGGTAACTCTCACTTTGCAAAAGGCCCTTTTTCTTTTTGCTCAGGGAAAGAAAAAAGAAAAAGGGAACCGAAAAAAAGGAGGGGGAACGTGGTGGGTGCCTCGCCTTGGCCCAGCACGCCACCCCGTTCATAGGACTCTTGAAGCTCCAAAAGAGAACTGAACCCATTTTTGCGCTTCTTTTTTACGCAAAAGTTTTTTTTTTTTTTTTTATTTGGGCCAACTTCTTTTTGCAGCATGTTCAAAAAGTTTTGATTCCAAAAAATCATACTCGGTCGCTAATTGTTCCGTCTGATTTGCCAACCAAAAAATGAATGAAAGCCATCTGTTCGATAGCCTAACTCAATCCGGGGGGGACTTGGGGATGATACATCTGGATGGATGTACTCCGTACTCCGTACAGTGCATCCTTCTTTCAAGACCCTTTTGATTCGATCCTCCGTTCCCTCACGGCTTGCAAGTTATTGTACCCAAGGAGTTCACAATTCTCAATCAAAGGACAAATCTTCCTGTCCTCCATACTGTGTGTGCATCGAACCTGTTGGACACCCTGTACCCTGTGTCCGTGTGACGAGAGAAGCAGGGAGCAGCCTCCATCATCGGTAGCACACCCAACGAGAAGAACACCACATCTGCCTAAAGAGTCAGATGGTTCTCGCTGTTGGATGATCTTTTACTTGAATGCTCAGTCATATTTTCTGGCCCAAACCGACGCCTGGGGACCTTCCTCTTCAGAGCAAGTATGGAGTATAGACCTCTTGAAATGCGATGCCTGTCGATGACGGCTGTCGAAGTACCTATGACTTCGCTGCGAAGTAATTGCAGACCCAAGAACCAAACTTGGTTGAACAAGGCGGAATCTTCTACTGTTTCTTTGTTCAATGCGACTCCGCGGAGACGACTGGACTCCAGCAGCCAATCCGGTTCAAATACAAGCTTATCCCGTCTGGATACCGCATGTTGAAAGCGGCGTTAGCCATACCTCTTGCGACTATTCAACTTGAACGATGTGCTGAAAATGCCGAACCTCGCCAAATCATCAACCCAGCCTTCAAGCTGGAATAAAACCGTCCTTTGCAGCGGGTCGAGTGCCCCGTGCCTCGGTTCTTGTAGTCTGTTCCACAGATTCATTCCTCTGAGGATGAATCTTGAGTGCAACCGGGCCAGATTTCAACGATTATCCGTCTTCAAACACCAGGAGAGCGTGTTGCGTTTCTTGTCTTGCCCTGCAGACTCAGCACAGAGGGCCAGACTGGAGCGCCAGGGCCGAATTTATGGTCAAAGTGGATCTTGTCCCACACTGACGGGCCGTAGTCGAAGGCAAAGGGCTTCTCCACGGCAATCTCCCTACGGCATGAACCACCGTCATCGTCATAATAGGTATCCCTCATACTAATTATATGTTCTTTAACGCATATCATGCGAAAAATTCCAGAGCTGATCAACTTTCCTGTTGAAACATCCCTCCACCCTCCCAATCTTGTTTCCATCAAGTCTTTTTCATCTAGAACTTCCCCCTTTGATGGCAAGTTCACACCGCATCTAAGCAACCATTGCTATTACCGCCGTTCGTAGGCTAGCCTGTGCTTACTTTTCATTTTTTTTATATACAATATCCCTTGTGTTGGGTCGAATTGTGATCCGAACTGGGTCTAGTAACCGGGGCTTTCTATGTATATTTCGTACGGAGGAACGGTATTTCGGCCCGTCCGACTGACCTTTGTACAAATTCACTCATGATCGTTTCGCTATGTCTGGCTAAATCCAACAATTCCATATCTATACCAGAAAGTGGGAAAAAGAAATCATTGAGCAGCTCGGGCAATACTTCTGATTCGGATATTTAAATGAATATTTCTCGCAAAACCTGGCCGTTACACCGTCTACCCAGGTTTGATAGCGGCTCGCCTGTGTCACAAACCTGTTCGAAGTAAACATTTGGACCAAAAACGGCGGGTTCGAACGGCGAGGCGTTCGGCGACCAGCTGGTGCTTATGCGTCTTTCCAGACCGCTAGTGGGGGAGCTTCATGTACGACTCGAGTCGTACACAGGTCTTATTTCACCACCTTCCAGGTCACACAGTTGATAAGCTGCTTTGTTTTTCCCCGGTTTAACTTAGACACGGGGGCTGTGTTCGGTGCTACGGGAAAGATGTTTGTTATTAATCAATGTAGCTTTTTCGTTCAACTCAAATCTTCCCGCTCAGCCGTGTTATGCAAGACCTTTTCTAGACGTACGGCATTTCCTCCGTACACGCCCCCCGTTTTCGGTAGCGCTTCAGTTTTTCAACAATCTTGGTAGGGCTGACCAAGTGCTTCAACCTATGGAAAGCTGCCTACCGCTGAATGTGACTAGGAAGAAATCACATGTGACACTGTACCTTGGGCAGGTTGAGAGTTTGTTCCGTCCGCAAGCAGCAGTTGGGAAGTTACTCAATACTTCATCACATTGGCCACACTGCTAACCCTGTGTGGGCTCTGCGCTCTTACGTTTTAGATTCTAGAACGAGCTGCTTGAAACCTTGTTGTTTGCAATCCCAAATTCTTCAAGCTAACGTGCGGGCGAGTGCTCAGAGCTTCGCCGCAGGGAGGCCGGCTACTCCCGTGTATTGGTGAGATCTACGGAGTACATCCTCAGCCCATTGACGTGCAGTCAAAGTGTTGAATGCTTGCCATACTTCTTTAACGTTTGACGGACTTCTACCAAATTAAATAGGCCGTCCCTTTTTTTCTTTTTTTTTAAATTATCCGTACTCATGCCTATCGTTGTAAGCATTTTGGCATTGGCTGCAATGGAAATCCCACAGTTCTTGCCGTCCTCGTCCCAACGATTCATCTCCCGCTTTTCTTCTGCGTTTTATCAACAACCTCGGTCCATTGAGACTTGACCCCTTTATTACTCAGGACTTTATCCACCGTTCGGCGGTGATCACCCTGAACCAAGACCTCCATGGATCCCTTAGCAGCTCCAAGTGCTTGAGTCACGCTTGTGCTACTTGCACACTTCTTTTGTAACTCATCGCTCAACGTCTGAGGAGAAACGCCGAATGTTTCCAGGCCCATAATTCTTGTCACCACCTTCGCGCCGCTCCGGCGCTCAATCACCACGGAAACTTTGGGAAGGGCTCCAGCTTTGGGCTTCACGTCCTTTAGGCTCTGACCAGGCTTCAGAAGCGCATGGTATGGTGCGCAAAGAGATGTGTCGTCGAGCAATCTCTTGAGCAAAGCATCCCGCAAGACGGTGCCGCGTGCTTGTATGGCCAGGTCGCTTGGGGAATTGGAAGAGAAGATCTTGTTGCTGATAAAAGGATTAAGGTTGATGACGCGTGGATTTGAGGGAGAAATTATGGGCGGGTCTTGCGTGGAAAGGTAGTCACTCAGGCGTTTTGATACATCGGTTGCAGAATAGTAATTGTTCAGATCGGTATTGGCAAGAGGTGGGAATAGGTCCGGTATGAGCTTGCCGCTGGGTCGATAAAGGGTTTTGACATCAAACGACTGTCCAGAGGGTGCTTCTACGGGCGCTTTAGAGGCTGATTTGCTCTCTGGCCCTGATTTCCGTGGGAGCCTATATGGCTCAAACATAGCCACCCTTCTATCCTCAAAATCAACATCCAGGATTATAGTTTCCCCTCCACTGCGATCTTTGGACTTGACCAGTTGCTCCTTGTCGAGATACTTCACAAACTTCTTAACATTTTTCCAGGAAGACTTTTTGATCTGGTAGAATTGGGCTTGCTGTGGGGTATATATCGGTAGGAATGGGGTTATGAGATTCGAAATCAAGAAGGATGGTTGAATCGGAAAAGATAAGCCGTGGTGCTGTTGGGATGGATTCTTTTCTTTCTGGTTGTAGAGGGCATAAAGGAAAGCTCTGAAGAGTACCTCGTCGATTTCTATTCAGTGTTAGCCTCGAGTTCGATGCCTGTAGTAGTAAAGAAGAGAACAGTATCAGCTCCATTCACCTTTGGTGGTCGGTTCCCTTTCGGGTTCGTGAGACCCCTCTGCTTCAGCTGCCTTTTCGTCCTCCAGTGACACGCCTCCATCTATTTCTTCTTGGACAATGGCCGCGTCGTCCTCTTTTTCCAACTGTAGTTCATCCACTGCCTTGTGCAAGCCTTCAGGAACGCCAAGCCAGCCGTCAATGTTCTCAGGAGCGAGCTGACCACCCTGCCCTGTCAAGCTCCAGGCCCATAGCTCATCTCCTTGCCATTGTACACCTCTGACAGCATGTCCCTTGACTCCTTGGACCTTGTCCAGTGCAGAGACATCAATCTCGCATACACCAACAAAGGTTGGTGCACTTGGCTTCTTTATGTCAGCCACTGCAACCACTGCATTCTTGGTCGCCCCCTCAGGGAAAGGTGGGCCGTTTGCCAACCCCGGAATCATAAGATCTGCCCCGCCATACAGTTTATCCATCACTAAAGATTGGGTATGTAATAACGGAACAATGCCGGGGTTTTGCCATAATGTATAAACGGTGGGGTAGATGCGGCCATCTGTGCCGGGGCCTTGCTCGAGTCGAAACCATAACACTCTTTCGTCACCTCCGGGATGCGTGCCAACGTAGATTGTTCCCTGGACCGACTGTAGATTCGGCCCTGCAGTGGTAGTAAATCGGGCGGATTGGGTATTCTCTGGAAGCAGGGCGTTGCGGACGGTAGCTATAGTCGTACCACTCGTTTGGCCCTCTGAATTTCCGTTGTCTTCGCTCGTGGTAGGAGGGGTCACGGGGATCAGTCCTTTGTACTGCTGGATGATCTGATCGGCGATCTTGCGTCGGTCTGATGAACGGAGAGGAGCAAGCGTTTTGATCTATGCTCACTGACTCAGTAAGAGGTATGGGGAACTCAAGGCAAGCTGCCAAAACAGAGCTTGCAGCAGCGGCGGGGACAGATGAAGCTTACCGCTGGCTTTTTCTTGAACATCTTGACGAAGCTGTCTCCAAGAAGGGTAGATGTAGGGCAAGAAGGATCAGGAGGACAAAGATGATTGATTTGGGCCCCCGACTTTGTGTTTATAGCTCATGGGTGTTTCCGATAGCTGACGCTGATATTTAAATATTTATTTTCTCCACGCCTTGAGTGCGGGGCTGCAGCACCAAAATTCCCCATGTCGTCACAGTCAGCACTCCATATAGCTACTAGTTGGTTAAGTATATTTATCAACACCAAACAGTTAACACATCCTCCACGGGGACACTGAAGAGTGCAATGACTATCTTACGCTTGAAAATCAGTGTTTGTTAAGTTACATTACCTTTTTTCTCTTAAAAAAAAAAATAAATATAAATAAATAAATAATAGAAATATCTGTTTTGCAGGAAACTTCATGATATGAACGGCCCTCATGGCGGAAAGCCGAGTATCGTTTAACTAGGAGGCCTCCGATAGACTGAGAGCCCGGCCCGATCGCGACGAAACGAGGCCATGGCAAGCAGACAGGTCCGGAGCCGAGGTGCAACCGGCAGCTCTCTGCTCGAAGCTTATACATGAAGTTCTGTGGAAAGACCAACCCCCCGCTGGGAGAAGGATCATTCCCTCAGATGGCCAATTCCCAAGGCTCTGCCAGGCGCTCTCGGAGTCGTATCTTTCCCTGCCAGCTGGGCTTCTGTGGAACAAGAGCTTCATGTATATATTCTGCAGTCCATGATGCACAGTCTCAAGGGAACCGTATGCTATGCTTCTATCGTTCACAATGCATTTCTTACAAGTTGTCTCTCTTTTCGTTGTGTCCTATATTCTTTCAGCTAGTGCGGCGCCGTTAATGAAGCGCAAGCCATCGAGGCCGGCCTGCCCTCAAAATGTTCCTCTTCTCGAGGCAGAACAGTTGTATGTTGACGACCCGGCTGGATATCGGAGTCCCTTTTGGAATTTCGGCGCCAGTGATGAAGTGAGGATGGGTGGGACGCCAGGTTATAATCCGGATTCGACGCGTTGGAATCAGGCGACCAATTCCCCTTCGCAAGCGGGACCACAGCTAAACAATTCTGCTTTCCGCGCCCCGGAATATTATAGCGGAGCTAATCGTGATCGGATCTTGAGTTTGAAAACGTATCCCTGGAATACTGTCGGCCGAGTATCATTCAAACGCTTTAAAGGCGATAAAGGGGGATGGTGCACGGGCACGCTAGTTGGAAGGGATCTTATACTCACAGCTAGTCATTGCTTCCCATGGGGATACGGCGATGATAGATGGATGCGATTCTCGCCGGGTTTTGCAAATGACACGGAACCGTACGGTGGTTCTTACGTCTCCCGTTGTCGTGGGGTGAAAAATACTTTCAACGTGACCGGAATCGACTATGTTGTGTGCCATCTTTGCCAACCTCTAGGAGAAAAGGTGGGTTGGATGGGGACAAGATGGTGGAAAGACGAGTCCGTTTATATGGGTAGATCATGGTCGAGCAGTGGCTACCCAGTAGACTCCTATAATGGCCAAGCGCAGATGTTTATTCCTAGTATAAATTTCTTCGAAATCGAATACCATGCCGACCTTGGAGTGGAACTCGAATCCCTGACCTTCGCATCTGCAGGTTGGTCTGGAGGACCCACGTGGGGTTACCTGGATGGACAGCCAACCATTGTGGGCGTGTGCAGCGGAGCAGAAAGGGACTGTAGCGAGCGGGTTGGAGGCTGCCTTAGTAGCGACACAGAAGACTATCACGATGTATCAGCGGGTGGAAAGCTCATGACTGATCTTGTTCTCTACGCAATGCACCAATGGCGATCTGGTTGATACTGGAAAGTATCCCGATGCCGAGCCCCTATTCGCTCAAATGAAAACTTTCTATCCTCAAAATTCTCTCCGTGAGGATCTTTCTGAGTAAAGTGCTGTAATCGAACTCCGGTGAAGAAGAGCCTCTAGCCTCAAGGAGTTCCAATAGGGAAGTAGTGAAGCCCTGGTCCCCTAAAAAATAATAATAAGGGGGCAAAACAGCTTCAATATCTTCCAAAATCCTGAGAAAACTTTGAAAAACAAAAATTTCCTTGCACACTGCAGGCTGATGCCAAGATATAACGTGCCTGCGGTCCGTGCTGACGACAAGTTGGCCTTTTTTTGAGTCTCATCTTCGGTTTTGAGAACTCCATGTCCAGCTCAAACAAGAAAATTGAATAGGACATTGTGGGTTTTCCCGTAGTCCCCACAACGCTTGGCCCGTCCAGGTTGGCGACGGTTCGCTGAAATGGAGCGGCTGGTTCTCCGCAATCCGTAATTTGAAATGACGAGCTTCGTTCACCGGCTAAAAACAAGGTCAGAAACAGGTTGAGGCAGAACAGCCGCCTATACCTCCAGTAGAGATAATATGTCGGGAGTACTCATTGAGGGCATTTGAAAATCCGAGAATAAAATAATAGCTGAAGTAGCCGGCGGTGGGGTGCGAACGCGATAGGACATAGAAATACATATGTATCGCCCGCGGCATGAAAGGGGTACATAGAAAAGCGAGCACTCCGTACGGAGGTACTCGGCAAGGGCATTTTGTGGCTCGAAGCTTGGAAGCCACCGCATCACCTACCTTCTGCGCACGGTGGATGCCGGCTGATATCACAATGCATCATCTTCACCAACGTTCGCCAGAGCAGATAGTCACCATGTATGGAGTAGTGTGCTCATCCACCTTTACCATGTAATTATTAGCCCCCTCACTGCTTCTGTAACCAGACGCGCGAGCCAGAGATACGATTGCGAGCCGCCAAGCTGTTTTGTTCTCTTTCTCCCGGTGCGTCGTCCGTGACTCGGCTGTGGCTCAGTCCAGACCGGGGGCTGGGGAAAGCGTGCTTCCAAATTCGGTTTAGCGCCAGCTGGATTGAAATCGAACCTGAGAGCCCTTTTATTTGACGATAATTCATAATGTCGAAACATCACGACAACGCTCCGGTTTTGTCTGGCCTGTCGTGGTAGTGGTGTCTTTCGTCTCAGACCTGGATAACCCGTCTATTAGGGTCTCTTGGGTCGAGCTATTGCTATTACTGCGATAGACGCTATTCAGCACGGCGGCCGAGGCCGCAGCGTGGCCGCGAAATCTCAACTGTTATCACCCGCGCTATCAAAACTCCCATCCACACTCTTACAGTCGCGTTTTCCGTCTCAGCGTCGTGTCTGCCGGTCATAAAGCCGAATCATCGATATAGACCTTTTCTGTTCTTCGCTCTAGCTTTTTCTCCCAACGTGCTTGTCGTGAACAGTTCTCCGACAACTTCACACCGACTCTTCTTCGGAAGACGTTTCGAGTTTTGCGCTTTGCCTCCATCTACAATCATTCATTTTCCTTGTCTCGAAGGGAGCATGCCGCCTGTGAACGTATCCGCCTCTCCAAAATTTGCAGGCTGCGAGCCGTTTATTGTTGATAGCGATATGGGAAGTCTGGACGAGGAGGGCGATCTCCGCTGCTTTGACCCTTCTGTGCTGGAGGTTTCAGGACCCAATACTGTCCATGACTTCGAGGATCTCTTTATTCGCCCATCTAGTTCCGCACAGATGTCCGATGCAATGTCGTGCATGTCGGATTTGACTTCAAAGGCAACTACCCATCGTCATCCGCCTGCCGCCGAATCTAGATTATCGCCGTCAGACTCTCGGTCAGAATCCCCTGGAGAATCGAGTAACGGATCCTCAGCGAATTCACCGCTTGGCCATACTCGAAACCTCTCCTTGTTTTCCAACCCCTCGGAAGCCTTCAGCCCCGGAAGCGTCGGAACTGATCAGTTTCTACCGACGTGGCCAAACTCTCACGATTACTCGCTTGCCGAAGAAAGTTTTGTCGCACAAGATGGGAGGTCACTGTCGGTCAAAGAAGAATACGCTACTGAAACAGATATTGAAATGAGTAATAAAGCGATGGATTCTGCATTTGATTTTGAAAGTGCTGCGAGCAGCCCCAGCCCTTTGGCATCGCGAGCCGCTTCGGAGAAGCGGAATACTGACTTGTCCAAAGAGGCTCTCAATACTTCAAACCTGGCTAAGGTGGAAAGTAGCCAGAATCCGTCTGTGAGTACTGCCCTATCTCGCGAGTTTCGTACCGATTTTGCTAACAATCTGCAGTACCCAGTGCAAAACGTGTCTCCACTAATCTTCCAGCGCACCGCTGATTTATATTCTACGTTCCCCAAGTCGACAAATGGGCTTAAATTTTGGAATAACACCTCTTCCCCTGATCTCGATGGAGGACTGGGCGCCATCGCCATGAACGGCACATCACCGTTACATGCCACTCTCGCGCCCAGCCTAAATTTCAAGTCATATCCGTCGCCCTTCGAATCCACGCCGTATCACCCCGCCGTAGTCTTCCCCATGAGTGACGCAAATGCCATGTTTCATCCGTCGTTTGGTTTCGAGAATTATATTCCACCACGCCTGATAGTTCATCCTACCGCCCTAAAGTCCCGTGTTGAGACCCAAATACCGATCAAACTGACCTTGTATCCCATGCCTTCTGGGGTGAAGAAACTGCGTCTTCCAACTTATACAATATCGAAACCAAAGTTCTTTGCGAAGCCTGACACACCACGCTCACCCGATGTCTTCGAGTTGAGCGTCAGTCTTGTCTGCACAAGTGCAATGCAGGACAAGAAAAAACGGGAAAGAGCTTTTGCCAGAGCACGCGGTGAACAATTGCCCTCTCAATCATCCATGAGAGAAGATGGCTCAGAAGACTCCCAAGAAGAAGATAACACGCCCCTCAAGGGGGGTGAGGTGAAGATTTGTGCTGGCTGTATTCAGAGAGAACGCAAAAGAGCCTCACGAAAGAAGCAGAAAAAGCCAGAGGAGGATGAGCTATTTCAGAAAGAGGAAGACAAGCGAGTGATCGTATTTAATACAACCGAGATGAAAGATTGGGTGGACCCTCCAAGAATAACTTCATCGAGTGGCGCTGAGGCATCTACCCCTCCGGCCCCTCTTGGATCTATGCAAGTTGAATTGCCCATGCGAATTGCTTGCTATTGCCGACATCAAGGGGAAAAGATGGGATTTCAGTAAGTCAAACGCAAGTTTCGATGGGTGGGCATTGCTAAACACCAATTCAGGGTGATTTTTACCATCAAAGACTATCTAGGCAACCTTATCGCTCAAGAAATGACGAACTCCATAATGATCACCGATGACCATAAGACCCATACACCTTCGAACCAAACTTCCGCGAGTTCTACTCCACCGGAGAACCCAGTTGCAAATGCCAGACTTTTCCCATCAAACGCGCCTGTTGATATGGGAAAGCAATTCATCCACCAGGCGCCCTTCAAATTATCTCACTCTGCCACAGATCTACAGGCCCTGCGCAAGCAACAGCATCCCTTAACTCCTGGTAATTTTAGCCAGTCACAAAGCCCGTCTGGAACGAGTGGTGTCGCCGCTCCGCGTGGCGTTTCGCGGCAGGCTCCCTCAAGGGACTTGCCTGGCCCTTTGGCAAAGCGAAGAAAACAAAATAGCCCTGGCAAAATCCCCAGCGGTCTTGCTATGACCAAAGTCGAGTCCGCTTCAAATTCAGCAACCCAAAAACCCAAGCAGGCCGCTACCGGGCCGTCTTCACAAGCCACTCCACCTCAAATGGAACAACCTTTTGTTATGCCTTCTTCTATGGTAACTCAGTTTGGAAATGGCCCGCCAACACCGATCACCACCGATTCAAACTTTTTCAGCCCTAGAGATAGACCTCAAACGCTTGAAAATCTTCCTCAACAGTCGCTTCTGTCTGCACCCAGTTCAGCTCACCCAAGTCGTCCCGGTACTCCTGGAAGCTCCTCTCGAAACGCAGCAACAGAACAAGTAGTTAATGGTGCCTCTAATCCTGCTACTCAAACGCCCATTTGGAATATTCCGCCAAACTTGCCTCAGCAAATGCCCCCAATGATCCATAAGCTTGTTCCCGCAGAAGGTTCAACTACAGGAGGTAGCGAAGTGACTTTGTTGGGCAGTGGTTTCTATCCTGGAATGGAGGTTGTCTTTGGAGACACTTTAGCTACAACTACTACATTCTGGGGAGACAAGTGTTTGAATTGCCTCACGCCACCAGCTTTACAACCTGGGACCGTGCCGGTTGTGTTCAAGCATGAGCATCCACGTTTTGGCCAGGTTCAACAAACGCCGCCAATTATACCAAAGCAGCAGACCTTCTTCCGCTATGTTGACGATCGAGAACTACAAATGTACCGCGTCGCTTTGGGTATTTTGGGTCAAAAACTTAGAAACCCCGCAGATGCCTATAGAACTGCCCAGCAGATTATGGGAGGAGACCCGAATACTTTGTGGAATATTCAGAATGGTTTCCAGAGTGGACAACAAAGAGGTGGCAGCAACAACTGTAATATGACAGAACTAGATGCAAAAATGCTTGTATACCTTGAGTTCATGGATCTTGACGATACACCGGGTGCACCAAAGTTCAATATGCGATCACCAGCTGGACAAACCCTTTTGCACTTTGCTGCTTCGTTGGGATTGACCCGATTTGCCGCGGGGCTCCTTGCAAGAGGCGCCAATCCAGACGTTCAAGATAACAACGGAAATACGCCTTTACATCTGGCAGCAATCAGCGGACATACTCACATTGTTCATCGTTTGCGGCTATCCGGTGCCAATGTTGCTGCACGGAACCTGCGCGATTTTACATCAGCGGACCTTGCATCCTCATTGGAGGTACATCAGGCTGTTCTTATCCCTTCACGACACTACCGGTCAAGAAGTGTCGGCTCGACTCCATCATTGCGCCGCCGGCTCAGCTCTGGCTCTCTTAATGACTTTTGGGAATCTGCTTCTTCTGACGAAGCGGGTGAAATCTCTACAGATCTCTCGGAATCCTCGGATGACGCCGTTGAGAGTAACAATGATAATGCAGATTCGCCGTTTTACCAACCGGTTTCCAGACGCCAAAGCGCGGTTCTTCAGAATCAACCTGGATACTTTATGGCTGGCCCTAGTGAGAGTATCCTTCAAACTTCAGAAGCTGTGACTGCTGGTGAAACCGAAGGGAATGTAGCTGGAAGGGGCTTTTCACCGCCGGCCGCACTGGTTGCCTGGCGTGATCAGCTTGCCACTCAAATCAACCAGTTTCAGCAAAGCGTGAACCGAGCTTTCCCGAATTTGCCAGCATTGCCTCCCATGCCTACATTGCCTGGTTTACCAGATTATCAAGCCTATCCTATGATACAGCGCATTAGTTCTCTTGTTCCCCACCGACCAGCCACATCATGGTCTACAAATTTAATGAAAGATGGCTGGGATCGGTTGACAGGCAATTCGTCTCCACCCGCGTATGATGAATTATACCCGGTCAAGGAAGCCAGTGAAGATCAGGAGGTTAAGAAATCGTCTATAGTTGAAGCTGCACTTGATGCCGCTGTTGATCAGCATTTCGAAGCGCAGCTTAAAGCTTCCTCCTCATCATCATCTTCTTCTTCCACAGCCACAGAGGTTAAAGAAGACATCGGTGATGTACGTATTGGACGCAAAGCCATATCACGACAGCAGCAGGAGCAACTGCGAAAGGCTCACGCCTTGAAAATGAAACGCATTCGCAGTGATAGGAATCTATTTTTCATTTGGGTAAGTGCACTGATACCTGCATATATCTCGTTTTAGCCTAATACTAATCATTAAACAGATCCCCCTTTTGATCATTGTTATTTTTGCCATGCTGCAGAACATTTTCCCGAGTTTCTGGCAAGGTGCTTCGCAGGGATACCATTTCTTGAAGACCCGCTACGCTACGGGCCGGGTGGAAGCTATCCCTACGTAACTTTACTTCAACTTCTTCTCAAATATTCCTACAGGGTCTTTCTTTCAAAGCGTAATTATTTTCCTTTTTTGTTTTCATTCCTTCGGGTCAGACGGGACTTATTGGAAGGCCATGTGTTGAGTCCGGTTTACGACTAATGTTCATGTGTTCAAAACTCCTTTGAAGCTTGTAAATTCATCATAGCGGGGGACCCCTGAGTTCTTTATATTATTTTCTTAATACATTAAATAAGAGAGAATTTTGAAAAAGTGAAGATGAGAACGGTATGGTACTTTGTAGCTTGGTTAATTGCTCCGGAATGCCAAGAAGCTGCCCTCCGACTTGGCGGCGAGTCTCCGCGGTGCGCCCAAACCAGCTGCCGTTGTGAGATTCAAGCATGTTGTGGATCAGACCACTCCATTTTGACCATTGAATGACTCGGGAGATTATACTATGGTCATTCTATATCCATCATTATCCCGGTCGTCATGGACGCCACCCCTCGCCCGAATTCTAGCAACGTAACTGGTCAGGCTCATCTCCCCCAGCTCAAACCTCCCATCACGCTCACATGTGTTGGCTATAGTTGAATACACGGATCCCTCCAACCTATTCCCCTTAGTAGAGCCTCTATTGCTAGAGGTTCGGCAGCTACGAAATCTTCATTGGAAGTCCCCCACTCGGCCTCTTCGGTCCATTGGATGTCTACAAATCGACTTTGTCGCAGCCCAAACCCCCGAAGAACGGAAGCGACTCAGCGATGGCACCAGTGGCGCAGCTACACATCGGCGACACCAAATACCGGGCCTACGTCGAACACCTTACTTGAAAATCTACTTGCTACGCTGCGATGATAACGAGACCTACAAGGCAACGTCGAGGAAGCTTGTGCGGGAGTGGGTCAAAGCAAAGGGCAGCGGCTCCCAGGATAACCATGATGCCTGTGAATGGCTGGTTATACATGTTGTTGAGGCCAATGGATCTCGTGCTGAAGTCCCTGAGAAGCCAGGTCCTATGGCAAAGTGGCCCGGACGCAGTTCGACCTCCGTTCTTGAGAAGCTTAAGGCAGATTTCAATGGGTCTTCGAAAAGCGCAATCGACCGTGTTGTTCAACTGAAAATACCTACGCCCGATGCCAATAAACGACTACCAGAATTATCTGTACAATTGGAAGATCTTGTTACCAAACTGAAATCTTCCATCTTGACGTCGTTTGACCTTCGGGTGGCGCAATATGAGGAAGACATCAGAGAGAAGGATTCGCAAAGGAGCCTACCCGGTTGGAACTTTTGCACATTCTTCATACTCAAAGAAGGCTTAGCACTGGGATTCGAGAATGTTGGACTGTACGAAGATGCGCTGGTCGGCTACGATGAACTTTCTGCTGGTCTTGATGCCGCGCTTCGAGATCAGATGTCTGGCGCAGGGGATCAACATGGAGGAACACTTCTTGCATACAGCGAGGAGATGAAGTCCCGCGCTGAAGCTGCTCTTTCTTCGGGTGTTGCAGCTCCTGAAAACACATCTGCAGACCGTGGCGAGAACCCCGAAGCTGATGAAACACCATCAAAGCATAGCACATTTTCAGACCCTGTTGAGCTAGACCCAGAAGATTTTCCTTGCAATCCACACAAAAGGCCATATCGTGATATGATTGTAGCCAACAACATCTCCGTGTTTGATTTCCGCGCCTACATATTTTCAAGACAGATGCAGCTACTCTTGAAAGCTGCTGAGGTCCCATCATCAGCGAAGACAAGCCTCTCTGGGCAGCAAGGAACTAAATCCAAGGAGACGCATGATTTGGCTCTTCTCGCAGAGATATGTGATCGTGCCAGCGAATTTGTTACTCTTGCCTCGCGGATATTGCGCAGAGATTTAGCGAACGCGGTATCACAACTTGAAAAAAAGTACGATGAGAATGCCGTAGCAGAGGTTGTCGACAATCTTGTATACTCATGGTCATATGCTACCGTGTCTCAAGTTCTTGTCCAAACTTCTGTTGGCGCTTTGGACGTTCCACGTGTGTCGCTCAGAACCAGTAAAGATCTGGCAGATGCATCAATTCTCACTTCTTTTGGTGGCGAATCACGGGATGGGGTGCCTCAGCGTTCGAGTTCGCTGATTACCGCGCCTACGAGCCATATGAACTCGCCGAGACCTGACTCCCCCCATTCATTTGGATTTAATCCTAGTTCGCCCGCGAAGAGGTCATTGACTGCTCTGATTGAGAATGAAGCTACAATAAAGAGGGCCGGTGCAATTGAATTGGCGTCGGCAAGAGGTGACTTATGTATCCTTGCAAGACGTATTCTCGAAACTCTGGGCCGCAAGAGAGGATGGGACCAACGTTGGCACGACTTATCTCTACTCTTTGACGAAGACGACACTCAGGCTACGACATTTATTGAAGTTTCCCTGAATAACCAGGATATCGCATCGAGAGACCAGCCTGCTACAGCACAAAAACCCCCTCCCCTGCTGGCAGGTATAGAGACACCAATACTTCAGGAAGCGTTGAAGTCTGTCGACCAGTTTAATTTATATTACGAGAAACTTACCGATGAAATATTTCGCCATCATGTTGCTGCAACCAGAATCAAATCGGCTGAAAGCGCCATGGCGGATATGGCTCTATGGAAATATCGGCAAGAAGATTACGCAACAGCTGCTTCGTATTTCAACCACCTAGCTAGTTTTTACGGGGATAACAATTGGGAAGCCCTAGAAGGGGTGATGCTTGAGTTGTATGCGCGATGTCTGAAGAAATTGGGTCGGAAAGAAGATTTCGTTCGTACATCGTTTAAATTGCTAGGAAAGTATACCGGAACGATTATATCGAAATCTAAACCGGAAAATCAACGTGAAAAAGTTAGTCTACCCGCAGAGTCTAAGGTTCCTGAATATATGAGCGAACTCTTTGAGGCGTCTCGCGCTCTTCCGAAAAATTACGCCCTCCGGCTACGAGATTTCTTTGCCACTCCTACGATAGACCCACGGATTATCCATTTTGATGATAAGGATGGCTTTCAGCTACAAGTGTCGTTAAGATTACTTCTTGCAGAAAACATCACAATCGATTGCGTGAAAGTGCGACTGGTTAATAGTTCCGACATTAAAATGAACGAATTATGGTTGGAAACTCCAGGCCAAGTTGTCGTCAGAGAATCAACCACCAAAGTCTTGCTTGAGACCCCTGTAAGTGATGTCTATTAGACAACCCAGCCTGGTATAGGAAGATTGATCTGACAAATATATTCAGACGACAGCTCAAGGCGAATACTTTGTTGACCGCATTGAATTGCGCGTGGGGAATATTATTTTCGCACATGGTGCGAGTACTGAAGACTCTCTTTCTCCTACGTACAAAGACCTTTCCAACAGAGAGTCCGCAGACGAGAATATTCGGACGTCTATTATTTGTTATCCGCGAGCGGCTGGGATCGAGGCAAAAATCTCCCATCCATCTCTCATCGACTTGGGTGGTCGCAGGTCAATAGAAATCGATCTAACCAGCGGATCCAATAGGATTAACAATGGCGTCATTCGACTAAAGCCCGCAACGGCTGGCCTGAGGCTCCTTGTTTCGGAGATGGAAATTGTAAACGGCTTCATAAAATTTCGCCAGAATGCTACGTCGGGGCATATTGAGTTCTCCGAATTCGGCCCCGACGCTTCTACCACACTGGGCATACCATACACAGTGGAAGGAAGCCAGAGCACCTTGATTATCCGTTTAGAAATCGAGTATCAGACCGACAACGGAAAATTTCTATATTTAACGGCGAAATCGGTTTTGACCACTTTGCCGGTGAGCGTCAATGTCCAAGATGTATTCATGCACGATGCCCTCTTTTCAAGGTTTACGATAAGTCCGGCGATGATGATACCCCTCAAAGTGTTTGACTGCCAAATGCCGGGCACCCAGTCATTTTCTGTTCAGTCTAGTATGCTGCCGGGAGAGATATTCGACGTATTCCCCAAACAACCTGCGTCCTTACTTTATAAGATCAAACCTGAAGGAAAGAGCAAAGAACGTGGCTCACGTGCACTTCGACTAACTGTTGATTTCACTTGTCTGAACGAGGAGTGCCTTGCGACCCTCGAAAATCAATTCAAAAAAGATCTGGAGAAAAGTCCGTTTTCGCACCTTCGTTGCCTCCTGTTGCCGCATCTTCTAGGAGCCTTTAGTTCTCAATGGACAGCAGATTCTCTGGAAAAAATAGGGCTGCTACGAGAAATCGACGTGTTCCCTTACGAACGAATGCAATGGCAAGCGGTCACTCGAACGCTTGGCCGAGGGTTAGAACAACAGGTCACAGAATGGCTGACCCTTTGGCACAAGGTGAGAACGCGCAACAGCAGGGCAAACTTTGCAATCTTGAAAACATAAGCTAACGTGGAACTGCAGCAACGTCAAGTCTTACCTCTTCAAGATAGACCGCCCCCCAATACCCTTAGACAAATTGTTATTCCAGTGGATATGCCAGAGATCCAAGTAGTCCACACCGCAGAGCTTGTACTGCACAATATCTCTCCCAGCCAACCTCACGCCGCAGTGGGAGAGGCTATCCGTGCGGAGCTGATCCTGCGACATACGCGCCGATGGTGCCCTGAAGATGTGCGGGAGCCCCAGGCAGAGTTGGAATTCATGTACGAGATCATCACTAATACAGATATCTGGCTTGTGGGCGGCCGGCGACGCGGGAATTTTACCGCCTCCGAAGGACAAACACGGTCGTTTCCGCTCATGCTAATACCCCAAGTACCCGGTCATCTAATTCTTCCCAGTGTGGAAGTTAAGACCTTCGTTGCACAGCAATCGCAGGCCGACCCTCTAGCACTTCCCCAGCGGCGACCAATCTCTTCGGAGGTTGATTATCGCAGTCATGGGATGACGATACTCGTGACGCCGAATCTGAGCAAGACAACGGTCAGTGTAGACATGGTTGGGCCGTCCGGGAGTGGTGCCTGGTTAATAGACTCTGAGAAGCGGGTCGTTCCGGCAAGCTGAGCTAAATATATCCATTGACCCAGGGAAAATGGCTTGAGAAATGTTGCTATGAGATTTTTGGAAGAAAGTTGGGCTTGCGGCTTGCAACCATGGGCTCCAGATTCGCCCCGGTGTGGTGATGTATGTAACTACCGCATCATCAAATGATACCCATGCTGTCTGTATATACATACGATGTTAAATGCATGTTACTTTCCTAAAGATTGCTGGCGGCGGAATGATCTCGAGCGCGCTCCCCAGATGCTCGAATGCGTCGTGGCGCCAATAGATAGGCACCACCCAGAAGGTTGACCAAAGCGCTGGAAAAGCGGTTAATCCGCATTTGGCACCACCAATGGGAGTCGTTGGGATTGCGCCGCCGGAGCCACAGAACGGACCCACTTCCTAGAGTTTAAATGGGGCTAAAACTAGATGCAAACAGGCCAAACACATGGATGGCGGTGGTGTGGGGCTCTCTCAACAAAACGTGACTTCGCCTCCCCAACATCTTTTAGATGACCTTGCCCGTCTAGGTTTAGTGCCGTTAAAGCTTCGCATCTTCCAGCGGACTGGAGGAACACGCCACATTGCAGGCGTAGAATTTCTCGACCGAATTCCGGTGAACAGGCGATCGCCCGTTGGCCGCAAATGGCTGACCTTCTTAGCGGCCATCACATGCCAACCCGGCCCTGATGTCAACTGCCATTGTTGTGTGCATGCGATGGCAAATTACTCGGGAGCACTTCGCCGTTGAGCATTTGCCCGCTGCCCCCCCCTGAACGTCCCGTTCGAGGCTGGCGGAAGTTAATAACCGTGGGGGAATATCAGACCACAAGGGGTACTTTGTGCCAGCCAGGAACAACAAAGGGCTGCTGTTCTGTGACTGTGTCTTGCGCGATCCCGAGGCATAGTTGAACCAACCATGAGCCACATCAGAAACTTTATCTAAACGGAGCCATGCATGCTGCCATGATAAGATTGAAAACCTAATCAGCATTTTAGCGGTATTCTCAGATTGAACACCGTACTTCGCAAGAAGGAATGTATGCTGGATCTTTTGTGTCGCCCATGCATATGTAGAGGGCCTTTCGGGTTAATCAGCTTTTGCTTGTGAGGAGCCGAACACTGGCCAGCTCAAGAAAGTGTGAACGATGGCATTCAGGCATATTCCCGGGTCCCTTGGTTCACTAAGGATTGAATTTTATCTGTTCGCTATCCGGAGGTAAACAGATGAGACCTCTCATGATCAGAAATTCAACATCAAACGAGGTCCCTTTGATGCGTGGTGGGGCAACGGCAAAACTCCACATCTCCCTCAAAAACCGAGCCAACCGCCCAGGAATTCATATCAAACCATGGCGGGAGAAAATAAATCGCCGTCCACTTCTGCGCCCGTGGCACGAAAAGTCGGGCTGGTTCGTTCCTGAAAATAGGTTACAAGTGGTATCCAGATCGTAATTCTGATAAGCTTTCAATACGGTACCGACACCTGGGCCGGATCAGGACGTCTGTCGCTGCAGCCGAGCCATGTGGTCGACAGCAGTTGAAAACTCTTCCTCACCGTTGGATTCGACATACTGAGTATGCGGGTTGCCATTTCTCATTCATCCCTTGTAAAAAGCTTCGAAGAGACCGGCTTTGATAGCTTCATAGAAGTCATGGTAGGTCATCTCTGGCTCAATCCATGGCGGTCCACCAGTTATCCCCTGAGGAGGAAGAAAAAAGAGTGGTTCACAGGCATGCAAGACAAAACATTGCTATGGTCTCCAAGCTTGAAAGCATTGAAGTGGAAAACTTACCAGACCTGGCCTCATGGCAGCATGTGTAAAGTCGCCAGTGCCCTGTAAAATGTCGGCACCTTCAGTGCACCTAAATTATCAACTCCAAGCTGTACTCTATATATAGTTCGCAGTCAACAAATTGGAGGCTGCAACTGGCTGACCACACTGCGACTCCATGGCGTTGCCGGCGGACGTGAAACACTCAGGAAGCCACATCATCAACTGTGAGATGGCTAAGCTGAAGCATGGCAGAGAGCTAATTTTTACATGCCAACATGTAATACAGTGTTGATACACGCAGCATCAGATGAAAGCTTGGCGCCGATGAAAAGTTAAAGAAGCTTTCACGACGAGAGCGGCGAATTGAGAGGAAAATAAAAAGACGAAAAGGGACTTGGCCTCACCATCTCCTCCTCCTATCCCTCTCTCCACCCGCCCTCCTCTTCCCTTATTCACCCTCCTTCACAATTCTCTCTTTTCTGTAACCTCCATTCACTCTCTCGTCCACCGGCTTGAGGTTCAGCTGAAGCTTCTTTCTGTCTGAATTCCTCACGGACATCGAATGGTAAGTTCTTCAGGAACCAAAGCCAAATCTTTTCATGATTGCCTTTCATGTAAACTGTCTTTTGATACCATTTGCAAGCCAACACATGCTAATAAATGAATCTTCAGTGCTTCTTGAAAGCCAGCACTGTCTTTCTGTGATCCCTTTGATTTTGAGTACACGGAATTTTTGGTTGAGGCTGCATCCCGGCGGACTTTTGGGCTATCGACATCTCGAATACCCACGACCATTCGCTTCTCGAGCACATTCTCTGGAAATAATTCTCGAATTATAGTAGGCAGTTAACGACGGCGTCCAATATGTCTTCTAGCGCTCTTCCAAAACGCGTGGCGCTTCACCGCCAAATGACCGAAAGCTCTTCCGTCACGAGCTCCGTCACCCCTTCACCTATGGAAAGTCCACGACACTCTCCTTCCACCACCTCTCTCTCCTCGCTCGCTTCCGAGGCACTAGCAGAAGGTAGCAGCAAGTTGCTTGATACCTATGGCAATGAATTCGAAATCCCAAACTTCACCATCAAGGAAATCCGGGATGCTATCCCAGCACACTGTTTCAAGCGGGATGGTATCCGAGGCTTGTTGTATGTCTTCAGGGATTTGGCATGCCTGGGAGTGACATTCTATGCCTTCCACAATTATGTGACACCTGAAAATATCCCATCCACTCCTATCCGGGCTGGGTTGTGGGCCCTGTATACGTTCGTTCAAGGACTTTTTGGTACCGGTATCTGGGTCCTAGCACACGAATGTGGTCATCAGTCCTTCTCGCCATCAAAAGTTCTCAATGACACCGTCGGATGGATTCTTCATTCTTCTCTACTTGTTCCTTACTTCTCATGGAAAATTTCCCATGGAAAGCACCACAAGGCAACCGGTAACCTCGAACGTGATATGGTGTTCGTTCCTAAGACCAGGGAGCAGTACGCCTCGCGCATGGGATATTTTGTCCACCAGCTAAATGAGGTCATGGAAGAAACTCCAATCCAGGCGGCGACCAACCTCATCCTCCAGCAATTGTTTGGATGGCCAATGTACCTCTTGTCCAACGTCACCGGGCATAACAACCATGAGTGCCAGCGCGAGGGTCGCGGCAAGGGCAAGAAGAATGGCATGTTCACCGGCGTCAACCACTTCAACCCTTCGAGTCCGCTGTATGAGGCAAAGGATGCTAAACTTATCGTCCTCAGTGACATCGGTCTGTTAATCATGGGCTCCATCCTGTATGCTCTTGGCCAAAGATTTGGCTGGACCAATCTCCTCGTTTGGTACTTCATCCCATACCTGTGGGTTAACCATTGGCTCGGTATGTACCTCGTGTTATTCCGTTCTTCCTTGGGTATATCGGACTAATGAGGAATATTTTCTAGTCGCGATCACTTACCTGCAGCACACCGACCCCAGTTTGCCACACTACCACTCTTCGGTGTGGAATTTTGCGAGAGGCGCTGCTGCCACCATCGACCGTGAATTCGGTTTCATCGGCCGTCAACTATTCCATGGCATCATTGAAACCCACGTCCTTCACCATTATGTCAGTACTATTCCATTCTATAACGCGGACGAGGCGACCGAAGCTATCAAGAAAGTCATGGGTAAACATTATCGTTCGGATACCAAAGGTGGCAGCCTTGGATTCATCAGAGCTCTGTGGCGTAGCACTAGAATGTGCCAGTGGGTCGAGCCATCCGAGGGCGCCCAGGGCGAAGGCAAAGACGTTCTCTTTTTCCGAAATCGCAACGGACTAGGACCCAGACCGCTTGTTGTCGAGCCAGAGGAAGGAAAGGCCAAATAAGAGGGGACAGCCGATGCACAGCCATGCCGGAATTAATATCCATACACAAAAAAAAAGGGGTCTGGTGTTTTTGTTCCGTTAAGTATCTGGGTTCAGGCGTTGGGAGCGCGCATTTTCTCAACCGACTTGGAGGTTTGCACGTATATGCAAGTTTAATAATGCTCTGTGTGCTGGATATAGCCCATGGTGACATCCTGAAGGTCCACGCCGAAATTGGTATTTAAGATTAATAGATATGTGGGGTTTAGGGGTTATCGGTCTATTCGATAATCAAGGAATCAGCAGTCGGTGATACAAGGCGACGACTATTTCCATCGGGGTCATTTACCTAGTATCTTGTTTACTTACCTGCTTCCTCGACCCTGGCGTCCTTCCCTAGGAACGTTCTATTTTCACAATGTCATGATGAGCAACGAATCTGTGTTGATAGACCAATAGATACTTTGAATAGACCAATACCTCATCTGTCGTATTTCTCCAATAGGTGCAAACTAACGCTGGAAATAACGATAAAAGTACCAATATGTGGAACGACAGACAAGCTCGTCGCATCCAGGCGTATCTGGCCTGCTCAGGATTCAACATCATACTCGGTAGGCTTCTCTATTTGCAAGCTATGCTTGCCCCGAATCGCCGGTGGAGGAACCAACTTTATCGTGATCCTGCTTCCTCTTCGCCACGCGCTGTAGGCCACGATATGCAGTGGAGACTTGCAAGATTAGAGAAGCAGCCTGGAGAAGACTCCAGGCTTTTAAAGACTGCGGGATACATTGTCCGGAAGCCAGCGGGAAGTCCACCAGACGGCGCGGGAATGGGCGCTGTGGCTATACACTGGCCTGAGCGGCTGGGCCGGAGCCAAGGATTGAGGCGGGCGGAAAGATTGCGGGGACAGGCCAGATTCTGGTGGATCAAAAATGTCTTGGATGACGACCTCAACAAGCTCCAAGCAAAATTACAACACAGAGAAATCTGTGGATAACGAACAGAGCAAGGATTTCGCTCTGATGTGAAAGGAACAGCATTGATGAAGAGGTATTCCATGTGCTAGCTGACTTTGTCTCAGTCAGGAATGGAACTGAATGTTGTCGTCCAGTGCAAAACAGTGCAGGGAGATTGTGCAGATCATACAAGAAGTATGGCAGACTAGCTGAGCACCGCTATTCGTCTAAAGAACAAATCTTACTATTAAGACACCAAGCTCTCAAACAATATATACAGTTCTTACATCAGCTGAGGTGGCTCTTGTCTTAGTTAAAAATGTACAGAAAATGTTACACCGCGGATGCCACTAGGCAAGATCTCAAACTCCACTGCTTCCGATGGAAGGTCGGACGTATTACTATCTTCAGTTGTCGATCTTTTGGGGTCCTCTTCAGACTTTGAAATATGGTTACCTGACGTCCAGGGTGAAAAAACGACCTGCATTGTTCGCTTCCGAGTTTGGAGCACCGTTGCCTGTGTTGAATAACTGGTGTTGTCATTCCCAGATTCTGGTCCGGGAGCTTTTGTAAAAAATTGGCTTTCCGGTTCTTCCTTGGTTCCAACCGCTCGCCGATACTTAGTCTGATTTCCACCAGGTTCCTGATTCGGGCCTTTTGCTTCGACAACATCGCCGTTCTGATTTTGCAACACGAGCTTCGAAGGATCCTTTTTTATTTCATTGTTCGTTCGATGGTCGTCTGACAGCTCAGCGAATAAATTCGTACCCGTATCCACTGCGACGCTTGTACTAAGGATATTCGAAGACTCATGTATCTTCAGCACAAGGCGACAACCCAGCTGATTCGCCCAGACAAGCCCTAATGCTGGAGTCTTCAAGGCCTTTCGCTCGTAGGGGTCCCCCCACCCAGTGTAGAATGGCTGCTGGTACGCAAAGCTTAGGACTGCGCTAAGATTACGGATGTTAAGCTGTGGAGTATCATCGCGGTCATCGTTTGGTGATAATGCAGGAAGGCCTTGGGTGGTGGCTACCTGAGCTTGAGCCTGCCGTAGTAGCGAGTAAGGTGAGCCATCCGGATGAGTAGGCGACTGGCATGTCAGTGATGAGGGTATTTGCTGAGAAGAGCCGGGATACTGTGAAGAAGGTTGGGCCGAAGGCCGCTCAGCAAAGCGATTGAGAAGATACTCAGGCTCCTCTGCCCAAACGGAGCCATCTAAATGGCTAAGCCTGTCGGAAATCTGGTTGGCTACAACAACGGCTATATTATGCGTCACTGCCAAATTTCGCAGCAGCTGTCCCAGCCTTTTGAGCTCCCATGCACGGTCTAGTAGCCCACACACATTATTAGTGGAGCTCTCCACTCGGTAATTTGCTGTGATGGAATCAATAACCACCAGGCCAACATTGTATCTCGATATGGCAGCGGGAACGTGGTAGTTGAGGATGTGGTCCTGAGTTTCAAGATCGACGGTGGTTATTGAGAGGACATTATCCAGAGACGGACGTTGTACGTCCTCGGGAAGCGATATCAAAAGGGGATGCCCGTCAAGGAGCTGGGACAACCTATTTGTAGCTAGGTCTGCTTCAGTCGAGATGTACAGCGCATTTTTGCGCAGGCCGTATGGAGGTGGAAGTTGGACGGACAGGAGCAGGTGAAGCAAAAGTTGGGTCTTGCCGCTGCCACTACAGGGTAAGCATCTGTAGTCAGTAACAAGCTATAAGGCTAGGCGACCAAAGAGCTCCATTGGACATACCTTTCTCCTGCTATTTCTGTCACATATCCAGTCAATATTCCACCTGAAAGCACATCGTCAAGGAGGGGGTCCAAAGTACTGATAGAGGACAGGCTGGGTGGCTGGAAGGGTGCGCGAGCATCCTCGTTGCTATCAATATCATCACATTGTACCTGTTTTCTACCATTTTCGTGCTGCTCTGGCCTGGCGTGATCAGCTTTTAGTCCAAGGTCTCGGTGAAGTTCTTCCAACACATGGCTCGTGAGCCTTTGGACCTCCGCGACTGGTATTCGCGTTCGTTTCGCGATTTCAAGAGTGTCAAGAAGCAGAAGCTCCTTGAGTGATAATTCTGCCTTTTCAAGCGCCGGTACGATATGGGAGTATGGTTCAATTGCGAAATCGGGAAGCGTGGTCAATAAGTCCATAGGTATTTAACCTGGGACTCGCATGTCGGTGGCGTAGAGTGTGGTTAGAATTTGGAGCGTCTTTTGCCCCAAGAAAATCAGCACTACCATCCCAACCCAACACTCTCACTACTCGCCTGAGAGCCGATCCAACAATTCAAAAGAATTTATCTGTGAATTGACCCTCATCTATTCGATGAGTAGGGTGCTTCACTCAAATGGCGAGATCGGCTAATAACGGATCCGCTGGTTCAGGGATTTGCTGTCTGGACTTAACACCCTTGCCAGCTGCCGCACCGCTTAACTTCCTGGGAGTCTACGGGGAGTCTTTATCGCCAAACTAAGCCGAAACAGATGGATGGAACACCCATTCGTGCCTTCAGAGTTACATTCCGGCGAGGGGCCCTGCGCCCAACAGCTTGGGCTTTGAGGGCCGGGGCCTGGCGAGACGACCCTCCGGGATCAAATGCGATTTGCTCCTCCTTTATACGAGAGGCAGAATGCCAAAAGAACCATGCCATCTCCGCCATGATCTTCCAATCGTCTTGGGCCATCTTGTCTCAAAAAGCGTGGACTTGCCTTTTTTGATCGGATTCTTTGGCCCATCAACGCATGTTCACAGCCGGCTTGCCGTGATATCACCGCGATTGACAGCATTCTCCTCCGTACATGTTTCCCCAAGCGGGGTATTTGCATGGGCATGAGCACTAGGCGCGGAAGTATTTTAACTGGTGGCTGTCCGCACTTTTAAAACATAGCTGGGGCATCCTTTCTTATTCCTCAGCGACATCGAGTCTATCCAGGAGACAGTCTGCCCTTATCTCTCAAATCTTTCTGGAGGTCGGACGTAGACTTGTTAACAAGCGTCTTTTCATCCCTCTGCCCATCTTTTTTATTAGAACCCTGAGGGGGTCTTTCTTTCCTATCTTCCACGAACGCGGCGGCGGGGCGGAAGACCGCTTAGAACATCATGGCTCAACCTCACCCGTTGGATCAATTGCGGGCAGAAGAAATCGTCCAGGCCCGAGACGTTATAATCCAAGCGTGGCCTGGATCACTGCTTCAATTCCGTTCCATATTCCTTGAAGAGCCCACCAAGTCATTGTTGATTCCATTTCTGAAGGCAGAACACAACGGTACATTAAATGACGACACTCCGCGTCCACCCAGGTTGGCTCGCGTGCAATATGATGTGGTTAAAGAAAACAAATTTTGCGGATATACGGAATCTGTTGTGGATGTTAACTCGAAACACGAAGTCAGTCGACAGGATTTCGATACCTCTTGCCAGCCCTACTTAACAATGTAAGTCATATGTAAATTGAGAGATAAACAGTTTGCATTAATCGATGTCGTATGTGCATCTAGGGAGGAAATGAAAAAGTTTTTCGACCTCTGTCTTCCATCTCCATTGTTCCAGGAGGCTACATCCAAGTTCAAGCTACCAGAAGGGTACGAGGTAGAACTCGAACCTTGGCCATATGGCTACTCGCCTCCAGGAGAAACTCCTCCTCGCTATATTCAAGGCCTTTGTTTTGCGCGAGACAAACGCAACGGAAACTTGGATTCCAATCACTATTCACATCCGATACCAATGATTGCCATATTAGACGTGTACAAACAAGAGATTGTTCAGATACAGAAACTTGCTACCGGTGGAACTGCGGATGGACTAGCATATGATACCCATCAGGAAAATCCCGTTGATCATTGTCGCCCTGCGGAATACGTTCCTGAACTCGCTGATGTCGAGTACCGTACTGATATCAAACCATTAAATATTATCCAGCCGGAAGGACCGTCCTTCAAAGTGAGCGGCGAAAGTCTGGTCGAATGGCAGAAATGGCGGCTCCGCGTAGGATTCAACCCTCGCGAGGGCGTCACGCTCCATGACGTCCACTATGATGGTCGCAGTGTTTTTTACCGTCTGAGTTTATCTGAGATGACTGTCCCTTATGGTGACCCTCGTCCACCCTTCCATCGAAAGCAAGCCTTTGATTTTGGTGATGGAGGTGCTGGTCGCTCCGCAAACAACTTGTCTTTGGGATGCGATTGCTTGGGTGCCATTAAGTACTTGGATACTTTTAATACTGATTTTTCTGGACAACCAATCCCGGCCCCAAACGTGGTGTGCATTCATGAACAAGATAATGGCATTGGGTGGAAGCATACCAATTTCCGTACTGATCGGCCCGTTGTGACACGGTACCGGGAACTGGTCATTCAGTATATTATCACGCTTGGAAACTACGAATATGTTTTTGCGTATAAATTCGACCAGGCCGGAGCCGTTAGCCTTGAAGTACGACCGACTGGCATTATTTCAGTAGTTAACATCGATCCCGGCAAAACTTCTCCGTGGGGAAATGTTGTCGCACCCGGTGTTCTCGGCCAAAATCATCAGCATCTATTCTGCCTACGGGTTGATCCTGCTATTGATGGGCACAGCAACACAATCTTCCGCGAAGAATCCTTGCCTATGCCGATTGACCCTGCCACCAATCCTTACGGGAACGCCTATAACGTTGTATCACAGCCAATCGAGAAGTCCAGCGGATTTGACGCATCTCCATTTACTAACCTCGTCGTTAAGATGTCTAACACTAATATACGAAACCCAATATCCGGCAAACCGGTGTCTTACAAGTTCACACCGCCACCCTCTCAACTCCTACTAGCAGACCCTCAGTCTATTATGGCCCGTCGAGCCAAATTTGCCAGGCATCATCTGTGGGTCACCTCTTACAAGGACGGCGAATTTTACGCCGCAGGAGATTTTACAAATCAGTCCCACGAGGAACGAGGTGGACTTGCGGATGCAGTTTCTCGCGACGAGAATACAGTTGATACAGACATCGTGCTATGGTCTGTCTTTGGATTTACCCATAACCCGAGAGTTGAAGACTGGCCAGTCATGCCAGTTGAGAAAATTGAGCTTCAGTTCCGCCCATCTGATTTCTTTGATCGCAATCCTGCCTTGGATGTTCCCGCCGTTAAGAATACAGCTAGTGTCCTTGTTGGGAACAAAACTTGCTGCCAGTCCAGTGAATAAGTTGTCGGGGAAGTTGAGGAAGGGCTTACTTTTCATAGGTATGCCACGATAATGGAACTGCTATCACAAGATGAAAAGGCTGAACTGTAAATGATTTGTGTACGACTCGAGTTGATTTTGGGATTTTAACTATAACGATGTAAATTTCTTTTAATCACAACGTCGCTGGATTTTCATTAAAATTGATGCTGGAATTTATCAGTAGTCTGACCTCGGCAGGTTTGCCCGTGCGATGGAGCGGAATAATTCCACTCACTGCTGTGGCACATTGATAGGCGCTATCTCATATCCCACAAACATAAGGTCTGAGCACCCGTTTCCACAACTGCGAGTTGACCGATGGGCCATACCTTTTTGCCTCCCAGATAAGACTATCAGCTCTCACGTAGTATTTCTCTCAAACTGATAGTTACCCAGGCCCGGCTGGAAGAATGGTCCCAGCTCTGGAAGCGAGTGACCGGAAAATTTTCAGGCTAGAGTTTGTCTCGCCGAATGCCTGCGCTCTTTATCTCGCACGAGGACGCCCGGCGACTTTGTCCGTTTGGTTGTGATATGGCGATGGGTCCGATTGCATACTAGCTTTTTCCTGAATGCAGGCCAACGGATCCCTTACCGTGGCTGCTTCGAGCAGTAGTGCCCTATTTTGACTAAGGGACTACTAGTTGAAAAATGAGAGCATATGCTTGGCTACAACATGGAATCCTCAAGACAGACCATCATGACTCTGGTCTTCAGATTGTTACGTGTATAATATGGCGTAGATGAAAACTTTATTGTCTGAATGTACTCCGTAGGGTATAGTTATACAATGCATACGCTATGCAATCCAAACATGACCGAATAACACCCTAAATAGGTATTCGCTGGGAATATCCATCTCAGGATCCAACAGCCAATTTATTCTTTGCTTGCGCCATACGGAAATACCTTTTAGCGGTCCATTCCCGCATGCTTTTACCTTTCCACACCATGAGGAGAAAGGACATGTTTGTAGCCAAGCACACCATCGACATAATGATAGTTGTATCTCGCAAACCATTGTGTTCCAGCCAGGGCCTGAGAAGATAAAAAGGCATATGTTAGGCATCAACGCATTCCGAGAAAACGATAAGAAGGGAAACAGGGCAGAAGCTTACTCGATAGCGAAGGTAAAACCAGTACCAATGAGATTTCGGATAAAGAGCATCAGGACGAGGGCTTCTGATGCAACGCGAGGATAACAGTCCACCGCATACGTAATCGCAATGGCTGCACCACTTCCAATGCCAAAGCCAATTAAAGCCATCCCAAATCCGGCTGGAAGAATCCAGTGAACTCCATAAAGTGATCCCAGGCCGTACATAAAGAGGCCACCGGTATTGATGATAGCAGGGATAAGCATGGTCCAAAGACGGAATTCTGGTTCTAGGATCCCTTTGTTGCGACGAGAAAGGCGAAGGATACACCAGTCGGAAACGTAGCCTCCCCAAACCATACCTAGAATACCGCCAATGAAAGCCGCAAAGTTTGTGTTACCGACGTTGGCCATGCTGAAGTTGTAAGGTGGTGCACTAAAGGTAGCGGACTGGGTCACAGTGATAAGGGAGAGCCACATGATTTGAACTCCGTACACAAGGCCTCCCCACATCACGGCAGGGTAGGTGACAAGAAAGAATGGGCTAATCGCCACAAGCCATAAAGGCCTGGGATCACTGTAGCTGGTATTGTATAAACCCATTCGTTGCCAATAGGTTTTTGCAGGCGGTGGTGAAGATGCCACCGATTCCGTATGGTGGATGAGAGAGTCTCCGCCTTTTTCCACAGCTTGAAGCTTGTCTTCTAGCATAGCATCTGTAGAAAGTTCCGAAGGGGGCAGGGGCCTCCGGAATACAGATTCTTCCATCGTGAACGCTTGGATCACTAGCAGGATACCGAAGAAAATGACGAGATACCAGAAGCACCATCGCCAGCCTTGAGAATCCGCAATATATCCAGCTGCCACGGGGCCCAAATATGAGCCAGCATAGATTGTAAAGACGTATAAACTTAGCCGGGTGCCTTTCTCATGAGCAAAGAAAATGTCGGCAGTGGTAACTTGAACAAGAGAGTCCACAGGCGCAGCACCAAATCCAGTCAGGATACTGACGCCAAAGTACATTTCCACTCTGTTTTGGAAAGCACCCAAGATGCAACCGGCGAAGTTAAGCACGGTACCAACGATGTATACCGGCCGTCTGCCGATTTTCATGGCAATTGGCTGCAAACAAACGCAGCCAATACCTAGAAACAAAAAGCACAATGCCGACGACACATTCAGCCGACCGAAGGATGTGTTTAAATCGATTGTAAATTGAGTCTTGAGGACGTAGCCAATATTAGTTGACTTGGTGTCTACTCCGTGCAAAGATTGCTTTCCAAGAAAGTAGTAAAATACTCACCCAAACAGGTCCTACCCAGTTGACGGATACTGCAGCGATGAACCCCCAAATCCACAGCAGCCAAAAATGATATTCTTTTCGCAGCCTACTCCAGTTGAGTGGGTCATTTGGATCGTTTGTTGGCTGCGGCACCAAAATGATGTCTTTCTGACCACCCTTTTGATGTTTAACATCCATCGTGCCCTCCACTGTGCAAGAAGGCAAAGTTGATTAGCAAAGTGACTGGGAAATGGGATCGATGCAAAATACTTACAGTCAACGATGTGGACGGTCCCTGGGACCATTTTGATCCCCTCGACAATGGGAAACTCCATAGTGACAGCGTCCACCCCAGAATTCAGCTGAAAAGGAAATGTAAAAAGGCTGTGCAGTCAGAATACTGCGTTCCATGGCGCCGGTCACATCTATATATCTTGCCATAACTCAGAGAGCGCGCCGGACCTGCATCCAAGCTAGCAGTTTGTTGAAGCTAACCATCCACAGATAGCATTCCATACGGAGTACAAAAGTGTGAATTGGTTCCCCAGAGCTGATCATTTTGCGGGGGAGATTGATAGTGACTGGAACCGATATCATGGTCCACACTAGTTCAGGGCAACCATCCCCTGATAGGGAAGTCCATGCCGCCCCACGTGTGAAACAACGGTTAAACTTTGATATTAATCGGATTAATGGAAATAATGATTGGCTGGGCGTTGCCGACCACCGAGGCCTCGATTGTTGGCATGGTTATGACGGCAAAGAATTCAACCTTGTTCACCCCTGGCGAGAATTGGGGGTGCAAGTACGAAGCACCCGAGTTCAGTATACAACTCCTAGTGGTTTTTCAAGGTCTAGGAAATCGAGAACTTGAAAGGACAAGGTAGTTATCGTCCAGCATTATCTCCGCGATATCCTCCAAATGAGTAATCGCGATATTGCTGAGACCGAGTCTGGGGCATTTTGGCAAAACTTGAGGTATACTGAAATGTGAGAGGCCCAAGCGCTTCTGAATACTGGCCTGTGCAAGCCATTAGGGGATAGCTTCAGCTGTTCGGAGACAACAAGATGCCCAATCCCGCGCCTTGTGTATGGCGAATTGGAAACCGAGCCAGTCGGAATTTACCTGCCGCAATGAAGAACAGTGATGGCAGGACCGGACATGGTCCGATCGTACAACGAAGCTGATCTTTCAAAAACTTGTGCTATGCACTCACATTTTAGAAATTCTGGGTCAGCCATGCCCAGATTATTTTAATATGAGTGCCAGAGAGCGGATATTGACCCGAGGCATAAGAAAAGCGGCTGGGTAGAATTGTTCCGGTGACAATTCTAGTTCTATGTTGAGTACAGAGTACTCGAAGCGATTTCGCCCTGATAGGATTCTAGCACCCGGACTGCATTTTGCAAAGGCAAGATTTTAGAATAGGATCAGCGTGAACTGTGAGATACTAAAGAAGAATCTTGGAGGGTATAATGGCTTTATCTATTCTGGCCACTTTTTATCGTAGCCCCTGATAATTGAGTCACCGGGAAGAGGAGCAGGAAAGCTCTCTTTTTGCAACGAACAATCAAGCCTGCATCATGTTCCCTTCATTCTCAGCCGAGTCTTCCATGACAGCGCGCCCACGTTAACGGGTTACTGGTCAGTTGGCCCACGCTCGATTACGCTGCAGGCAGGCACCCAGCCGAACGAATAGTCTGTTCGTAAGCTTAAGAGCTGCATTTGTTTGGCAGGCTAGTCCATTACTTTCCGTTCTGTCGGGTGCGCGCGCTCCGTCTCTTCCATTGTTGCATTTCTTGCATCATCCTTGGATGCTCATGCGCCGTGAAAGTGTAGTAAGGACTTGAGAAGTAAAATCTCGCAAAATGGTGGATCTATGCAAGGTTTGCATTAAATCATAACTCCGTGTCCACAGTAAGCAGGCCCGCGAGCAGGGCAGAACGAGTTTGTCTGCAAGAAGGACGACGAAGCAGGACGTGGAATCGATTGAGTTGGCAGTTATGAGCTTTGTACAAACGCATTTCAAGCCTATGCATGACTAAGCTGTAATTTTACCATACCGGTGATACAGCATGTTCCCCACCCAAACCCCAAACATCCCCGCACCCCACGCCGAGTCGACGACTTGGGGCCACGACAGGATGAGATCCAGAGGAGAATTGGGATTGGATGGAGGTCCGGATAGTTCACTGAGAGCTTCGGCGCCTCACTTTATCTCCGGATTTAGTACCATATTAAATGGACACTTCGGTTGAACCATTTCTACCACCATCTTTCGAGTGGAGCTCGATTTCAGCTATTGTGCAATTTGCTAACAGCTCGGCGCCGGCTGGCATTGTAAAAATCCTCTTCGGTTGAACCGGATGTACGAATTTGCGGGTATAAATCCCTGGAAAGTAATACCATATTGAGTCTATAGTATTTCCCTTTATATCCACTTCTCATTCAACCCGAGTGGTCTCTCAGTCAAAACCGCTATGGACAAGAGAGTCTCAATTCCGGTCACCTTACCAAGGGACAAACCCACCGTTGCCTATTGGCAAGATCCCCCGGATGAGATAGCGGACTTACGCTCCAGCTCGCAATTGCCAGGGGACGCAGATGTCGTTATAATTGGTTCTGGAATCACTGGTGCTGGTATCGCATGCAATATCCTTTCCCGAGCACCACATACGAAGATTGTGATGCTAGAAGCAAGACAAGCATGTAGTGGTGCAACAGGAAGAAACGGTAAGATATCCACAACCTTGTTCTCTGTCTCACTCGCCGTATTCAAGTAGTTCTCCCAAATGCACCCAATAGAAGCCAGATCGACCGTGGAGTCACTTGCTGATAGCTGTTGGTCTTTAGGCGGACATACCAAGCCAGCGTCATACGTATCCTTTTCAGCCAATGCCGAGAGCATAGGACTCGAAGAAGCCATAAAGATTGCGAGATTAGAATACAATACCCTCAGACATATCCATGCCTTCGCCAAAGAGCACAATATCCCCTGTGATAATCGGCAACTCGAGACTGTGGATATCGTGTACGATCAGAAAACATGGGATGATTCCGTCAAAACAATCGAGCTCATGAGGAAATGTATGCCGGGAGATCCAGCTAGTCAGTACACAGTTTGGACCGGCAAAGACGCAGAAGAAAAGTTCTTGTGCCCTGGCGCCGTTGGAGCAATTACTTATGAGGCCGGGAGCGTAAGTGCTTATAAGTTTGTGATCGGAATCTTGAAATTATGTCTCGAGAAGGGCCTAAATCTTCAAACAAATACTCCAGTGACGCGCCTGTCTCGACAAGGCGGACAGGGTTGGGCCGTTGAAACTGATAGAGGTACCATATACGCCCCCAAGGTCATCCTGGCCACAAACGGTTATACTGCTGCTATCTACCCGAAACTTCAAGGGGTGATCGTGCCCCTTCGTGGGCAGATAACTGCCCATAGGCCAGGAGCAAACATGCCAAAAACCGGATTACCGAGGACCTACTCGTTCATCTACGGCAATGGCTTTGAGTACATGATTCCCCGACCTCCAGGCTCTAAGCATGCTGGTGACATTGTTATTGGCGGCGGTCTGGCCATCGCAAAAGAGGAGGGTTTGTATCAATATGGAACCGTTGACGATACCGTCTGTGATACGGATATCGTCGATTACCTCATTGCAAGCACGGAGCGCTACTTTGGAAAAAACTGGGGTAAGGATGACCCTGCCGGCCGTATTCGGATGCACTGGTCAGGGATCATGGGGTACAGCGCGGATGGACACCCGTTGGTTGGAGAAATGCCAGGAGAGACTGGCTTGTATATCTCTGCATCCTTCCAAGGCCATGGTGGGTTCAAGACCCGGTTTCTCGCACCCAAGCTGTAAATTTGCTAACCAGTTTTTCAATTCAGGAATGGTGCTTAGCTTCCTTTGTTCTCAGGCGTTAACAAGTATGTTATTTGGGGATGATGAACAATGCCTATTTGCATGGTTCCCAAAAACATATAAAATAACTTCCCAGCGCTTGAAGCAGAAGTTTGAGAAACGGATAACACGATTGATAACGCCAGAAGTGAAGAGCCAACTGTGATGTTAGGTGTCATTGGATGAATGAAATCAATAGACAACACACAAGTGTAAAAGCATACCAGATTCATATTATAACAGAACGCTGACAATACATATTGAATATGTGTCCATTCAACTTAAGTGAGTGCCTAGACACATTGCATTTTGATCAGAAGACATAGGTAGCGCCCTGTACATATTGTATATACATACACGGTTGCACATCCCAAAGAATACAGACCATAGACTGGCTAGTGAATTCAAAGATCCCAGTGATTGCCCTGATCCATTTTGCGCCTAGAAGTGATGCCGAGAAACCGGTCCCATCCTCCCTCTGTGTGTTTTATATCAAAACATGTTAGTATTATCGTTGACCCTGTACTTTTTCTTTACCTTGCAATCAAATCTTTTCAACCCTCTTTGGTAGCAACTTTTTTCGTGGGTCTATCACCATTTTCAATATTGCTCGAAGCAGCATGGTTTCCATTCGCCGGGGCATCTTCCTCACGAGCGCGTTTCTGACCAGCAGTGGTGGTGGCTTCCTTGGACTTGAGGCCTTCGGAAACTTGGACGATGGGAACACCGCTAACGACACAAGGATCATATTAGCTTCAGTTTCGACTCTAGAAGAATTTGAAAAAGGCGGGAGCACATACCGGGCATCTTTCAGCACCTCTGGGCGTCCGCCGTCTCTATCCCTATTTCCGCGACCACGATGGCCACTTCTGCCTTTACCGAATCCGCGCTTTTGATCATCGGCTCTCCGGTCTTTCCAGTCACGGTTATCTCCACGTCCACGGCCACGGCCTCTGCCTCTGAAGGGCCCACGATTCTTGCTCGGCTTGAGGCGCCCGGCTTCGATTTCTTTGAGCTTCTCGTCACAGTACTCCTTTTTGCTCTTAATGAGTAACTCAGTGGTTCCTTTCCACTTGGGCTTTGGATCAAGAGCTAGGAATTTTTTTTGAGACTCCTCAGAGTCGAATTCGACAAACACGCTCCCCTTGAAAATCTTTTCGTTGGTGCGTCGGAGGCGGACAGCATTGGTCGGTCCATAAGGAGCAAAGAAGGCTTCAATGTCGAATTGTGTACTTGGTTCTTCTTTACCAAAGCCTTTAGCATAAATGCTGCGGTGCATGGCCTTGTCCTCGAATACTTTTGCAACCGACTCCTTTCCACTTTCAGTCGCAGATTCTGGAAGCGGCACCTTGCGCCGAACGCAGGTATTGTCATTGGTGAGCTCGAGGGTTTGAGAGTCCTTGAGGGCGTCGACAATGGCGCTGAAGGGCTGGAAACGTCTCATCCGCTTAAATGAATGAAGTAGGGATAGTTCGACGGGGTTGTTTTCGCTGCCACCAACTTTGGAGAGCAAGAATTTGTCCATGGGAAGATTAGAATCGGAGAAGTAAAACTCAACCTAAAGAGGAACACGAGAGGTTAGCTCCCATTGCGACGCTATTGCTTGAATTGAATCACCGACCTGTTTGCGAATCTGCTCCGGATCGCTGGTTTGTTCCAATGTAGTCACATCTGACTTGATATTGTCCCTATAGTTCACCCGTTTCTTTTCTCCACCTGGACCGCTCCGAGAACCTCCACGCCCACCTTTTTCTTGCTTCGACTTACCCTCCGGGGCTGACTCCTGGCCTAACTTGTTCGCAGCTGCAATGATTCTAGCCTCTTCTTCCGCTTCGGCATCAGCTTGAGCGCCGTTCGCTGGGGATTCTGTCTTTTCTGGCTCGGTCGAAGCCGGGGCCTCTTCCTCCTTCTCTTGCTTGCCGGCTTCCTCGGCCTTCAGCTCTGCAAGAACATCCTGGACATCCTTTTCTGCCGCAGCATTTGGGTTTGCTCCCATTCCAGTGGGTTTCTGTGCCTCTGCCATTCCGCGCTGGCCGTTATGTGCGGGGAAGCGAAGCGGAGGAAAGAGAGTTGTTAAGAGAATGGAACTCTCTGTCAGACCAAGAAAATGAAATGTAGAGCAACTGAGAACAGAATTGCGTCTTTGAAAAAGTAGTCTCTAGAGAGATAATCATCAGTACAGTGGGATAAGGTACACAAGGAGATTCCTTGCACGCAGGTGTCACTAGCACAAGAGAATTGA